ACACCTCAGTTGCAAGCCTGGGGACTGTGAGGCTGGTGGTACCTTGATAGTAACAAGGGAATTTAGAAGGGGTTAGGGACAGAGTTAGGGAAGAAGGATGAGTCAAGTTTTGGACATGTTGAATTTAATATATAATAGGACTTCTGGTTTGAGAAGTCCAAGAAGCCATTGGACATGTGAGTTTTGAGGTTAGGAGAAAAGTTGGATTGGATAAGTAGATATGAGAATCATCAGATTTTTGTTGTTGTTGTATAACGCTGTAGAAAGGACATTCAAGGTAGGAGTCAGAAGACCTAGGTTTAATTACTAACTTTGACACTTTATAGCTATAAATCAATTGACAAACATTTATTAAGTGCCTACTATGTGCCATACACTGTGCTAAATTTGGGGATACAAAAAGAAACACAAGGCAGTCTTTGACCTCAAGGAGCTTACAGTCTAATGGGGGAGACAACATGCAAAAAATATATACCAAGCAAGTTATATACAGGATAAATAGGAAATAATTAACAAAGGGATGGCATTAGATTTAAGAGTAGATGAGGAAAGCTTCCAGTAAAAGTAGGATTTGAGTTGGGACTCAAAGAAACTTGGCCAATTGCTTGACCTCCTTGACCTTCAATTCCCCATCCACAAAATAGGGATAATAATTTTTGTACTGCCTATTTCAGGGTAGTAATGAGGAAAATGCTTTGTGAACCACAATATGCCATAGAAGCATACATAATAAGTATTTCTTAATGTCTACTAGGGCCAATCATTTTTCTAGGTGTCAGGGACATAATTATAAAGAATGAAATTATGCCTATTCATAAGGAGTTTACATTCTAAAGTGGGAGACTACAAATATATACAGACAGAAAGATAGATATAGATGTAGATATGGCCATAGGAAAAGGACAGCAGTGCATCCACCTTGTCTGAACCACCAGGTTCCATTAAAAAGAATAGTGGTAGCTAAAACCAAAAGAATAGTTTGGAGTCACATCACAAAGGGCAGTGAAAATCATGCTACAGAGCTAGGGTTTTATTCTGTAAGCAATGGGGAGCTACTACAATGTTATGAGCAGGTGAGAGGCATGATCAAATTTGCTGTGTTTTTGCTTTTTGAACCCTTTCATCATAACTACAATTTATATCATAGCAAGCCCTTGGTCAGGAACACAACCCCCAAATTTCCTCTGGGAAAATATAATCTACTTTAGGATTGATTCACTTTTGACATAATTTCCAGGAACCACTTGCAGGGATGACTGTACCAATGATTAATAACAATCACAGATGTAGATAAGCATCTCAATTAGAAGAATTTGAATAATTTGTTTCTCACATGAAACTACCAGCTCTATGTCAACTACTGGCTAAACCCACAGAACAAGGTAAATTCAAGGCTTAGAATTTAACAGGAATCACAAAGTCAATTCAATTCAGTTCAACTGCCATTAATTGCCTACTGTGTGAAAGAACTATGCTGGGCATTATGGATTTCAGTCTTTTTCAATTTTTGTGTTTGTTTTATTTTGTTTTTGATCCAGACCTAGATATCTCAGCAACTCACCTGTAACTTAGAGCCTTAGAATAGGGGTTCTCAACCTGTTTTCTGTTATGGATCCCTTTGGCAGTTGTTAAAACTTATGGATCCCTTTCCAGAATAATGTTGTTAAATGCATAAAATAAAAATAAAATGATTACCAGAAAAATCAATTATATTGAAACAGTTACCAAAATGTACATGTATGTATACATGTGCATATAGACATATAAATATACATTCATGTATTGTGTTATGTTTGTAATATATAATTTCTATGTGATGCATAAGTTTATGTCATCGTGCATACATTATACATGTTGGAATACATTATATATCATCATGTAATATGTAATTTATATGCAATATTATATCAAATTATATATTATAATGTATGTGTGTGTACATAGAGGAATATATTACCTATCATATGGGTAATATATAATTTATATATAACATTATAATTATATATTATAATATATGCATATATACATAGATACATACATGCATACACACATTCAGGCAGGAACTGATCCCTCATCTTCTTGGCTATACAGCCAGTCTTCTACTTAGAATGCCTCACTAACTAACTCTTCAGGCATTGGGGGTTAGAAAGTAAAAAATGAAATTGCCCTCAAGAAATGTACAAGTTCAGTATTCTCCGAGTTAGTTGACCCACTTATTTGGTTTCTCTAATTCTTTTTGATACCCAAAATCATTTAGCATTTGAGCATTTTGAAAAATCTTCACTAATGAACATGGGCGCTTAGTACTCAGTACAAGGCTAAACTTCAGCCTTTTATTCAAGAGGACACAGTCAGTAAATCCTTGGGCTTCAAGTAACCAGTTTTCTCTCCCTTCCCTTCCCTTTCACCCCTTCCAGATGATGGCAGTCGCCAGTAGTGAGACCTTGCTTCAGTCAGCCGTCTGCTGCCCCCTCCTGGCCATGGCTGATACCACTAGGTCCCGGGAAATATCTAGGTCCCTGCAACAGGTCAGCGAGGTACCTCTTTTAAAATGTTCACCAGAATCTTTTCATTTCAGTGACTAGAACAAATGCTGATTACAGTATATGGTACAAATCCTTTTGGTATCGAATCATGCTGCTGCCCTGTATTGTTTTATAACTTTTATAGATTTATGTATTCTGGGGTTCTTAAAATAGAGCCTACAGACTCTTGGCACAGTGGCAATGAATAGATTTCAGGCAGTTTGAGAATCTGGAAGGGAAAAATATTACTTCTTTATTTTTACTGGACTCTAAGTGAAATTTAGCACATCCTTCAACTATGCATGTAGACAACAAAACATTGAAAGGGTCAACAGACAACCAGATTGCCAGAGCAGTCCAGGACCCACAAAAATTAAGAACCCCTTGGTCTAAATTGTAAGCTCCTTAAAAAATTATCTTCCTTTCTTCCTTTCTTACTTCCTTCTTTCCTTCCTTCCTTCCTCTCTTACTTTTCTTTCTTTCTTTTGCTCTTTCACCTACAGAGATTTTAACATAGTTTTTTAACTCAATTCAATTGCATTGAAACAATTTCTACTAAGGCAAGTCTAAGAGAGAGGCAATGTACTATAATGGACAGAAACAACTGGCATTGGAATCAGGAAGACCTAGGTTCAAGTTTTACCTCTGAGACCTACTGGCTATGTGACTCTGGTCAAGTCACAAGTAACCTCTTATTACCTTCCCTAAGTAATTCTTGAAGATGAGAAGTTACAACCAGTTGCTGGTCAGCATTGCAAAGAAAATCACAGAGCCTGAGCAGCAGCAACAAAAAGCCAGAGAGCTAATAACCCTCATTTTTTGTGAATAAGCACATATACAAAAAGTTAAATGAGAAAGTTGAGATAAACAAATGCTTTGTTATGATTTTCAGTATAAGTGCTCAGACTTAAAATTAGAGACCAGAAATGACTAGCATATTAATAGAATACTGTGATATAAGAAATGATGAGCTCGTTGATTTTAGAAAAACATGGACAGACTTGCATAAAATAATGAAGAGCAAAATGAGCAGGACCAAGAGAATGTTGTATACAGTAATAGCAACATTATTTTAAGACCAACTTGGAATGAATATTATAAATACCCAAATTAACTACAAAAGACATGAAGGAAGACACTATTTGCATCACAGAAAGAACTGATAAATAGAAGTATATACAGAATGATTTTACATATATATCTAGATAGATGATAGATAGATAGATAGATAGATAGATAGATAGATAGATAGATAGATAGATAGATAGATAGATATATTTGTGCCTAATTGTAGCCATCTCTGGGGTGAGGAGGGGAGAAAAAAAGGAAAAAAATATGTAATAAATTTATTATATATTTAAAAGGAATAGCAAGTTGTACATGACAGATTTGCCGTTATATGAGAAATCATCTTTTTATTATTCTACTGTCATAGAAATGCTTGTTTTACTTCAAGAATTAAAAATAAAATAAATAAAAAAATTTTTAAAGGATTGGGGATATAAAGAAAAATCCCTCAAAGATGCTAAGAATACCAACTCTTTAGAATTTCATTTGACTATAAATATCATTCCCAATTTAGTCAAGTCAAGAGAACAAGCTTTTATTAAGCACCTATTATGTGCTCAATACAACATCAGGCCTCTGTGCCAAGTGTTTACCTCTCCAACATCAGGCACTATGCTAAGTTCTAGGGATACAAAGAAAGTCAAAAAAGTCCCTGCTCTCAAAGAATTTATAGTCTGATGAAGAAATAATATACAAACAACTACATATAGATAAGATAGTACAGGATAATTTGGAGATAATCAACAAAGGGAAGACACTAGCATTAAGAGTGATCAGTGAAGGTTTCTTACAGTTTCTTACAGAGGATTTTAGCTGAGACTTGAAACAAACCAGGAGATGGAGATAAGGATTCTAGCATTCTACATAAACATTCTAGGCATGGAAGATAGCAGGAGAACAGCAAATGGGAGAGACTATGTGATGATTGAAAACATACCATTTTGCCTTTTGTGAATCTCAACCAATTAATGGAATACTGGTATTTTAATCAATTAACTTAATCAATTAATCGAATTAATACTGTTATTTACTTGCTTTAGTCTTATCACCTCAAGTAGACTGTAAGGCTCTTGAGGACAGGGCTTATCTTTTGTACTTCCCTTGCATTCCTTCCAGCCAAGCATTAAACATTCCATAGATATTCTATAAATAAAACCCAGTGTCTGTCCTTATATACCTTAGAATCCAGCAGTGCTTTACACAATACCATGTAATGAAAGATTAGGGTTGAAAAAGACCTTGGGGATAATTTAGTACCAGTTCCCTTTATACCCCAGATGAAGAAACTGAAACCCTGAGTGGTAAGATGACTTGTTCAAAGTTATACATGGAGCTAACATTTATTATTAGTTCCAGTAATGAAACTTATCCAATACCCAGAGAACCTGCAAGTCTATTCATTCTTACCTTTCTGATGTCCTTACATCACAAACTGAGTAGCAATTTTGCCTTACATCCTCTTCTAAAGAGGAAACCAACTCTGGAGCAGCAGTTTCTTGGTGATGACTCCATGAACATTCGTGGAAGACATCTGGATGAGTTAATAGTGCACCCCAAGTTCTCTCTTCATCTTCATCAGAGCTCCACTCTTCCTCATCAATGGACTTATGGAAAGATACTGTCTTAGAACCCACATCTTCCTCTGATTCCAATGAGGAACTGTCCTTCTCACTATTACCTGGATTCGAGTTGCTCCTGTGTTCCGAAGTAAGGCATTCAGCCCTGGTAAATTCTTTGTCTTGAGAGGGCGTAGGTGTCTGTTAGGATTTTTAAAAGGAATTAAAATCTGAACCTTTCTCTTTCTCTAGGCAATTTTCTAAGAAATGTCTCTTGATTCAAATCCTTTACCATCTCAGATCTCTCTTCTATAAAACTCTAAATAAAACAGAACCATTTTTCCTTCTCTGGACTTTCCTTCTCAGCTCTCTAACCATTCTTCATCTTTTTCTGTCCCATTCTTCTATTTATCATGTCTTCCAGAGTTTTATTTTTGGCTTCTCTCTTTTCCTCTTCGTAATTTCTACCACTCACAACTCCTGGAACTCATTTGTAACTTCCATTCAGTTTTCCCATATTCCCATTCCCACATTTTCATCTCTTCCCTGATGTGCCCTAAGTATGCTGCCATCAACTCAAATGCAACTGAATAATGGTAGCTGAAAACTGATTTTCAAAGAATCATGAACTATAATCCTTCTAGTAAGATGGAGGACGACTAAGTCTTATTATGGTCTCTGTTATTATGTCCTATAGACAACTGGATCTGATCATCTGCCCTACCATTAGTCTGTCCTTCGGATCCTTGGGCATTGCCATCTGATCTGTTGATGTACTCTAAGTAATCCTTGACCTTGACATCTACCCTTTCATTGCACCCAAAGGAACACTAGGTCATTCTATTCATCCTGCAGCTGTTGTCTCCCTATTAGAACATGAATTCCTAGAAAGCAGGGACTGTCTCATTTTGGCACTTTGCAAGCATTTAATAAATGCTTTTTTTTCCTTCCTTCCCTTCCTCCTTCCTTCTTTTCTCCCTTCTTCCTTCCTGTCATTCCTTCCTTCCTTTTCTCTCTCCCCCATTATTCCTCCTTTCCTCCCCTCCCTCCTTTTTTTCTTCCTTTTACCTCCTTCTTCCCTCCTTTATTCCTTTCTTTCTTCCTAGCTTTCCTCCTTCATCTTTTTCTTCTTTCCTCCCTATCTCCATCCTTCCTTCCTTCTTTCCTGCCTTCATATCTCCCATATCTGGGACATTTGAGAGATTGATTATATATCTTTATTTCATTCTATTTCAATTTTCTCTAAATCATTTAGGTAATTATCTCATAAACCATAAGCTCCCAAAATAAAAGATATGGTCTATGATTTTTTTTTCGCTAGCACAACATTGTACCATTAGACTGTAAGCTCCTTGAGAACAAGGATTGTCTTTCACCTTTCTTTGTCTCCCCTTTGCTTAGCACAGTGCCTGACACATAGAAGGTGCTAAATAACTGGTCATTCACTGAGTGACACATAATTGATAAATGCTTTTGGTGATGATGATGCCTCCTCCTATGTAAAGACTAAGAACTTTTTTCCCCATTTTGATCTCTCTTAGTAGAAATGGGTACTCATTTTAGGTGAATTACCTCTTCTGTGATCGTTTTGCTTCCTACTTAAAAAAAAATCCCATCCTTCTATTCATACTTAAATTATATAGATACTGATAAAAGGTAATTATAAGTTGAGACCACCCTCCAGATTCTGGTTCTAGATGAGTCAGCTATTGAAATAGCTACAAAAGGAGAACAGCATAAGGGAATGGAAGGAACAGAAGGAGAACCTGAATGGAAAGACAAAAATACAACAGTGTCTTTTTAACTGATCCTTTACATTTATAACAAGGTGGGGTTCACTAATATTCTAGTAAGAAAATTTCCATTGAACCCTTTCCTTGCACATACCACTAAGGGTAATAAAAGTACCTAAAATATACATACCTAAAAAATACATTTACATTTCCAAATCAGAATAATTTGATCTAAACAAATAGTATCTTATCTTACCAGCAAATCCTGGTCTATTTCAGGCAGTATACCTTGAAGTGGTCTGCAAAGACGCAAAGTAACCTTTTCAGGAGCACCTCTCAGTAGGTGAAGGACTTCCTAAAAGCCAAAGACACGGCTATTACCAACAGTTAGGGAATTGGTGTATCTCCATAACACAGGTGCAGCTCTGGTAAAGATGTCAGAGGTCATCTTAGCCAACCCCTTTGTTTTACACGTGAGGGATCCAGGGCTTGGAGAGAGTAAGCAACTTGCCCAAAGGCATACAGGCTATTATGTGGGAATTATTTTGACTCCAATTCAGAATTATTTCCACTGTGTTATGCTACTGCTCTAGTTAGATGTCGAGCTACATGTTGCCCCTGTCCCACTCTTCTACCCTTCCTACCAACTCTTCAACGTGAGCATTCACAACTTGGACACTGGCAAACATTAAGGGGTTTAATTTACTATTTTGTTGATTGTCTAGACTTAAGAAAGTGATGGAGAAAATATTAATAATGCAAATTAAACTGAAAAGTATGTGCCAATATATTCTTTTTCAGAATATTATTAGTTACTAGACATCCACCAGCAGACTCCTGCCTTTCCTCTTATAATTAGTGTTCTAAATTAGAGGCACCATTTGCCCACACACACACCTGTTTTGCACAAAACTTCAAGATAGCCTCTTGTCAGCATTATTTTTTAGCATTTTCCTTTCAAAGACTATTCATTTTAAGTATGTGGCCTATATTTGGACCAAGATAGCATATTCTTCTTTTTTTCTTTCAATTTTCATTGTTTCCTCTCTTTTCCATTTGTAAGGATAAATTTTAACAACTGAATATGGGCTACATTGAAGACCTTTGAGGGAAGGTGCTCTGTGTAAATAAATGAAAGAATGTCATGTAAACGCCAACTGTCCTATATGTGCACTTGAATCAAATCCTTTCTCGTATTCTCCAGATAACTATATTGCATACCAAAAAAAAAAATCCACTAAATTCCAAAGTTAATGAGAAATCTACAGACTAGCCATTATGGTATTTTAAATTTGCCTCCTCTTAAATTGCCCAAGAATGAAAGAAATTGATTCTAGAGTTCCTTGGAATTGGCCAATCAATGAAGTTGAAGATGAAATAGACAGTATTTTAATGTGTTTGGTAATTCAGTCATATATAATATGTCCTCCAAAGTAATATTTCCCATTGCACACACTAAAGGGCATAAATCTAGTATCTAGGTCAGAATTTTGTTTCTGGTATGATAATTAAGTTAATTATAATCAATACTAGCCCAGTGCTGCCCATTTCCAAAGCTGTGAAATAGGAAATTAAGTGCAGATAATTATTCTGCATAACTGTTCTATCCTTCCAGCCAAAGATGATTTCTTCACCTGTAATCTTTAGATAGAAAATATTTCAGAGCAGTGAGCCTGATGAAATTCAGTTTGACCTTAATTATATTCCACCATGAGGAGCATCATTTGTTAAGCTCCAGTACCTGGTAAGAGAGACCTTGTGTAGGCTTTCCATTCACAGCCAGGATAATATCACCAACTGCAATTTCCCCATTCTCTTCAGCTGGCTGCCCTGGAAACAGTCTCTTAATCCTCACGATATAACTTCTAAGGTGATCTGAGCTCTCCCTTGCTGTCTGAAGGAAGCTGAATCCCAGGCCACTGGAGGTCTTCTTCAGAGTGACCTCAAATATGTTATCTGTTTGATGAGAAGTCAATAAAGGAATTCATCAGTAGACTTCAGCACTGGAATTATTTCCCCAGTGATTGAAGCAAAATGGAAACTGTCCAAGAGCTTTGATCTAAACTTTACATACAACCCCCAAAAAATATAAAGCAGATTTTCACAATTTCCAGTTCAGTTTAGTGATTTTCCATTTTTTAAAAGATTTTATATGTGAATGCAAAAACTCGCTCATGCACACACACTCCACTTCAGTCTTCGATATCACCTTTTCACCTACTTACCCTCCATCCTAAGAGTCTACAAAGCTTTCATGGGAAACAAAAGTTCATATGATTGGGCTAAACAATCCAAAACATTCAGATTAGAAAAAGAATTGTTTTTAAAAATTGGAATTGTCTTCCATATTCTCTGGATAATTGCTGAACTCCCCGCTTAGTTCTGCTATTTAGACTTGACCTTAAAACATAACACGTGTTTAGATACCACGTGTTCAAAACCATACAGAAAGCAAGATGGCCTGGCAGTGAAACCAAAGTTTTCCCCTGTGGGATCATAGGCAGCACAAAGAGGGGCCAAATGGTGCTGATGGTGGTGGTGCTGATGGTGGTGGTGATGGTGGTGGTGATCATCCATTGGAAGGAATTCTGGGTTTGAGGTCAGAGGATTTCTGTTCAAGTCCTTGCTAGCTACTTACCACTGTGTAACTATGCAAATCACTTAACCCCTCTTGGCCTCAATTTCTTCCTCAATAATTGAGAGGATAGGAATGAATGCTCTCATAGTCCCTCCCAACACTAAGGGCTAGGATGATGATATAATGATCTTAGATCAATATTCTAGAGGGCTAGATGGTTTACAGAATACTCTTCTTAGGACAACCCAGAGTGAGTAGGCAGTCAGCACATCGACATTAGTAGCCCTACTTTACAGGTAAGGAAACTGAAATATTTGATGACTTTTTGAAAAAGTAGGAAGTGCTGAGCTTAGAGCCAGGAAGACCGGGTCCAAGTCCCTGCTCTGACATTTAATAGCTAGGTGACAATGTGTCTTAGGCATTATTCCTTCTACCCACACTTTGAACACAGAGGAGCTCATTAGGCTGCATGGCATTAAACTTTACTTATGGAGACATCAATGGGGATCAAGCAAATGAACTGGCTCATTTGTGGGGTGGGAAACTTATGTAAACTGCTATCAAGAAGGAAGGGTAGTTTTTAGAATTTGATTACTTACATATTCCAGAAGGAGTCATTATAGTTAGTGACTTATGTGCATCTTCACTGTAGAATTTCACTAGTATATCCATGCTGAGTGTTTGCTTATATAATTTGACTTAGTTTTTATATTAAGTATTTTTTTAAATTTCATTCATCAATTCAACCACTTCAATCCACAATTTACATTTGGGGCCATTGTGCATCATGTCTAAGATATAAGCTTTGTATGACTCAAGTAGCTCTTTAGACCAATCTACTGAGTCATACAATGGTTACAATCTATGCTTATTGAAATAAAAAAATCATAGAACCTTTCTATGCTTTGGCATAAAACCATTTTAAGTGATTCTAATGCTTTAATAAATTAATGAGTTTTTTAAGTCATTTTTATTTTTTCTCTAATAGATGTCAAGGTATTGTTCATTTTCTAAAACAAAAAAAAACCTTTTTACTGGAAACGTTACAGCAGGGAAAGAAAAGTATTTACTTTTTTTTTCCTTCTCTATGATCAGCAAACAGTTAAGGTGATATTCGACACATGAAAGTTATTGGGTTTTGTCTTTTCTTGACCCAGATGGTAGAATTAGGAATGATGTATGGAAATTACAGAGACGTAGACTTCAGCTTAATGTCATGAAAATTTTCCTAATTATTTTATTTCTAATAACAAAAATAGCAGCTAGAAACTCCTCCATTAGACTATGAGCTCCTTGAGAGTGGGGATGGCCTTTTACCTTTCTTTGGATCCCCAGAGCCTGGCTTGTAGTAGTGCTTAATAAATGTTTATTGACTGATTGCTTTATATGTCTCATGTGAGCCTTATAATAACCCTGTGAGACAGAAAAAAAACCCCAAGCATTATGTCCCCATTTTACAGATGAAGAAACAAAGACTCAGAGACATTAAATGACTTGCTCTTAGTCTAATACAAAGCTAATACAAATAAGAGGCAGGACTGAACTCCCAGCCTTCTCTCGCTGTCCAATAATGTATCCATTACAACACACTGCCTTTTCAACTAGTCAATCAGAGACACAAAGAAAAGCAAAAGGATTCCCTTCTCTCAAGGAGCTCCCAGTCTACTGGGGGAACTTGTAAGCAACTAGGTAACAGTTAGTAGTGGGTAGCCTGGAGGGAAGAATCCTACCAGACTCACAGCCCTGGAGTCAGGAAGATCAGAGTTCAAATCTAGCCTGAGACACTTCCTAGCTATGTAACCCTGGGCATATCACTTAACTTCTCTTTCCCTTAGCTTCTTCATCTATAAAATGGTGATAATAATTAGCACTTACCTCCCAGCGTTGTTATGAGGATCAAATGAGAAAATTGTAAAGCACTGAGCACAGTGCCTAGCACATAGTAAGCATTATATAAAAATCATTATTATTGTATACGGGATAAATTGGAGGTAGTCTCAGAGGGAAAAGCACTACAATTGAGGAGGATTGGGAAAGACTTCTTGCAGGAGGTGGGGCTTTAGCTGAGACTTGAAAGAAGCTTAGGAAGCTGGAAAGAGGCAGGGGCTAGAAGGGAAAAAATTCCAGGTAGGGGGCACAGCCAGTAAGAATGCATTGGGTGAGAAGATGGAATGTCATGTGTAAGAAACAGCAGTGAGGCCAGTGTCATGGAGCACAGTAAGATGTAAGAAGACTAGGAAGGAAGAAGGGCCCAGATTAGGAAGGGCTTTAAAAGTCAAACAGCAGATTTTATATTTGATCCTAGGGATCAAATAGGGAGCCTCTTGAGCTTATGGAATAGTGGGTTGTGACCTGGTCAATCTTGTGCTTAAGGAAGGTCAATTTGACAGCTGAGTAGAGAATGGACTGGATTGAGGAGAGAATTGAGGCACAGAGACCAACCAACAGGGTATTGCAATAGTACAGGCATAAGGTGATGAGAACCTGTACCACAATGGTGCCAGGGTCAAAGGAGAGTTGGGGGAGTATTTAAGAGATGTTACCAAAAATACAACTGCATGTTGACTATCAATGGATTGGTCTAGCTAAGGTAAGATTCTCATCACCAGCATATGAGTCACCAGATGCTAAACTGTTTCTACTACTCATTAAAACCACCTCTTAAGGCACATTATTAGAATGGGCTGCTTCAATTAGTAGTGTTTCCCATCACTGAGGGTCTTCCCAGCAAAGATTGAGTGACTACTTCCTAGGAATGTTGTAACGAATATTTCTAACTCTGGAAGGGGTCAGACCAGCTCTCTTCCAACTCTGAAATCTGTTATTTACAACAGAATCTGCCTTGGGACTGAAAAAAAAACCTACTATAATAAGATTTAAAATAGCTTAGCATCAAATCATGACTGACCATGGAATTTAGCGTTTCCCTTAGGGCAAAGCAAATTCATCAGCAAAGGACATTGAGACGTGGAGTGAGGAGACATGTCTGTTACTCCTAAGCAAATTGATGGGAGGGGGTATTGTTCTTATTTTTAGATGGAGTAAATCTCCTTAAGTACCATGTTCACCCAAACTGCAGCATCATGTTCACACCCTAGAGACAAAAAGGCTTGACCAATGTAGTACTTCAAGATGGAAAAATGGCCCTGGTCTCCAAATCTAATCTCAATCTCCAACACTTTCACACAAATCTAATCAAAGTCAAACCACAATTTCTGTAACAAGCTGAAAAGCAAAATCCTGCCTTGTGAGCATTTTTGGCATCTCACCCTTTTCAGAAATATGCTTAATTAGTATACTTTCTATCCCATCAGGGAAGATACCCGATTCCTAATCAGCATCATTCTGTTTTCTCTTTAACACCTAAAGAAATCATTTTTTTCACGTCCTTATTTTAGTTCACTATTTCAACACCACGCGAGGACAATATGACAATAGTAACACTCCATTCCCTCTCCTCTCACCATCTGTCACCAAGGCACAGCTCTCAGGGTTGTCAGGCAAGGTTGTTGCTAAGGAAACAGCAACACATTCATCTTTCTTTCTGTCATCAGCAGATGGACACTGCTCTGCCGGTCTCTGGTCTCTCTTTTCTAAAACCAGTCTTGCAACCTGCACGGATGGAGGAAATAAATGCAATTTATATATCCTACGGAGAGCATAGAGTTTTCACATCCCTAAGAAATTCTGTTTCTCTCTCTTATGATCTCCTGGATAAGAAACTGCTTAGGCTCCAAATTAATCTTCCTCTCTTGCTTTTCCTGACTCAGCACTAAAGGTGTCTGACTGGAAATTACACCTAGGAAGATCTTTGGCCAGGTCCAATTAATTAGGAAGCTGCAACAAGTCTCAAAAAAAGGGGACTGGGACCAAGAATAACTATATGAATTCTTAATGGAATAAATAACTGTCAATCAACCAGATTTTTATCTTGTTCTATGCCTCTTTAACGCATAGATCATGTCAAATATTTTTACTATATATTACAGTTATCTGCATGACTTATCCCTTATTAGACTAATTCTTTGTTTGTTCGTTTGTTTTTAGGCAACTGGGGTTAAGTGACTTGCCCAGGGTCACACAGCTAGTAAGTGTCAAGTGTTTGGTCTGAGAACGGATTTGAACTCAGGTCCTCCTGACTTCAGGGCCAGTGCTCTATCCACTGTGCCACCTAGCTGCCCCTAGACTATAAATTCTTGAGAACAGAAACCCTGTCTCATCTAAACTTTGTACTTCTTCAGTGCCCAGCACAGTACTCTGAATATGAGAAGTACTTAATATTAGCTGAATGGATGAAAGAGCAAATTTGTAGATCATGTTTATATTGAGACTAGACCCATAACTAGGGTGTGGCAGCCAGAAATAACATGGGAAGAGGAGTAGGACATAGGACATGACCACCATTTTATTGATAAGGAAACTGAAGAATAGAGCATTAAAATGGCAGTATAGGTAGTAAGTTGAAGAGCCATGATTGAAATACCATTCATCTGATTTTTTTCGCTATGCCAAAGGATCCCTTACCACAAAAAGCAATAAAAGCAAAAGAGAATGAAGAGATAGATTTGGGAAAAATACATTCAGCAAATATAAGAATGGGGATGGAGATCAGACTTGTGATTTAACAGATATGAAGAACTCCCTCTTCCAATGCAGGTCAGCACCTTCTCTGTAACTTACAATCTAAAAGAATTTCTTAAAACATTGACTTGTCAAGAGTCTTGGAACCAGCAAACAAGACTTGAACTCAGGTCTTCTTGGCTCTGAGTCCAGCTTTCTATCCACTGTGCCATGTTGCCTTTTGAAGCAAATATAGTTGATGTAAATCTGACATCTAGAATCTATCAGAAACTAAAACAGATTCATAAAGCTATCATCTAAACCTTAGTGAATAAAGGGAAAAGGCTATAAACAGTTCTTAAAAAAGAAAATACAAGTGATAAATAATGACTTGGAAAATTGTTTGGACTCTTTAATGACCAAATAAATGCAAATAAAACATCTTTGGGATATTATGTTATATCCATTACATTGGAAAATATCATTTAAAATTATCGAAATCCAATGTTGGCAGGTCTGTTGGGAAACAGACTGTTGATGGAGAACTGATTGAGGACAATCTTTATTGAAAGCAGTAGGACAAGTTACTATAGGAGTTATAATACTGATCATTTCCTTTCACTTGGCTATTTTACTAACATAATTAGACCCTAAGGATATAACCAAAAAGCAACAAGGAGAGGGAAGGGACAGAGAAAGAAAGACCACTCCATACAAAAATATTAACAGCAATTTTATATGTAACAGACAAAAATGGAATCATTCTGCATGTCCAGCAATTAAAAACTGAGTAAGTTGCAGCATATCAATTTAACAGAACACTACTATACTACAAAATGACAAAGAAATAGAGGAAGGTTTAATGCAAGTGATGCAAAGACAAGAGCAAAATCAAAATAGTAACCCTATTTTGGCTATAGAAAAATAACAGCCACAACATCTAATAAGTACATGGCTACAAAAATGTCTGGAAAGGGACACAAAGAAAATGAGTTATTGTATTGTTAAACTATATACTTCTTCTTTTTCTTTTTTACCCAATTATAAATAGTTTGGAGTTGGTGGTATTTTTTATGCTTTTGTTATTTTGTTTGTTTTTGTTAATATCATTAAATTTAACATTCTATGATTTTAATTCTTTTCTAGAACATGAAGGGACCTTGGACCATCTCATCCAAACTTCTTGTTTTATAGATGAAGAAACTGAAGACCTTTGCACAAATAACTTATCCAAAGTAAAAGAGTAGAGCTAGAACTTAAACTCAGATTTTATGACTTGTGAATCCATTGCTCTTTCCACTAAGCTATTGGTTTCCAGGTGGTGCTGTATATAGAGTTCTGGACCTGGAGTCAGGAAGACTTGAGTTCAGACATTATTTGCTATGTGACTCTGGACAAGTGATTTAGCCTCTATTTGCCTCAATTGTAAAATGGGCATATTAAGTAGCACCTACTTCCCAGGATTGTTGTGAAGATCCAATGAAATAATAGTTGTAAAGCTCTTGGCACATAATAGTTGTTTAATATACCCTTGTTTCCTTCTTTCTTTATTCAGTTATCAACCTTAAGTTCAGAGAACATTAGAAGAGACCTCTTCCACAAAGCACTCCTTTACACAAGATGTAGGTCATCTCTCTCTTCTCCCTCCTTGTACCTGCTATCCTGGATAGATATCATCCTATATTTCTCCTCCCTTTCTCAGTTTTTCACTTCCTGAAAAAGCCAATTACACTTGGAGAATCTAATTCCTCTTCTCTCTTTCTCTTCTAAATCCTGTGCTATCTGGCTTCCCACCTCATGATGAAACAGAATCTACTGTCTCCAAAGTTACTAATGATCTATTAATTGCTGAATCTGGTGGCATTTCCTTAGTCTTCATGTTTCTTAACTTCTCTACAGCATTTGACACTGCTGATTTGACACTCCCTTACTCAACCCTACTTGGGTTTTCATAACTCTGCTCTGTGCTGGTTCTTCTCCTACCTCTGACCACTTCCCAGTCTCCTTTGCTAATTCTTCACCCACATCACATCCACTAACTGTTGGTGTGCCCCAAGGCTCTGTTCTGAGCCCTCATCTTTTTGGTCTCTACCTTGCCTCACTTGGTGATTTTATCAGCTCCCACAGATTCAACTATCACCTCTCTTAAGCATTTAATGAATGTCTGTTGATTGACTGACTCTATGCAAATGACTCCCAGAACTATATATCCCTCCTCAGCCCTAGTCCTACTGCTGAGCCGAAACAACTGCTGGATATTTTAAACTAGATGTCCTATCAAACTCAACGTGTTCAAAGAATAAGACATTCTCTTTCTTCTCTAAAACTGTTCTTCTTCCCAATACCCCAATTACTGTCAAGAGCATCGTTCTGGTAATCCAGGTTATCTTCTAGTAACCTCAGTATCACCTTATTCCGCATACACACACACACACACACACACACACACACACACATTCACATACAGACACATTCTCTCACACACACACACACTCTCTCTCTGTCACACATATATACTCTCTCTCTCTGTCTCATACACACACACACACACACACACACACCTCTTACATATTAAATCAGTTGCAAAATATTAGAGTTTCTACTTTCACAAAACCTTTCATTTACATTCCCTTCTTTCCACTCTCACAGCTGCTACCCTTACTCAGGCCCACATCACCTTTCACATGGACGATTGCAATAACCTTCATTTTGGTCACCCTGTTTCAAATCTTTTCCCACTCCAATTCCTCCTTCACATAGGCACCAAAATGATTTCCCTAAACACAAGAGTGAGCATGTCCCGCTGCTCTTCCCATCCAATAGACTCCAGTACTGCCTTATTACCTCTAGGATCAAAGGTAAGCTCTTCTGTTTGACATTCAAAGCTCTTCACACCTGGCTCCTCCCTACCATCCCAGTCTTCTTCCATATCCATCTCATCCATGGCCTCTGCAGACCAGCATTCCTGGCTTCCTTGCTGTTCCTGCAACACAACCCTCTAGCTCCAGTTTCTGTGTCTTTGTATTAGCTATCTTCCATGCCTGGAATGCTCACTATCCTAAACTCTGACCCTTGAAACCTCCTCTTTCTTTAGAACTTCAGGTGTCATCTTCTACATTCAGCCTTTCCTGATTCCCCCAGGGACTAGTGTTCTCCCTTTCAAAACTGCCTTGTATTGTCTTTGTATATATTCTAGATATACTTATCTAGCAGTCATGGCTGTCTCACTTGTTAGAGTGGAAGCTCCTCGAGGGCAGCAGCTATTTCATTTTTTTGTCCATACATCTCCAATGATTAACACGGTGTCTGGCACATAGTAGTAGCTTAATAAATTCTGGTTGAAGGACTGATTGATTCTCAATTCTTATAGCAGACTCAAAGAATCACTTAAGCTTTCTGGTCCTCCTATCTCTCCATTTATAAAATAGGAATAATGATACTTGTCCTGCTAACTTCATAATGCTCTTTGAGGAAAGTTTTTTGTGAAGTTTTACATAAATGTTAGCTATATTATTGTCCCTGTACCCTCTCTCCATTGCTAGAATGGCTCTTTGTACAGATGGGGTACCTCCTACATTAAAATGACTGTGTCCTTATTTGCTCTGCAGAGGCTATTGTGGGTCTATGCTGGCCATACATAATCAATCAATCAATTAATGAGCATTTATTAAGCATCCTACTGAGTTACATGCTAGGCATATAAAGACAAAAAAAATTAAACAACTTTGTTCCCAATAAGCTTACATTCTATTGAGTAAGACAACATTTCCATACATAAACAAAGACATAGACATATATACTTCATGTACACAAACATATACATACATATGTACACATCTCACAAAACAGATGTGCATACTGCATTGTGTGTACATTTACATATGTCCCTATATGCGTGTTCACATATGTATACACGTTATTGAATCATTTCAGTCATGTCCAACTCTTTATGACCGCATTTTGGGTTTTCTTAGAAAGATACTGGAGTGGTTCACCATTTACTTTTCCAGATCATTTTACAGATAAGAAAGCTGAGGTAAACAGAGTTAAGTGGCTTGCCCAATATCACGTATACATACACATGTATGTATACATATGCAAGTATATATGCCCATATGCATATATGCATGTACATATGTGTGCATGTATAAGTGTGTATGTTTGTGTGTGAGGCAAAGCATGTGCATGCACTGTGTGCACTTACACGTATACTGCACACATACATATACATATTTACACACATATGCAGAGACAAAGAGAATAAACACCAACTATAAGGTAGGTAGAGAAAGAGGTCGCTAGCAGTTGGGGGTGGTGCAAAAAGGCTTCATGTAAAGGATGCTTCAAGTTCATCTTAAAGTGAGAGACAATAATGTAGGGTTAAGGAGGCAGTGCATTCCAGGCCTGGAGGACAAAGGTACAGAGATGAGATATGGAGCACCATGTGTAAGCTCATCCCAGGCTCAAGCTCAAAGGACCTAAGGAAAGTTTCCATTTTCACTAGTTCCTTGACCTTTATCCAATCTCTTTCGTGTATTTGATACTGTTATTTCTTCAGTAGAGAAGGACAGTGAGTTCTTGATCGTTACACCCACTGTGACATAAGGAAGTATCTCCCTTAAGTCACACACACATAGACACATTCACTGCTGGCATGCCATCTGTTTGGTTGGCAGCTAACTGTTGATGGTGTCCAAAATCTCCCTAAAATCTTCCCTGATTATGTAGCAGAGATAGAGTGCCTAGGGGGCAAATGGGCATCTGTAACAACAGCCTGTGTGATAATCTGAATAACAGAGCACAGCCTGTTAAGCACTCTGTCTCTAGAATCCAGGCAGCCCGATTCATTAGGCCAAAATTCAACAGTCTTCAAGCCAATATACAAGGGACAAGATTTTCAGCTGGGAAACATCTGGCTTCACCTGGATTTCACACTGCTAAAAAAGTGAAATGACTAAAGAGAGAAGAAATCTTGGTTTTGTTTCCTGCAAAATCCTGTCTAACTGAAACTGGCTACGTTTATGGATTTCCTGTGAAGCTTTCTCAAGTGGAAGACCTCAAAAGGATAAAGTGGATAAAATTACTTCACAGACCTGCTGGGAGTTCTTGAGGCATTCAACAGCCTGCTTGTGGGTGATACCACACAGATTAATTCCATCCACCTCCAGCAGGCGGTCACCTGGGAAAGAGGAAAAGTAAGCTGATGTCAGTATTTCCAGTCCTTTCTTCCAGAGATGTCTGTGATCAGCTCCCAAAACAAACATATTCCCCAACATTTCCATGGCTATGAGAAGTATTGTCCTTTCTTTCTTTTTCTCAGCACAGCCTTAATCTACCAGAAGAGGACAAAGGAAATACAACACCCATAGCACAGTTCTGAATGAACAGAAGCAAGCATCCATTGCATGTTAATGCTATGAGGTTGAGAATGGTAAATGTGTCTATTTCTCAAAATGTACCATTTTAAAGGGAAGCTTAAACTTTTTTTGTGGAAGCAAAATGCTGAAAACAAAATGGATGCCCATTGACTGAGGAACGACTAAACAAATTGTGGTATGTGAATTTATTATTTCTTTATTATGATTTCTTTATTAATATATAAATATTGTGCCATAAGAAATAATGGATATAAAGAATTCAGAAAAACATGCAGAGACTTGTATGATGTAATTATAGAGTAAAGAAAGCTGAACCAAGAAATTCTGCTATCTAGTGACTACAATAATACAAATGAAAACAACCTATAAAGATATCACAATCCAGCAACACTCTTCTCTAGTGCAGCTGAATCAGATTAAAATGTAATTGGGACATATTTTTAAATAAATAAAAATATAATAGAACAGAGATAATGTTAATATGTGGTTTTCTAAGTCAATACGCAGGGGAGCAGAAGGGAGGATCCTTGCATAGGTTTAATGGCCCTCATTTCCATTTCAGTTGGATACTATAACTCTAAAGGACCAATGGGGATCCATACATACTTTTTTCTCCTCAGTAGAGAGGCAGGAGACTTCAGATGTGAACTGTTGCATACACTAATAGAAGTGGTCATTACTGGTGTTCAGTCATTTCAGTCATGTATGACTCTTTGTGTCCCCAGTTGGGGTTTTCTTGGCAAAGATCCTGGAGTAGTTTCCAATTTCCTTTTCCACATAGTTTTACAGATGAGAAACTGAAGCAAACAGGTTAACTGACTTGCCCAGGGTCACACAGCTAATAAGTGCTTGAGGCCAGATTTGAACTTAGGTCTTCCTGACTCACGGCCCAGCACTCCATCCACTGCACTAGCTGCCCATTGGTCACTGTCCATGGTCACTATAGTAGTTTATTTTGTTTAATTGTTAATCTTTGTTACAAAGAAGTGATTTATGGCAAGAGTGTTGATATTAGGAAACAGCCATGACATAAAAAAGTCAATAAAACAACAAAGTAAAATGTAAACTGAAGTAGATATGGTTTATCTTTTTTAAAACATCAGAACGCATACAACCTGCAATAGATACACATATCTGAAGGTACTCAAGTCCCAAAATAACCTGGGTATAGGGAGGGATCTCTTAATTCTTAGTCTCATCCTCTAAGTAAGTGACTAATTACAGTAAGGTGGTAATAATTAGACTAAAAGATTTCAAAGAAAGAGACATAGCTTTTTTGTTAATACCACCTTTTTTAATATGTATATGACTTTCCTCAAATTGTCTCCATCATACTACTGAAATAGCTCTTTCCTTTTTATGCCAATTTAATGGCCCTGTTTCATTTCTTAAATGACCTCATAGTCAAGTCAACATGTTAGGTGGCTCAGTGGATGGAGTGCTGGGCCTAAATTCAGGAAGACTTATCTTCCCAAGTTCAAATCCGGCCTCAGACACTTATTAACTGTGTGACCCTGAACAAGTCACTTAATCCTGTTTGCCTCAGTTTCTTGTCTGTAAAACAATCTGAAGAAGAAAGTGGCAAACCATTCCAGTACCTTGGCCAAGGAAAACCCCAAATGGAATCACGAAGAATAGGACACAACTGAAAGGACTGAATTAAATAAGTGTATATTTATCAAGCACTTACTATATTCCAAGCATTGTGCTAAACATGGGGCATAACAAAGAAAGGCAAAAATGGTCCCTACTTCTCAAGGAGCTCACAGTCTAATGAGAGAGACAACGTGCAAATAATTATGTTTTAAAAAATTATATACAGAATAAATTCAATATAATCTTAGAGGGAAGGCATTAGCATTAAGGATGAATCTAAAAAGACTTCTTGTAGAAGGTAGGATCTAAACTGTGCCTTGAAGGTGGCAAGGGAAGACAGGAGATAGAGAAGAAGGGGAGAGAATTCCAGGCACTGGGGACATCCAACATAAATGCAAAGTCAGAATACGAAATATCACGTGTGAGCGACAACAAAGAGGCCAACAGCACCAGATAACAGAATGTATGAAGGGGAGTAAGGTCTGAGAACACTAGAAAGGTAGAAGGGGCCAGGTTATGAAGTGCTTTAAAAGTCAAACAGAGGGATACACTGGGGGAGGGGAGGGTGACAAGGTCAAATCTGCTCATCAGGAAAACCAATTTGACAGCTAAGTGGAGGATGGACTGGAGTGGGGGAAGATTAGGCAAGGAAACCAGTCAGAAGCAGAAGGGTGTTGTAATAGTCTAGGCGTGAGGTGACGAGAGCCTGCATCAATATGGTGGCAGCATCAGAGGATAGAAGTGAATATACAAGAAATGTTGTGAAGGTAGAATTGACAGGACTCAGCAATTAATTGGATGGGAGGAGAAGGGGAGAGAATGAGAAATCAAGGATGATACCTTAGTTATGATTGAGTGACTGGGAGGATAGTGAGCCCCTTGACAGTAATAGGGAAGTTTGGAATAAGGAAGGGTTTGGAGTGGGGGCGGGGGGGAGATAATGAGTTCACTTTTTGACATGTTCAGTTAAAAATATCTGTAGAATACCCAATTCTAGATGTCTAATAAGGAATTGGAGATATGAGTCTGGATATCAAGAGCAAGATTGGGACTGGATAAATAGATTTGAGAATCATCTTCATAGGGATGATAAATGAATTCATAGAACTTGATAAGCTCACCAAGCAAAATAGTCTGGGGGGGGGGGAAGAGCACCCAGGACAGAGCCTTGGAGCATACCCAGTCAATTGGTATGACCTGGATGAAAATTCAGCAAAGACTGACAAGGAGCTATCAGAGAGAACCAGGAGAGGGCAGTGTCATAGAATCCTAGAGAGAAGAAAGTATCCATAGGAAGGTAACTGATGATGTCAAAGGCTGCAGAGAGATCAGAAGGATGAAGATTTAGAAAAGGTCATTAGATTTGGCAATTAAGAGATCATTGTATGAGAGAGAGATAGAGATAGACAGACAGAGAAAGGGAGAGACAAATACAGAAAGAGAGAAGATATTTTGTATCTCTACCTAGAATATAAACAACTTGAGAAGAACTAATTCCTCTGCATATAGTGAGCTTTGTAAGTATTTATTGAGTTTAATTGAATTCTTTGTCCTCCTTAACTTCCTTGAGCATCATTTGACATTGTTGGCCTCCTGTATTCCCTGTTATATTTTTCCTTTTGGATTATACGCCATTGCACTGTCATGGTTCTTCTTACAAAATTGCAGAGTCACACGAATCTGATAGTTGCAAGGGACCTCAGAGGTCATCTAGTTTAAATTGTATCTGATCAAGATTCCCCTCTACACCATCCCTGACAAGTGGTCATCTAGCATTTGTTTAAAGACTGCTTCTTAAAAAGAATTCCCTACCTCCCAAGATAGTCTATTCCACTTCTAGTGAGCTCTAATTACTAAAAGCTCAAATCTGCCTCTCTGCAACTTCCACCCACTATTCCTAATTCTGCCCTTTAGGGTCAAGGAGAAATTTGACCCCCTTTTCTTAAGATAGCCCTTAAATACTAAGAAGACAGCTACCATTTGACTCCCTTTAAAAACTCCATCCCTAAATGCTATCCGTCCCCAGAGAAAGAACTGATGGTGTCTGAATACAGATCGAAGCACACTTTTTTTTAACTTTATTTTTCTTGAGTTCCTTTTGTCTATGTTTTCTTTTATAACATCTCTATTATGGATATGTTTTGAATGACTACACATGCATAACCTATATTGAATTGCTTGCCTTCTCAACGGGGGGGAGGGGAGGGAGAGAATTTGGAACTCAAAATTTTAAAAACAAACATTAAAAATTGTTTCACATGTAAATGAGTAAAAATAAAAGACTAAATATTAATTAATTAATTTTAAAACTCCATCCCTACACCTTTCATGGATAGCTCTTCTTCTTCCCATTTGCTAACACAAACATCCCCCCAAGGTTCTATGCTTATAGGTAGAGTTCATAGTTCAGTACCAGAAGTACACAAGAATTAATTAAGTCAGAATCATGGGAGTCAAAGTAGCCCAGAAGGAGGTGGCAAGAGGATGAGTAACAGTCTAAGAAAGCTTATAAGAATAAAGCCAGTATCAGTCTTCATAAAGGTGAAGCTAGGAAGGACAGAGTAGCCCTCCCACTAGCAGAGGATATCTCAGCCCAACCAAAAGAGTCACCAATCTCACCCAAAGGGAAATTCCCTGAAGTCTCTATGGGCGCAACCTAGAAATAAGGCATATGTTGAGGCATTGGCTCCTCTATGTATGTTCTGCTTCTCAGCGTCTTTTCCCATTCTTCCCATGTTTTTCCTCAAAGAGGGTCTAGTACCACAGGTCATCTTTTGAAGGTCATTTCCCAACCTCTAGTGCTAACTAGACATAATGCAGACATAAAGCACCAAGTCATTATTTTTTGCACCAATAAGGAGTCTTATGCTAATTCCCCAGGCTTGAACCCAGCATTACATAGAGCTAGATATAAAGTTCTGTGCCTGACTTCAAAAAAGCAACTTCACAGGTAAGTACAAGATGGGGGTAGGCATAACCAGATAACCATTTGTCTGAAGGGGGAAAAAAGGTCTTAATGAACTACAACCTCAAAAAGTACCAGTAGTGTGAAATAATAGCCAAGAAAGCAAGTGTGATGTTGGGCTACATTGAGGATCAAGTGTCCAGGCCTGTGGAGGCCATGGGCCTCCCTTACTCTGCCCTAAGCAGATCACTTCAAGGAGATTAATATTCAGTTCTGGGCATCCTAGTTTAGGAAGAATTTTGTAAGCTTGAGAGCATCTAGAAAAGAAAAATCAGAATAATAAAGGGCTCTATTTTATTTAATTTAAGAAATTGGTGGTGTTTAATCTGGAAAAGAAAAGACGTATAGGGGATATTGGAGCTGCTTCTAAGAATTTTGAAGATGGTCACCGGAAAGAGGGATTAGGAGAAATAGGTGAGAGGTATAGTGAGGAAAATTGTGGCTGAATAGAAGTAGGGAAAAACTTCTAAACTATCAGAGTAATCTAAAAAGGTAATGGGTTGCTTGTAGGTGGTCTGCAAACAAAGGCTATATGAACCCTTCACAGGTATGTCACAGAGTGGAGTATTCCAATATGGACTGGAGTACCAGGCTCCTGACATCCCTTCTAATTAGGAGACTCAATTAATTAATCCCCATTTAACAACCTTGAACTGGACTCATTACCGGCAATCTCTCTCTGCTCCAACATATACTTTTGATACCACCATCAGCAAAATCCCTTCCTTGGCTACTCCCCAGCAACCCAAATTGTAACCCCCAGTAGAATGAAATTTCCTTGAGGCAGGGACAGTCGGCATTGCTGTTTTGTCCAGCACATATTAGGCACAACAAATTTTTGTGTAATTGATGGATATCTAGTCCAACCCTCTCATTCTACAGAGAAGGAAATATGAAGTGATTGGCTCAGGTATAGTGATTTCCTTGGTCTTCAAAATAACTTTGTTCTGTTTTGAGAAAATTGATTCATAAGAAGTTCCACTGTGCACCACTCTGATCTCTATACTCACGCTACTCAAAAACCTTAGTTTTCCATCATCTATCCAACTTAATCTAGCTGTCAACACACTGATCAATCTGTTTCGTGCTTTTCTCCCACTACATCTCCCACTCCCTACTTGTTGAAATTCTTCCCTTTCTTCAAGGCTCAATCGGTGCATGTTGAATTGGAGATGCCTACGTGACATCTAGTTCAAGATGTTCAAAAGGAACCCGACACCTAATTAGATCACCAAGAAAGATAATGTTTGTAAACTTAGAAAGGGCTTTAGAGTCACAGACTGTGAATCACCTCTCTGAACTATCCACCAAATCACCAGGGTCTAGACCAAGGGTGGGGAACTTACAGTTTCAAGGCCACGTGGTCTTCTAGGTCCTCAAGTGAGGCCCTTCCACTGAATCCAAACTTCACAGAACAAATCCTCTTAATAAAAGGATTTGTTCTACAAAATTTGTACTCAGTCAAAAGGCTGCACCCAAGGACTCACCCCCACCCCTGGACAGGTCAAGCATCTTGTTGTTCACCTTACTTATATAAGCATTACCCACCTACCTACTTTCCAACTCTTGCTCAGGGAAGAATAATCAAATCAGTATTTTGGGAAAGGTCATGACAGTTTACTACCCTGTGGCTCCATGTATGATCCCTGAAACTCTAAATCAACACTCTTTTCCTTGGTTACCACTCAACAATACATGTTGTTACCTCAACGTCTTCCATGATGTCTTCCCTGATCCACTTCCCATCACTTCTCTCTCATCTGCCCCCCAATCTGGAAGTGATCCCTTGGACTCTTAATTCAATGTTCAGTTCAGAAACTTCCACTATGAGTTCACACTTTACCAATCTCAATTTGCCCTTCTTTAGCAGCTGGTCCTCCAGGAACAATGGATTTCACATATATTCCTCCATAGCGCACACTAGTATTAATACCACCCTGAAAAACAAACACACACACACCATTTGTCAACTCTAACATCACAAAAGCAAGATGTGTGCCATTGCGTGTCTCAGAATAAAGTTTAATTAATATCTAGCTTGGTAATAAATGCAGCACTCTGTGGAACACAGATGTATATTACAAAAACTTTCATGGAAATTCATTGAAGGAGGAAACAATTCTAATGTGGATATAACTCTTAGTCAGTGTAAGTCAGACCTTGACATTTCAGGAACTATTTTATGAATCAATTTTCTTAAAACAAATCAAAGTTATTTTGAAGCCCAAGGAAATCACTACACCTGAGATACTTTAAGAATCACCTCATATTGCTTCTTCTGTAAAATGAGGGAATTGGACTCGATAATCCATTAATTAAACAAGAATTCATTATATTTAATATGTGCTAGCAAAATAGAAATGCACAAATTAGACTGCCCTGCCTCAAGGAAATTTCGTTCTACTGGGGATTACAACATGTATTGGTAAGTGGTAACCAAGGAAGAGAGTATTTATCTAGGTAGTTTCAGGGATGATAAATGGAACCGCAGGGTACTACACTGTCATGCTTTCCCATAGCGATGGTAACATTGATTTGATTATTCTTCTCTGAGCAAGAGTTGGAAATATTTACATCAATAGGATAGGAGGCAAGATGTTTGAATTGTCTAGACCCTGATGATTCGGTGGATCAGTTCAGTGAGATGATGCACAGTCTGTGACTCTGAGGCTCTTTTAGGTCTGCTTGGTAATCTCATCAGGTCCCCTGGGTTCAATTATTATCTCTATGCAGATGATTCCCAGATGTGTTGATTTAGCCCTTGTGTCTCTCCTGAACTCTGGTCCTACATTGTCAACTGCTTTTTGGATATCTTGAGCTAGATGTGCCACAGGCATATCTGACTCAATATGCCCCTAAAAGCATTCATTTTTCCTCCTATATCTTCTCCTCTTCTCAATTTTGCTATTTCTGTAAGAGTACCACAATCCTCTTAACCATCCAGGCTCCCAATCTGAGTGGCATTGTTAACTTCCAACTCACCCCACCTATCCAATATGTTGTTCTTCCCTTCACAATGCTCTTTCCTATTCATCCCCCTTCTCTCCACTCACATAGCTGCTACCCTGGTACAAACCTCCTATCATCTCTCATCTAACCTACTGAAATGGTCTTCTCATTGGTTTCCATTCTTCATGTTTCTTTTCAATCCAATCTATCACCTATCCAGTTGACAAAATGATTTTCCTAAGGCACAGAACTGACTGTTGCCCCCACACACACTTGATAAATTTCAGTGGATCCCTATTATGTCTAGGGTCAAATATAAAGACTTCTGTTTGGCATTTAAAGTCCTTCACATCCTGGCCTCTTCTTACTCTCCCCAAACCTGGGATGCTCTAATATCTAGTATTTATATAACACTTTAGCTTTTTACAAGTATTATTTATTCACATCAGCCAGAGACATGGGGGCCATTATTATCCCTATTTTACTGATGAAGAAACTAAGGCACACAGAGTTTAAGTGTCTTGCTCAAGGTCACATGCTATTAAGTATCTGAAGTTGGATTTGAACTCATGTCTTCCTGACTCCAGATCTAGCACTTTATTCATTGAACCCCCAAGTTGTTTCTACCTCCTCACCTCTGCCTCTCAGCTTCCCTGGCTTCCTTCAAGTCTCAACTCAAATCACACCTTCTGCAGGAAGCTTTCTCAGTCCATCATGTTACTAGTATCATTCCTCTGAGATTACTTTCTATCTACTCTGTACGTATCTTACATGTATGTAGTTAATTACATGTTGTCTTTCCCTATTAGGATGTGAGCTCTCTAAGGGTAAAGACAGCACTTTGTTTTGTTTTGTTTCGTTTTAATTCCTGGCACTTATCACAGTGCCTGGCACATAATAAGTCCTTAATAAGTGCTTGTTCAGTATGATTTTGTGTGTGTGTGTGTGTGTGTGTGTGTGTGTGTGTGTGTGTGTGTATAGACTAGAAGCAATGAATATTGATCTATAATAAGCAATGCTTTGTCATTTTTCCAGCAGGACTGTCAGAGCTGACTTATAATCCAGCTGCATTTTGTTAAGCAAGAAGGAGTGGGGAGATGTGGAAAGTGTGTCTCTATGCACTCCCAATACTAGGATCTATTGCTATTGAACTAATAGCAGATCAGTCATTTCACCCTTTCTAGAAGCTACAACTCAATTGACTTTCTCCACCTAATCTTTATACTCAGTATAGTTAATGAAAAGAGACTTGAATTTGGAATCAGATGACGTGGGTTCAAATCATGGGTCTATTCATTACAAGCTGCGTGACATTGAACAAGCTATTTCATCTTGTTGGGCCTTTTTCCTCATGTGAAAAGGGGGTGTTGAACTAGATGGCTTTCAACATCCCTTCCAGCTCTAAATCCTATGATTCTGTGACTAAATTGCCCTTCAACATGCCAAAGGGGTAAGCATTTCATCCCTTCACCTGTTGATTTTATAGAATCCATAGTAAAATACTTAACAGTCACACTGATTCCGAAGGTCCCATTTTCCTTAACCAATTCCACCCAGTAGGTTTCTCGGGCATTGAATTTTGCAGGTGGTGAAGGGTAGGTGGAGTCAACATCCTGTACCAAACAAGAACAGGAAACAATTATGGTAAATGGTTCCATTTAACACAGTTGGTTGAGTAGAGCACCTTTACCCTCTTACTACAGGAGACTACAGCTGCATCTGATGATGCCAAACATTCAGACAAAAGCTGGAAAATATGCAGCAATTTCCAGTACCTGGGTGTTTTCTCATTACTACAACAAACTACTCAGCTATCAGAGTGAAGCTTTCCATTTTCATCTGGGTGCTTGCCTAGGGCAGTCCTCTTGATGTTAAGGAATGTCTCAAAGCTGCTTTCTTGGTCCACAGCTATGGTGTTTGGGGCTGGATCTCTGATTTTCTTTCTTTCTTTCTTTCTTTCTTTCTTTCTTTCTTTCTTTCTTTTCTTTCTTTCTTTCTTTGTTCTTTCTTCCTTTCTTTCTTTCTTTCTTTCTTTTATTAATTTTACTGTAGTGAGATAAAAATCTCTAAGGAAAGAGATGAACCCCATGAAGAACAGAGAAAGAAGATGTAGACCTACATGCTATGGTATGACTGATCCCTCTGGCCCTGGGGTTGCTGTCCATGCTCTACTATGAATTACCCTCTACTATTTGCCATGGAGTATGCCCTGCCAATGGAAACAACATGACAGAAGGGATAAATTTGAAATCTTGGAGTCAGGAAGGCTTGAATTCAAGTCCTCCCTCTGACATTAGCTGTGGGACAGTGGGCAAGTCACTTAAGTACTCACCACCACCACCACCCCAGCCATTCTCTAAGGCTACAAGTTACAGAAGAATTGTTCATCTGCATTGATGCAGGGAATTTTCATACCAGGAGTTCTCAACACTAATAAAATCTCCTATCCAGAAACCCTATCTCACACACACACACACACACACACACACACACACACACACACACACACAAAATAGCCATACTGAAGACTTTCAGAGCAGATCCTTTCTTAAAAGTACCCATCTTGTGGCATCAATTTGTAGATTTCCTAAAGACACTCTCCAGAAAGTGTTCCCGCTTGACACAGAACAAGAGCTCTTCTGGGTTTATACAGTGCACTTCAGGTAGTAGACTTCAGTGTCATGGCTCCTCAGGGTCCCCAGTGCCTCCTTGCAATAGCAGAGCTCACAAGGATCTCCACTGGAGGAGCAGGTATCTCCAGGGTCAGTAAAGCTCTCAGCCAGTCTATCCTGCTCTTCTCTTGGCCCAGGCAAGGGTCCCTTCTCTGTCTAAATGCCTTGTTTGGGTCAAAGTCTGATGTGATCCTGCCCTCCACTGTATCGAATGTTTCCAAACCTATTCCCTTTCACCCAGATAAGGAAATGAAACAGAAAGAATAAAAGTCAGCCAAGAGAGTCAGTGTGGCTCAGAGGAGCAATGGGAGTTCTAGAATATAAGATACACCCAGGCTTTCCATCTTTTACATGTCCGTGGCAGAAAATATTCCTCTTACAGAAGTTGAAATAGATGATTCACAAATAAAAAACAACAGACTTCTGCAAAGAACAAATGTGATGTGTGACTTCAGCAGTGTGGGTTCATCCCTGCACTGATGCAAGATCACCATCCTTCCACATTTCATTCTGTGTAATTCTTGTCCTGGATTTCTCAGAAATTCTCCCTTTTTTCTGACCAAGCCTATGATTTATATCGAGAAAGGTCAAGGAACTACCTCCCTCTACCAATCCAGATCAGCACCTGGGTCTTGCCCAGAACATTGAGAGATTAAATAACTAGCTTAGGGTCAAGTAGCTGATGTGCCTCAGGGAGGGGACTTCAACCCAGTTCTTCTGATTGCCTGTTTGTCTCTCTATGATAATAACGATAATAACTGGGCAGCTAGGTGAGGCAGTGGATAGAGCACTAATTCCGCAGTCAGGAAGACTCATCTTCTGGAGTTCAAATCTGGCCTCAACACTTATTAGCTGTGTGACCCTGAGCAAGTCATTTAACCCTGTTTGCCTCAATTTCCTCATCTGTAAAATGATCTAGAGAAGGAAATAGCAAACCACTCCAGTATCTTTGCCAAGAAAACCCCAGATAGGGTCATAAGGAGTCAGACAGAACTGAAAAACAGCTCAACAAATGATTGTAGCGATCGCTAACATTTCTATGCTTTACAAACATCTCATTTTAGTAGGTTCTATTATCCCCATTTTAGAGATGAGGAAACTGAGGCAGACAGATTTAAATGACTTGCCCAAGATCACACAGCTAGTAAGCGTCTGAGGCCAGACTTGAACTCAAGTCTTCCTGACTCCTATCCCAGTACTTTAACCACTGCACCACCTCTATCTGCTCTGCCACATTGCCTCTCCATATCCTCCTTAAAGGAAATAAAATATTAAAAATAAGTCTTTCAGGATCGATGGCCTGCCTTTCTCTATACTTCTTTGTTTCAATAGGCTGACACTCTACAATATATAGCTTTTCATTTGCAACCAGTCTCAGGTAGTAATTACCTCTGAGTGGAGTCTGCCAGCTGATGGAGCTGGAACCTGAGGTTGGCCCAGGCTGGGCCCTAAGCTCTGAGAAAGTGTCGCCTCTAGCTCATCAATATTTATGGTTTGCTCTCTGCTGTTTGATGAACAGCTCCTCTGAAGGCTGTTTCTCCCACTGACTGCAGGAGAGACCTCAGACCTGGCAGGATCGTGTTTTCTCTGACGCTTCACTCCCTCTTTGGGCGCTGACTTGCAGACGTCTACGAAAACAAGACAACAATCCATTGCCAGCCCCGAGATAGTGAGCAAGAATCTATATGTACATCTGTAGCATGAGGTATACATCTTTGTTTTTCAATTAGGCGTGTCTCTTTCAGCTGCTTTGGAGTTATTGGTGTCAATAGTTCCTGAACAACACAATCTTTCACTGATTTTTTAATTCCTTGGCGAGGAAGACTGGAGAAAAGGAGGGAGGTGAAATCACACAGCCCATCCAGATATATGGCTGTCACATTTAGAAAACAGGGATTGGAATTATGGATTTATGTTAGGAAACTAAAAATGTGTTATAACTCAGCCCAGATTAGCTGAGAAGCCAGTGTGATATAGTCAATAGCATGTGGGACCAGAAATCTGGAGACCTGGTTGATTAAAAATGCCTGCCTGACTTGGCCACAGGAAGGTCTAGGTTCAAATCCATTTTCTAACACTTATTAACAATGTGACCAGGGGCAAATCACTTAACCTCTCCTACCCTCAGTTTTCCTATCTCTTAAATGGTTACCTTTAAAACTTTGAAACAGTTAGATCTCTCCATAAGTGGAATGGGCTGCCTTGAGAGGTGGAAGGTAAGTCTCTCCAGTCTCAATTTATTTCATGGAGCCTTGACTACTTCTTAGAGAAGCATCTAGGTGCATTGATGTGCCTGTTTCCTGTTGGGTGTCTTCTGAGGGTCCACTGTTGGACTCTGCTTTTCCAAAGAGTGGGTCTAAGCAATGATGGGGTACCCCCATTAATGTGGCCTTGAGCTAAGTATTTACAACTCAGCTCAATCCCCTACTCCTAGAAGGGGACCCCCGAAGTGCGTCTCAAGCCATAACAACTTACAACTTATCACAAAATAAATAAACATTGGTATTCTACAGAGAACAGAAATATCTGACATTTGAGATAGAAGCACTGATGAAAAGTAATAATAATAACTGATATTCATATACTATTTTAGATTGTACAAAACATTTTACATATATTATCTCATTTGATCTTAAGGTGGATATTATTATTATTATTAGCCTTTTTTTTTCAGATGAAGAGACAGAGGCTCAGACATTAGCAGTGACTTGTCTAGGGAGACCCAGACAATAAACTCAGAAGTGTCCCTTATCATGCTCCTCTAGGTAGGTTGCAGCTTACATGGCCCATCCCCAGTATGCCTCTACCTAATCATCTGTATTTGTATGTACAATCTAGCTGGCCATGCCAAGGGTGTACCAGTTGTCAGGAGCACACAATAGATCAATAACTATGTCTAGCTACTACTGAAAGGATTTTCCCCTTCAGGTGGGAACTTAAAGATTTGGCAGCTCCCCTCAAATTTCCTGTGTCTATTGATTTATGCAACTGCATTGTTTAGGCATCTATCACCGATGGGGAAAAGCAATTTTAAAAGGCCTAAAGAGATTTAAAGGGCCAGTGTTCTGCACTAATCTCTTGAGCTCTCCACTCCTAAAAAAATTAAATAATCTCTTCAAACCTATCTTACCTCTTACCTTTGGGTTGAGAAACAATCAAGTCCACCATGTCAGGAGAATTCTGAATGATTTTAGCAGCCATATTAAATGTGACACCCTCCAAACTGATATTATTCAAGGAGATTATTCTCCCTCCTGGAAAATGGTACCATTTGGACAAACACAGAAAATAAATAAACAAGAAAGAGAGTTACCCTATATGAAATAATCATAGCTCACACGTTTGACTAGTTGTGCAGGGCTTCTATAAACTTGTTGGGTTTTTTTTTTAATTTTCATCTCTGAATTTCACAATAATTAATTTCCTCTGTAATCCTCACCAGTCATCTTGACTTTTGTTTTGCCATGGGAATTTGATAATTCGGGGGGAGAGAGTGAGGTTGACAAATTTGCACAGCTCTGCTTCACTTAAATCCAATTCACATGCAAGACATCACTCTTGTGACATCATCGGTCCTCTTTGAGAATAAAGGACAACCAATCAACGAACCACTTAATTCTACACATTTAAAAATTTTATTCGGAGAAGCAGGGTCCATAATCTTTACCAGACTGCCCAAAGGGTGAATGACACAAGATTAAGAAGCCCTGATATTAATAGATAACTCTTATATATGACTTTAAGATTTAAAAAGCACTTTACATTATTATCTCATTTGACCCTTACAACCCTCCTGTGAGGCAGATTCTATTATTATCCCCATTTTACAGAAGAAGAAACTGAGGCTGAAAGAGGTTAGGTGACTTGCCCAGGATGACACAGCTAATAAGTCTGAGGCTGGATTTGAACTCAGGGCTTCTTGATTCCAAGTGCAACACTATCTGTTAAGCTACCTTGATGCCTCAAAGTGCCTTTGTATACATTGTTTCATTTGAGGTTGTCCAGGTATTATTGAGATGCAGAATGAGGCATGGTAATGGCTAGAGGACAGGACTTGGAATAAAACAACTCAGTTCAAGTTCAAACTCTAACACGTATCGGCTGTGTGACCATACACAAATGGCTTAACATCTCCCCAGCTCTCTAAGACTATGAGTGCAAAGAAGTTATTGCTTCTCCTTTTATCATTGCACTGATGAAAGGATTTTCCACACTAGGAATTCTTCAGAACCAAAAACTTACAGCTCCATACCTTTTTAAAGTATATTTTTGCAGACACAGAGAATTTACATGACTAGTACAACACTCTAGTAAACACTAGAAAAGGAAGAGAAATCTAGCTTTGCTACTTCCAAGTCCACGGCTCTTTCCACTATGGACATGCTACCTCCACGAACCTCCTCCTCTTCCCCACACTCCATCCCTATCCTGACACACACAAAATCCTATCATTTCTCTAGCAAGTATTTTAAGCATCAAAAATGTTCTACATAAGTGATTGCCTTTGACCTTCTCAACAACTTTGTGTAAAACACTGGCAACTTAATGAGAAATGCAAGATTACCTGGCTTGATCTTTTTGGCTCTCTCAGCAGGTCCCCCAGGTATAATGGAAGCAATAAAGATTCCAAGGTCCAATTTATCCACATTTTCGCTTCCAATAATGACAAACCCTGCGATAGGAGACAATATTTAAGGACATGCAGGTTGCAGGATAGCATCATGGCTGACAGACTATGGTTTCCATGAGGTAGGGGTAACAATTTGTTTGGGTGGTGTAATAGGAAACAACAAAAGAGATGAGCAGTAAAATTTCAAAGCACAGCTCAAAGAAGGAAATGAAGTAAACGTCCCCAAGAAACATCTGCAGTGAGTGATGTCCTACCGATGATCCTCTTCAGTGTGTGGGGCAATCAGAAGGAGGAAAAATGGATTTACAGAGAAATGTCTTCAATTGTGCCCAGTTTCTCAGGATTTCATCTCCAGAATAGATAAGAAGAATAATTATGGTGTAGTGGGCAATGTGATGGACTTAGAGTTAGGAAGAGGTGGGTTCAAATCATGACTCTTGATACTTACTAGTTATGTGACCATGGGTCAGTCATCCAACCTGCCTGAACTTCAGGCAACTCTCTAAGACTACACACTTTAGGTGGGTTGATTTATAAGGGAACTTAAAAAAAGAGATTCAGAAATGTGCATATACAGGAAATGGAGTGAGGTGAGAAGAGAGATTATGAGCTTTTCATCATTAAACTTTAAATATAAAGTAATTAAGAAGCACAAATATAATAAAAATCAAAAGGTTATCAAATAACATATTTTTGTACTGCCTTAGGGATCTTAAAATGCCAGTTTCAAAGGTATCAGCATGCGTTAGTAACTTAACAATAATATTAAGAAGGAGGAAGCAACCTGATGTAATGGATAGAGTGCTGGACATCGAATCAAGAATGCCTGGGTTCAAATTCTCCCTCTGATGCTAACAAGCTGTGATCCTGGGTGAGTCACTTCATATTTTAGGGCTTTAATGAAGTTTTCTTTCCTTTATTTCTTTCTTCCTTGCTTTCCTTCTCATCCCTTCCTTTTTCCTCCCCTTCATTCCTTCTTCCACTCTTTCTTTCTCTACTATCTTCTTTTTTGTTCTTTCCTTCCTCTCTTTTTTCTTTCCTTCTTTTTCTTTTCTTCTTCCTTTTCTTCCATCTTTCCTTCCCTCTCTCTTCTCTTCCTGCCTGCCTTTCTCTCTCTCACAGAAGTTGAATCCCTATGCCTAATTAAGGCTTAAATCCCACTCTCCATAAGTACTTTGACCCCATTCATCACCCCTTTCTCCAGGACTTGGATCCAACAGGAAGGCCTTCAGTTTCATGCATATTCATTCTCTCCCCTGTCACTGGTTCTTTTTCATCTACCTAAAACCATTACTGTGTCTCTTCAAATCCTTAGAACAAAAATTAAAATCCTTCCTTTGGCCTATCCGGCTACTTACTATCTTATCTCCCTGTTTCCCTTAACTGCTCAATTTGAAAAAAAAAAAAACACCTAACAGTCTACCTCTTTCACTTGCATTTTTTCTCTACGCATCTTCTCCTTAATTCCTGGCAATCAAACTTTTTCCCCCCATTACTTCACTGAAACTGCACTCTCTCAGGTGAGCCATGACCTCTTAATTATCAAACTTAATGGATTTTTTGCTATTATCATCTTTCTTGACCTCCCTGAAGGTTGGGAGAGTGTTAACTTCGCCCTCCCTCACTCCCACCATATAATTCCTCCTCAGGTTCAAAGAACTCTTTCTTGGTTTTCTCAATATTTCAGTAACATCTTCTCTTTTTTTTCTTGATAGATACTACTTTTCTAACATCTTTTAATGTGTGTTTACCACCTGTCTTCCTCTCTAAACATAAGCTTCAGGAGGATAAATACCCTACCTTATTTAAGTAATATCTTTCTCCTGGTGCCTAGTACATTGTTTTGTGTACAATAAATGTTCCACAAGAGTCTGATGAATTATGACTGACCCCTGGACAAAAAGTAACCATGACAGGAATTCTTAGCCTGAGGTCTATGAGCATGTTTTTGAAAAAACGTTTTGATAACTGTATTTCAATATAACTGGTTTACTTTGCAAGGCCATATATTTTATATGATGCATTTTAAAACACTGCTCTGAGAAGGGACCTACCTATAGGCCTCACCAGATTACCAAAAGGACTCCTAACACAAAAGAAGCTTAAGAACCCTGTTTTAGGGCCACATAAAGAGAAGAAAAAAAAAACAGAAGTAGTCCAGCAAAGAAATGAATCATATTGAGAGAGTTGTAAAACATGCAAAGAGTCAACTACATTTCACCATTAGGAACATTCACCCATGCTCACCCATAAATATTAAGTCTCCACATATTTTGGAGGAGACATTGGATCATACATACACAAGCTACATTACTTACCAAAACCATGCTGTGGGTCTCTTTTTAGAGTCACACAAATGATCTCTCTTTCTAATCCAGTTAGAAAATCTTCTCTTTGGGGATTTTGTGACCCTGGAGGCACAAAAAAAGGACAAATGGTTTGAGGTCAAGCTACATGATGATGGGGTGATGCTAAATCTGAAGAAGGAGGCATTGGTTGGGACATCATTACTATGTTCAAGTAAATGATCATATGATCATAGGAATTTTAGAGCTAGGAAGGAGCTTCAAGAACATTTAGTCCAAGCCCCTCATTTTACAGATAAGAAAACTCAGGACTAGAGAAAGAAGAGGATATGTTGAGAGTCATAATAATAATCCTAGTAGAGCTTGGATTTGAACTTGTCATATTGAAGAGATGCCACATGGGAGAGGAGATGAACTTGTTCTACTTGGCCCCAGAGAGTAAAGTAAGAGCAACAGATAAAACTTGTAGGGAAGCACTTTGTGGCTCAATGTAAGAAAAAAACTTCCTAATAGTTATATTCATAAAATTAGAGAAATAATGATCTCCCCATTACTGGGGGTTTTCAAGTATAGAATGGAGGATATTATAGGAGGCATTCACACTTCATACAAGGATTGCTTACCTGAGCTCGCAGGACCCTTACAAAACTAAGTTTTCTCTCTTTCTCTCTTTCTCTCTCTCTCTCTCTCTCTCTCTCTCTCTCTCTCTCTCTCTCTCTCTCTCTCTCTCTTCTCTCTCTCCTCTCTCTTCTCTCTCTCTCTCTCTCTCTCTCTCTCCTTTATCCTTGCTTTCCCATCCCACCCCAAAAATAGAAGAAATGATAAAGTCTTGATTTGGCTTAATGATAGTGTTTTTCTGCAAAAGATTAAAGAACTGATGTGGAGAACTACCATTCTGGACCTGATTCTGATAACTGATGAATATGTAGAAGAAATTGTAGACCCTCAGGAGAAAGTGATTGCTCCATGCTGAAATTTGTAAAAGAAAGGAAGGCTGGAAATAATCTGACACAAACCCTAGATTTGAGGAGAACAGATTTCAGAGTTCAGATAAATAATAATTGTGATGCCATAACCTAAAATTCTACAAGGATATTCACCCAAAATGGATTGGAAATTCTCAAAATGAAATTCAACAACACAAATACCAATTATGCCAATGAACAAGAAAAGGAAAACTGCCTAAAGAAATTAATATGCACGCACAAGGAATTTATTAACCAACTTTGATTTGTAAAAGACACGGAAAGAAGATGAGAGCAAAGTGGAAAAATCCTTTAAGAATTGCATCAATAGAGTAGGCAGAGCTAAGACAGCAAAGCAAAGGGAAGAAATATAAAACTCTTCCAAATACGTCCAGAAAATGCTCCAGACTGAATCCTGATCAGGAAATCTAATGAAAAAAAAATCACAAGTTGTTATTTTTTTTCAGACCAGACCATCATAAGGAGAGGAGGAGGAGAAGGAAAGGAGAGAGAGAGACAGAGAGAGAGAGAGAGATGATGTCCACGGACATTCAGGATAGGATCTGGCTAGAAAAGAACATGCAGAGCATTTCGCTGCAAGGAGAAGATGTGCACCAGTCCAAGAAGAGGTCCCAGATCTGGCAAAGATGTGCCTAAACTTATGCAATGTGAAGGAATTGTTGCAAATTGGCAGCTCTGTTTCCCACTACCCAGTTTTAGATCAGAGATCCAAGATTCACTGAGGAAGAAACCTGTGCATAGGAGCGATGGCATCCCAGAGTGAAGAGACTAGGCCCTAAATGGAGCAAGAAGCAAATTCAAAAACAAGGGGCACCTGTGTGGCTTGAACCCCAGGAATGGATCAAGGCACTGATTCCAGCTTCCAGCTGAGTGGGAAGCCTAAAGCAGAATAACCAGAGCAGGAATTCCAGACCAAGGTGGGTATACAGTTCTGTCCAGCTAGCTGATAATGGCTGAGTCCAGTGCAACTCCAAACGGGGCAAGCTCATGTGGGTGTTGCTCAGACCTTTATTCAGGTCAAGAACTCACAGAGATCATCCTAGGGGAGCAGCAATCAGACTTAAACACAACTGCAGAATCATTACCCCATGAAAGCAGCAACAGAAGCAGCCCAGACCTTCTCTCCTAAAGTGTGTGAAGCCTGACCCTAACATAAAGCCCGAGGTCAAGAAGTAAGCTGGAAGTGTGAGCAAACAAATACCCCACCATTAAAAGCTCTTATGGGAACAGAGACACTGAAGCCACAAACCCATAAGAAGAGAGGTACTGCAAAACTTCCATAAGCAAAACATCAAAGAAAAACACAGCTTGGGCTCAAGTTCAAATAAAATTCCTGGAAGAGAGCAAACAAAAATGTTTTATAAATTAAAAATGGAGATAAAGGGGAATAAATGAAAAATAAATAAGCGATACGGAAGAAAGAATTGAAAAAGGAATTAACAGCTTGGCACAAAAAGATACAAAACTTTGCCCAAGCAATGAACTCCCTGAAAATTAGAATGAGCCAAATAGAAGATAATGATTCCATGAAACAATAAGAAATATTAAAATAGAGTCAAAAGAGTAACAAAATAAAAGAAAAGAAAATGCATCTCACAGCAAAAACAACTAACCATAAAAACAGATTGAAAAGAGATCATTTAAAAATCATTGGACTACCTGAAAGTCATGACCAAAAAAGAAAAAAGAATATGGATTTTAATAAATCACAAAACTACCTAGATTTTTTAGGACTAGAGGGCAAAATGGAAGTAGAAAATATCTACCAGTCACTTCCTGAAAGAACCCCCAGAATGAAAACTCTGAGGAACATTATACCTAAAATACAGAGCTGACAGGTCAAAGAAAAAATAAGCAATCAGAAACAGTATTTGAAGTTATGAGAAGCCACATTTAAAATCATATATGATACTACTATGAAGAAATGAAGAACTTCTAATATAGTAATTCCAAAAGGCAAAGGATATAGACTTAAAACCAAGAATAATTTAACCATCAAAACTGAGTATAATCTGGGGTGGGGAGGTAGGGAGACAACATTGGATTTTTAATGAAAATGAGAACTTCCTAGCACTCCTGGTGAGAAAACCAGAGTTTCATAAGAACTTTGAAGCACAAATACAATAGTCAAGAGAAATGTATAAAGGTAAACATAGGCAAATAACCCTGAGTAACTAAACAAGGATAAACTATTTACATTATAATATGTGGATTTTATGTGTGTGTCAGCATCAGGGGTCACAGAGAGAGTCTAATTAGACAGAAGACCTAGAAGAAGTTCTGTTATAATGATCTTAAAAGAAGAACAGAAAAGGGGGGAAGGGAGAGAAAAGTTGGAGGAAATTAACTCACATAATCAGGGCGTATAAGTGGAAGTCTACACAACCAGTGAGGAAGGGGTGGAGGAAATGGGTGATACTTGAGCCTTACTATTATCTGAACTGGTTCTGAACTGGTTAAGAGGGAAGAAAAGAGAGAGAGAGAGAGAGAGAGAGAGAGAGAGAGAGAGAGAGAGAGAGAGAGAGAGAGTATATACATGTGTATACAGAAATAGATTTCACTAAACAGGGAAACAGGAAAGAAAGGAGAGGATGGAAGGATCAGAAGGAGAGTAAATAGTGAGATTTGCCCAAAGCAAAACAAACTCTAAAAGTACACAAAAATATTTATAGCAGCTCTTTTTGTGGTGGCAAAGAATTGGAAACTGAAAGCATGCACATCAGTTGGGGGAAAGACTGAATATGTTATGGTATATAAATGTGATGGAACAATCCTGTGCTGTAAGAAAGGATGAAGCAGATGGTTTCAGAGAAACCTGGAAAAACAAATGAACTGATGCAAAGTGAAGTAGGTATAAACAGGAGAATAATTTTGAGAGGCATAGTGATACTATAAAAACAGATAACTTTGAAAGACTTGGGAACTCTGATCAATGTAATGACCAACTATGATTCCAGAGTTCTGAAAATGAAACATGCTCTCTGCTTCCTGATAAAGAAGTGAAGGAATGAGTGCAGAATTACATATGTGTGAGTGTGTGTGTGTGTGTGTGTGTGTGTGTGTGAGAGAGAGAGAGAGAGAGAGAGAGACAGACAGACAGACAGAAAGAGAGAGAGTATTGAACATGGTCAATGCAGGAATTTGTTTTGCTTGAATATACATGCTTGTAAGAAGATTTTTGTTTTCATTTCTCAATTGGCATGGGGAGTTGAGGGACAGAAGTTTTTGCTGATTGAAAAAAAAATAAATTTAAAGAATATCAATAGACCACATCTCAGAATAAGCAGAACCTGGTCACGAATGCTAAAGACAACAAAAATGACTTTGTTTAGCTATGTTAAGAGTAAGAGGATCAGAACAGGGGTAGAATGTGGATAGATGAGATGATGATAATGGACTTTGGAGAGAAGGCAAAACAACTCTTCTTTTCCTTTTATTTTATCTGCTGAGGAGAAAGATTTTCAGATTGAGAAAGATAAAACAAAAATGGTTAACAAGGAATTAAAAACCAAAATAAATGAACAGGAGGCCAGATAGCACCTAGCTACTCTCAGTGAATTCAAGACATCAAACCTGAAGGAAGGGGTTCAAGTCAGACATCTCGTTTCCTACCTGGCTGTGCTACCCTGGGATTTTGGGGACTTCTCTATTATGCCATCACTGGGAAAGCCTCAATATCTCATCAGCCTTGATACTCACATCTCATCACTGTCCTCCGCCCTTCTGATTGGTGGGCAGAACCATGAACTCTAAAACTTCTATTTAAAGATCAGAACATCTTTTAATTTCCCACCTGGCTGCACTCTTTTGAGACTTCTCTGATTTCCCCACCATGGTCCTGCTTTTGGCTTCAGATAACTTCTCCTCCTCCTCTTTCCTCTCCACCCCTGTTTTGTGCTTCCTTTTGTGTGTTATCTCCCTCCTTTAGATTGTAAACTCCTTGAGCGCAAGGACTATCTTTTTTTGTCATTGTATTCCCAGTACTTAGCACAATTCCTGCACATCTTATTGAGGCACTTAATAAATGTTTATTGACTAGTGACTAATGAACAGTTCTCCCATGGTTACTAGCATGGCCGGTCAGGGAAATACTCTACATATAGTAGATATAGATTTCAGCAGCTTCTGACAAAATCTCTTAGGGTATAATTGTGAACAAGATGGAGAAGAATGAGTTAGTCATGTAGATTCAGAACTAATAAAATAATTGGATGTGATTTATGTCTTCAAGTATATGAAGGGTTGTCATAGGGAGGAAGGATTTGACTTCTAATTGGCATCAGAAATTAGGACTAGAAGGCATGGCAATGAGAGGAGGGGAGATACAGTGAGATAATTTTAAGATTAAGGTAATTTTTAAAAACTTCTTAGCATAATTAAAGCTTTTCCACTTTGGGGGTAGAAGGATAGAGTTGTTTCTTCCCCTCAGTGAAGGTATAAAAGATGTGACTGAAGAATCACTTGTTGAGAAGGATTCCTGTTCAAGCTCAGGTTGGGCCAGACAACCCCTCATGTCCCTGCCAATTCAGATCCTGTGATTCTGAAAGTAAAAATAAGTTTAAATTCAAAATATTATGTAGTCCTCAAAATGATAGACGTGATTTTGAATGTGTACATATTTTGTAATCATCATGATTCCACTTTGGGATTATACCTCTCCCTTACAGGGTCAGCTTTGTCATTCATTGCTATGAACCATGGCATTAAGAGCTTTTCAAAAGAACTCTTCAAACTCCTGGGCTGTCAAAAAATGGAATTTCACACTCTCTAGGCACAATCTATCATGACAGCTTAAGGAAAGGAAGCTGAAATTTCTCCCAACCATGAGGAGTTTTAAAAATAAAATTAGCAAACAGCATTTGGAAATTTAAAATTCATTAATCTAGAGACAACAGTTAAAAGGCTGAACATGCAGTTCTCTCTGAACCAAAGCCCACCCTTTTCTGCTGAGTGTTTGGCCTTCACATACTTACCAGTGACAATATTCTGTGCCAGCTGAGCTGGCAGGCACATACTCTGGTTTTCAGTTATGTAAGAACATGTCTCTGACTGTGACCATCCAAAAGAAGGGCTGCAGTAAGAAAGGACACCACAAGATGTGAAACTCCTACAGGAAGGTCCTTTATATTTCTAATTGTGAAATTGGGAGCTGTGCCTAATGAGGTTGAGAGGTTGATTCCTCTTCCCTCCATAGTTTAAAAACATTTTCAAAATTCAAAACAATGAAAAATACAAGTCACTATCATTCAACTAGGGTTAGCCTGCACAGATTAGAATGAACACTAAACCAACCCAACCTTTCTTTCTTGAGCAAATAATTGTCAAATTGGGAGAGAAGGGAGGAAATTGATTGGATTAGCAAAAGCTCAATAAAATGCCCATGATTAACTGATAACCTTTTGTTTCTTAGCCTCTTTTAGCATGTATAATATACACCCAGAATCAGCATGTTGATGGCTAAATCTGTTTCCTATTTTTCACCCTAAACAGTTTTGAATTACCTAAAAAGAATGTTGCTTTCTTTAACTATTAAGGAATTAAAATCATGGAACAGAAATACAATGTAGAGACTGAGACAGGTGTGCAATGACCTAATTCAATTATAATAAGGTGAGAAAAGCCACAGATTATTTTTCAAGCCCCATAATATATACATCCAGAGCTCAAAATAGTGAGTACCATATTGAGTTTTGAGTCAACCCATGTGGCATATAGGCCACTGATGAATGCTAGTCTAAAACTTACATGCCTTAAATACAGAAGTACCTTCACCAAGAACCTTTACAAATCACCGACAAGAACTGAATATTTCCTTAAATGAAAATGTAGCCTCATGGTTAGAATGGGCTTTTTTTTCAATTACATTACCATTTTAGTTTGTCCCTTCCCCACCAATCCTGTCAAAGAAGACTCCTTGCATAATGGGTAGACCCATTGTTTTGGATTGTGGAGGATGGAAACAGTCATACACTATGGACAGTTGTAGATGGATTATCATCTACATTGTTGGAGAGATTATGTACACTAATAAATGCATTTATAATGTTAGAATTTATAAAAAGCTTTAAGGATCTCCAAGAACTTTACATGTGTTTTCTCATTTGATCCTTGCAATAATCCTGTGAGGCAACTATTATTAGCTGAATTTTACAGATAAGGAAACTGAGACTAAGAAAGGTTAAATAATTTGTCCAGGATCACACATTTAAATGTATGAGGCAGACTTGAACTCAGGTCTTTATGAATCAAATGTCATCACTCTATTTACTGTACCATATAGCTACCATTCAGAAGCACTAGAATAATTAAATATTTCTTATTTAATGGAGACTGTTAGATTTTTTTTTTTAGCTAAAAAGAGAGCTCCAGGGGGCAGCTAGGTGGCACAATGGATAGAGCTCAGGCCTTGGAGTCAGGAGGACCTGAGTTCCAATCCAGTCTCAGACACTTGATACTTATAGCTATGTGATCCTGGGTAAGTCACTTAACCCCAATTGCCTCACCAAAAAGTAATAATAAATAAATAAATAATAAGAATGATATATAAAAAAAAGAGAGCTCCAGGAAATATATTACCATCATCTCCACAATGGTGGTAGAGGGGTAGTGCAGTAAATAGAAATCTAGAGTTAGGATCAGAAAGAATTGAGTCCAGTTCCTGCCTTCAGATATTTACTATTCGGGTGACTGAGCAAGTTACTTAATTTCTCTCTCAGCCTCAGTTTCTTCATCTGCAAAATGAATGAGGATGAGAATAGTACCTTCTTCACAGGGCTGTTATAAGGATTAAATGGGATATATGTAAACAGCTCTATAAATCTTAGTTATTATCTAACAACCAAGAACAAGTCTATCAAATGTGAAATCACATCCCCTTTCTGGTTAAGTGTGATCCATGGAAGAGGAGAGTTTTTAATTTATCTCAAGGTCTTACCCTGTGAATCATTTTGAGGGGTAATGTGATGTTAAAAAAAAATACTACTGGGCTCAGAGTCAGGAAAATTGTAGTTCAAAGCCCTCCTCTGACAGAACATTCTATGGCTCTCTAGGGCAGCTAGGTGGTGCAGTGGAGTGTGCCTAGGCTGGAGTCAGGAAGACTCATCTTCCTGAATTCAAATCCAGCTGTAGAGACACTCTAGTTATATGACCCTGGGCAAGTCATTTAATTCAGTTTGCCTCAGTTTCCTCATCTGTAAAATGAGCTGGAGAAGAAAATGGCCAACTCCTACAGTATCATTGCCAAGAAAACCTCAAATAGGATCAAGAAAAGTAGGACATGACTAAAAAACACAACAATGGCTCTCTAACAATTGAGTCCAAACTCTTAAGCATAACAACGAATACTGTCCATTATCTGGACCTAACCTACCTTTCAAGCCTTATCTTTCCTAATATAAACTCTCCAGTTAAAGATAAACTGGTCTACTTGACATCACCAGAACATTATTTGCATATTCCCAAATCTCTGATTTTATTTCTGATATTACATTTGCTTGCAATGACTTTTCCTCATTTCTACCTGCCAAAATCCTACTGAGCTTTCTAACTAAAATGCCACATTTTCCCCAAAGCTTCCACTGACCCCACCAACCAGAAGTAAGTGTTCCCTCCTCTGTACTCCCAAGGTATTTTATATGTTTTCTATATCACTTATCATATCCTCTCTTATAGTTATACATGTATTTCACCTCCCCTGACAAAGTACAAACTCTTAGAAGGCAGGAATTATGTTTATCTCTGTCTCTCATGATTTCCAACTCAATACCTCACACACAATAGATATCCAAAGATTGTTTGCTGAATGTTCCTTAAAATGAAGGCTGATCTCTGTTTGACTTTAATCAAGCCTCCAAAAAGGAGGCCATATGCTTTCTGATGAATCAGGCTATACAAGGTCCAGAGGATAGCTGGGAATGTGCCCAGGGCTCTATAAGTTTCAAGGTACTAACTAGTAAACAGTAGTTTCAGTTAACTAAATAACATTCTTTTTCACTGAAAGTGTTAATATGCCTGACATATTCAGAGGATGATTAATTCATCTACAAGTCTAGCCTATCAATTTGCCAACTGATAGCTATATATTTGAAAAATCTTACAGAAATGGCATAGTGACTTGATAAACTGGGAGAGAAACTGACGATATGATGTCGAAGCCAGAACCTCTGGAGATAGCTGTTGTGGATTTCTTTCTAGATGGCTCGCTGAATGAACATTATCCTTTACTGTGTCATTTCTCAAGGTTTTAATTCCACATTAATGAGCAGTGAGAAGAAATTATTTTTAAGCATTAGAACCCAGGATAACAGAGTATCTGCTCTAGGGACACACTGCATGGCCCCAATGAACGTGGTTTCTTATTATTTCTAGCATCTATAGAGAAAACAGGAAGGGACTCAGGGCTCTGCCAGAGGGAAAGAAAAGAAGATAGAAACAGAAAAAAGAGAGGAGAGGGAAGAGGAGGGCAGGGAAGGGGAAGGAAAAGAACAGCTAGACCCAAAGAATAGTCATTAAAGATTCAATGTCACCACAAAAAAAGGTCTCCAGCAGTATATCCCAGGGATCTTTGCTTAGCTGTATACCATGCAGTATTTTTATCAATGACCTGGATAAAGAAATAGAGGGCATGTTTATCGTATTTGTAGAGTCACAAATCTGGAAGAGATAAGTAGGGCACAGTATGACAGAGTGAGGATTCAAAACATCATGGTAAGCTAGAACTTGGTAGGTCAAATATCATAAGATGAAATGTGACCTCACAATCTCACAAGAACAAGATTGGGAAAAAACTAGACAGTAATTTATTTTTTTAAAAAAACCCAACATGGGGGATTTAGCATACTGCAAGCTTAGTTCGAGTCAACAGTGTGATATGTCAGCTAAAAAAGCTAATGTGGGCTTAAGATGAAGTAAGAGAGATATAATTTCCAAAACAAAGGTAATAATTCTGCTGTACTTGGCCACATCAAATTGCACCCAGAGTATTGGGTTTAGTTACAGGTACCACATTTTGGAAGGACAGTGGTAAGCTGGAGAGTAACCAGAAGAGGGTAATTGGAATGATAAAAGCATTTGAGTTCATTCCACGTGAGGATGAGTTAGAGGAAGAGGTCTTAACCTGGGCTATATAGACCCAGGTACATGGGTAGATGTCAGGGAGTATGAATTTGGAAAATTACAATTTTATTTTCAATTACTTCTAACTGAAATTCATCATTTCCTTCAATTATTTAAAAACATTATTCTGAAAAAGGGTCCATAGCAGTCACCAAACTGCCAAAAGGGCCCATGACACACAAAAGGTTAAAATCCCTGAGTTAGAGGAACTGGGGATATGTAGCCTGGAAAAAGAGAAGAGTCTGGGGGGAATCCAGTTATAACTGTCTCCCTGCATTTGGAGAGCTGGTTGAAGGAAGAGAATGTTTGGCCTAAAGAAGGGATAACTTTGCAAAAAAGGGCCATGACAGCTATCTACAAGCATTCGATGGGCCGTTCATGAAGAAGAGGCATCCCATGCTCAGAGGACAAAAAGCTATCTCGTAGTCACAGGAGTCGGTTCAGCTGAGCTATGCCAAGTATCTTGGCAAGCACCAACTGCCTACTTAAAAACTGAGATGAAGCTTGCTCTATGTGGACCTGACATGACTATTCAGCACTTGAACTTTCTTCCTGTAACATGTATCTGGAGAGATTCCCAAGATTCATCAGATCTGACAACCACTACCCACATCTGCAGATTCACTGGGAATGAAGGGTAAGAAAATTAGAAAAGAGAGGGAGAAACAGGGAACAGTTGACTAAGTAAAATGGTATTGAAGAACAGGATTCAGCTTTCTTAAGATACAAAAATAACAGATTCTTTGCCAGAAGTGGAATATATCTAACAAGGACCAGAAAGAACATATTTACCCAAAGAACAGTTAATCTGCTCGAGGGAGATATAAACTAAAAGTAGAGAAGGAGAGAGAAAACTGCTGGCAGTCTCTTTACTAAAAGTAGAGTAGTTGATAAATTTTTCACTTCATTTTCAAATTGTACTAGAAGCAGTGAAAGGAATTGATATTCTGAACCCAATTTTAACCAATAAGGAAAATTAGTTGTCTTCTTTCTTATAATGTAAGCTCTTTAACAGCAGGGATTGTTGGGGGGGTCAGTTGTGATCTGAATTTTTTCATTTTAATAATATTTTATTTTCCCCCAATTGCATGTAAAAATAATGTTTAAAATTCTTTTTTTTAATTTTGAGTTACAAATTCTTTCCCTCCCTCCCCTCCCCTTTCCCTAAGATGGCAAGCAATTTGATACAGGTTATACATGAGCAATCACGTAAAAAAAAAAAATTTGCATTTAGTCATTTTGTGGAAGAAGATTTGAACCAAAAAAAAAAAAGGATAAAAAAGGAAGGTGAAAAATAGTATGCTTTGGTCTGTATTCAGATGCCATCAGTTCTTTCTCTGGATGCAGATAGCATTTTTCATCATGAGTCCTTTGGGATTATTTTGAATCATTATATTGCTGAGAATAGCTAAGTCATTCACAAGTGTTCATTGTACAATATTACTGTCACTGCGTACAATGTTCTTCTGGTTCTGCTCACTTCACTCTGCATCAGTAAGTTTTTCCAAGTTTTTTCTGAAATCAGCCTATTCATCATTTCTTATAGCACAATATTATTCCATCACAAACACATACCACAACTTTTCAGGCATTCCCTAACTGCTGGACCTCCCCTTAATTCCCAATTCTTTGCCACCAAAGAAAGTGGCTATAAATACCATTGTACAAATAGGCTCTTTCCCCCTTTTTAAAAAAATCTCTTTGGTTCACAGACCTGGAAGTGGTATTGCTAGATAAGGTATGTACACTTTTATAGCCCTTTGGGCATGGTTAAGAGCAGGGTTGTTAAATTCACTGTATTTATCTCAGCACCAAGCATAGTGCCTGGCATATAGCGGCAGTTTAATAAATACTTGTTGATTCAAGAATTTTATAAGAAAGAGAGGCGGAAGCAAAACTCATGATTCATTTCCAATTACTAATTCATAGAGTGACTATAATGATTATCAATTCTATTCATTCTTATTTCAATAATGCTTTAAAGTTTACAAAGCACTTTCCCCACAATAATCTTAGGGAGTAGGTAGTACAGCAGAATGCCTGGCACATAGTAGGCATTTGATTGAGTGTTAGTATCATTATCTCTATTTTATAACGAGAAAACTGAGGCTCAGAAATGTTAAGTAACTCTGGACTCCAAGTCCATGACTCTTTCCGCTACACAGTAGTGCCTGATTAGCAAAGTGAATCAGAGATCTTAATGCTTAGAATTGCAGGTTATTTGGAGATAGTCTATGGCGGCACGGGCTGAAGCTGTTTTATAGAAAAGATATGTCTTGGCTATAAAAATAGCCAGAAGTCTTTACAAATGGGCCCATCTACAGTAAGAAGATAATTAGCACCATTTTAAAACACCAATTATAAATGTACAAAATAAGGGTATACACAAGGTTTGGTAAAAAATGTCCTCAATGTCAAATGTAACTAGACTGGCTTTTTTTCTCTAAATATCCCCAAAATTTTCCTCTGGAGGTTGAAGCCTAGTCTAACCAGCCTATGTCAGGTGTATAATGGAAAATTGTAGAATCAAGGGAATTCAGAACTGTATGAATGACAGCACCCCAAGAGCAAGAACTAATGGATCGACATGCCCTTAAAGGCAGGTCCCTCGGGGTGTTGTTTTTAGCCTTGTTCTATTGAACATTTTGGTTCATGACTTGAATGAAGGCATAAATACCATGTCTATCAAATTTACAATGGCAAGAACATGAAAGGATAGCTAACAAGTTGATGACATATTTAGAATCTAAAAAGATTGTGACCAGCTAGAATGGTGGAAAAAAATTAATAAAATGAAATGTAATACGTATAATTGTAAATTATTATAACTGGATTCAAAAAGTCAATAGCAGAAGTCCATAATAGGGGAGGAGGGGCTAGATAATAATGCATGTGAAAATGATCTGAGGGTGGCATAATAAAAATTCAATAGCAGTCAATCTACTCATTCTCCATCTGTACCTCTTTGAATTCCTGTGTTCCTTCAAGACAGTTCATGGGCCACCTCCTATCTGAGGCTTTTCTTAATATTCCTATTTGTTAATTTTCTTCCCTCTTTAAATTCTTTTGAATTATATTGAATGTGTGTGTGATGTATATATACATATATACACTTATTTATGTATATGTTAAATGTCCTCCACCACCACTCCAAAAATGAAAGTTTCCTGAGGGCAAGGATTGATTTAATTTTATTTATGTATCCCCAGCACTTAGCATAGTGTCTTACACACAGTTAAGTTCATAATAAATATTTGTTGTTGTTTTAATTGTTTTCTTGTGGCACTCCATACATCAGTTAAACGATTCCATAGGATCAAAGGGATTTCAACTGGAAGGTTAGAGATCAATCTACCCCCTTCATATTACAGGGTCACTGTAGATAGGTGTAGATACAGTGTCACTGTAGTAAGGACACTGAGGATCAGAGAAATTGACTTGCCCAAGGTCACACAGAGCTGAAATTCAAACCAAGGTATTATGATTAAATCCAGGGCTCTTTGCACAATTCCATAATGGTAACTTGGTGGTGCACAAATGAGTGATTGAAACCTACCCGTCTTGTTTGCCTTCATCTTCAGTCCTACAGCCATTTTCCACATCAAAATTATCACATGATTTGCCCAATAGCCTTCCAGATGTATTTTCCAGATAAGATCCAAGCAACATATTTTCTGAGCAGGACAATCTCTGAATCAGAGGGAGACACTCATGTTGGGGCACATTTGCAGAATCTGATTTGAACATTTGCATGAGCTGATTATCCTCTGGATTTGAGACAGAAGGAAGGGGGGGGAGGGAGGAGAGATAGGTAGAGAGAGAGGGAGAAAGAGAGAGAGAGAGAGAGAGAGAGAGAGAGAGAGAGAGAGAGAGAGAGAGAGAGAGAGAGAGAGAGAGAGAGAATAATGAACATTAATGCCATTCTATCTGTTATATCTTACCAAGAATTTAGACTGCTAGAGACTCTTTGCAAAAACCTGGCGGTATCCAAAGCTGTGTTTGCATTTCTAAAAAAAGAAAGTGATTGTTGAATTTAGGCCATCTGTTCCCCACTATAATAGGAAAATTAAAGGAGTGCCAGCATTTTGACATGTGAGGTTAAAGTTATACAAGGTATAAGTTACATGTACATGTGTGAATGTCATCAATTTAGTTCTGGAAGGGGTGTTAGAGATCATCTAAGCCAGCTCCTTCATTTTATAAGTGAGGAAAGTGAGACCCAGGGAGATAAAGCCACTTGCCTATCAGTCGCATGGTTGGTAAGTGACAAAGCCAGAATTTGAACCAAGTTCATCTGATTCTAACTCTCATGGTCTTCCTTCCACAACATAGTGCCAAGGTAACAAAATGTATATGTTTTGGGTGTGTATGTACATGTGTGCGTGCGTGCACATAACCAAAAAAAATCAATCTTTTTAGGTAGCTGTAGTTATATTTCCATTTAATTTTGCAATGAAGCTGCATCTATTGAAAGAAAGAGTAGCCAAGCTTTACAACGTGGATCGCTTTCACATCTGCTCAAGCCCATTGACGTGTTTTTGTTGGAAAATCAAAGGGGTTTGGTTTGGTTTTCTCATCTTGGATCAAAATTTTAAAATATTTATTAAATACCTATGTCCAAGTCACTGTTCTGGGTACTCCAGGAGATGCTCAGAAATAAAAGATATGGTCTCTAAATGCAAGAGATTGACAACTAAATGTGTTAAGCCAAGTACTGGATGTTCTTTGAGTACAGCTGAATCACAAAGAAGAAAATCAGTCACTGTGGGTAGGGAACAATGGTGGAGAAAACGGCAGATTTCAACTTCACTTAAGCACATGTGTTCATGAACAGACTCTGGGTTGTTAACTTTATGCTCATTTATTTACTTGGGCTTAGAGGCAAAGATTAAGAGAGCATAACGTTTTCTGAATGCATGCCCTTTTTCTATTTTTTAATCAACAAACATTTATTAAGCATCTACTATGTGCCAAGCACTGTGTTAGGTACTGGGGCTACAGAAACAAAACTCTTTCACCAGTTGTCTCTCATTTAAATTTAATACAAACATAGCAAACAGATTCAACTCCTCCAATGCAGACAATTCCAGGGATGATGAAGAAGTTTAGTTCAAGCCATATAATGATATGTTTGAGTAAAATATTTACCTAGCTTGTTATTGCTACGTGCGTTTTGTTTGGTTGAATAGTCACATGAATTTGAAATGGTTTCCCTAAGTTTATCCTACCCCCAAAAGTCATATATTTCATAACTGGAAGGTACCTTATAATGAAATTAAACAAACATCTACTGAGCACCTACTATTTGCCAGGCATATGTCCTTTTCCCCAACCCCCTACAGATGGATGTTTTCCAATATTCAGTCTTTAACCCTCTTCTTTCTATATATTCTCTCCCTTGACAAGCTCATTCACACACATGGCTTCACCTTTTTGCACATAATATCTAGATCTGTATCTCTAGTCCTAACATCTTTGCTTCGTTCTAATCCTGCATTTGAGCTCTAGTCCTGCATTTCTGACTACCTGATGCTCATCTGATTGTCCTAACCATGCGTCAAACTCAACCTGTCCATGATACAACCCCATTCCTCCCCCGACCCCACCAACTCTTCTTTCCCATATCTCATTGGTCACCAACTTGTGTATATTTTTCTTTTTAGATATCTCTTGCATCTGTCATATCCATTCTATTTTGATTGGGGGATACAACAACAATATGGTCGAACAATGTCATTTTTACAAATGAGGAAACTGAGGGCTAGAGAGGTCAGACAACTTGCCCAAGAATACATCAGTAGAAAGAAGCAAAATAGGGACTCCAACCCAGTTCTTTGGAGTCTGGGTCCAATACACTAAAAGATTGATGATAAAAGGAATTGTTCTGCGAAATTTGGATTCAATCAAAGGGCCACACCTGAGAACCTAGCAGGCCTCCAGGCTGCAGGTGCCCCATCCCTGCACTATCTATTCACATGCCAGATTAAGGGATTTGGCTGAAGTTTGACTTTAGCTAAAGGAAGTGTAATTATATTGAGAGAAGACATAATTTTGTTTTTTTTGTTTTCTAGCAAAAAAAAAATTATCACTTAATATGCAGTTATTCATTTCTATCTTAAGGCCCCATTCCCCTAATACTCCCTCATACAGCCTGGTTTTGAGAATGCTTAATAATCTTCTTTGAGAAAGTATTGGTTAATTATTGTGGAATAAGGCATCTGAAAATCCTCTACAGAGAAAAGGCTAGTTAATCTCCCTAAAATACAACTTTCATCATGTCACTCTTTGCTCATAAACCTCCAGTGGCCTCCTACTGACTTTAGAATGAAGTTTAAACCCCTTCATCATGCATTCAAGGACTTTAAGAATCTGGCCCCAACCTTTGTAATCTTATCTTTGTAACCCCATTTAATTCAACAGTTATTATTAAATACACATGTATGGACATACACACATGCATATATATGCAAGGCACTACGCTTGGTGCTGGGAAAACAGAAACAAAAAAATAAAAACAGTCCTTGTCATCAAGGAGCTTATATTCTATCAGAGCAACAAAACATACATATGTGAATAGAACACACACATAGATACACATAATGCAAGAAGATTTAGGGAAAGGGAGACAATTAGCATCTGGAGAATGGGAGTGGATGAGAGAAGGCTTCACAGAGTCCCTAGCATCTGAGATGAGCCTTGAAGGGAAAGAGTGAATTCTGAAAGGCATAGATAGGAAGGGAGCATATTCCAGGCATGGCAGATGGTTGATCAACTGCAAAAGTTGTAGATGGAATGTTGAATTTTTGGAACAACTAGTTGATCTAGTTTAAATATTATGTGGAGTCTGTAAATTGAAATAATTTGAAATAAGGCTGGAAAGGTAGGCTGTAGTCATGCTTTGGACAACCTTCAACGTTACACCACGGAGTTAGTTTATCTCCCTCTACATCCCTATACAAATCCTCTGATTCAGCAACAAACTGGTGTAATTCTTTGATCCAGAGCATTTAAAGGCAACATTATGTTGTGGAAAGAGCAATGAATTTTAAATCCTATATCTGCTCCCACCTACCTCTTGTGTGATCTCATGAAAATTGCTTCCCCTCTCTGGGACTCAATTTGATCATCAATAAAAATAAGGCACTGTTAGGCATATACTTCAAGGAGGTCAAAATCGTCAAGAAGATCTTACGCATGCCAAAATATTCATAGCAGCATTTTTTGAAGTAACAAAGAAGTGGAAACAAATAGATGATCATTAATCTGGGGAACAGCTAACATAGTAGTCTTTTGTGTGCCATGGACCCCTTTGGCAGACTGGTGAAACTTAATGTGCCCCTCCTCAGAATGATGTTTTCAAATGTATAAAATAAAATACATAGAACTACAAAGGAAACCAAAGGTTAGTGAAAATAAATATGTGGTTTTTTTTCCTATCCAAATTCACAGACTCTCTAAAAACTATTCCTTTGTTGGGTCCATTGGCACTATGTTAAGAACTCTTGGGCTAAGCAAAGTGTACAATTATGCCTTCTATGTCATGGGGGTTAGGGGCATGGCTCTCTTGTGATCTGGAATATCTGTGTAAATTTTTTTTAATTACCATGGTATTAAAAGATAAAATATGTTAATATTATATAATAGTAGACACATATTTTATGCATTTATGCATTTCTGAACTTTTTTCTATATCATCTGCTGATCTTTGTGTGTTGTCTGTGGCTTCCACAAAACTCCCAGAAAATTCCCATTTAATTTCTAATGATGACCCATGATATATCAAAACCAGGATGTGGAAAGTTGCAATGTGAAAGGGATAACTGTACAAAAATAAGGGAGTATCACTATGCCATGGGAAATAATGAATATTAAAATTCAGAGTTTTGGAAGACTTTCATAGAGTGAAGTAAGCCAAATCAGGAAAACAATATATACAATCACTATGAATACATAAGTGAAAAGAGTAAAAAAGAAAAATGAATCTTGTTTAATTAAAGTGACTAAAGTTGGTCAGAGAGAATAGATTAAAAAATAGGCCTCTATTTCTTCTTTGCAGACATGGGGGACTATAGGTATGGAACATTACATAAATTTACATATTTGGTTGATGATAAGATCATAGAAGGTTTAATCATAACAGTTAGCATGTATATGACACTTTGTCTGCAAAGCATTTTATACATATCATCTCATCTTATCTTCATAACAACCCTAAGAGACTGGTGCTATTATTTATCCCCATTTTACAGATGAGTAACCTGAGGCAAACAGAGGCTAAGTGGCCTGCCAAGGTCACTTACACATCACGTAAATGGTCAGAAGGAGAGGAGCTATAAGCAGAAAGAGAAAGGAAAGAGAGAGGGAAAAGGTTTGAGCTCAGGTCTTTCTGACTCCAAGTACCAATGCTCTGTCCACTGAAACAACTGACAGAAGGGACCTGTGTTCTTGGTTTTGCTGACCTGCTATTTTTTTTTATTCTTTGGGGTTTTTTAATTATTTTTATAGGAGATGTTTCACTGGGTAGGTGAACAGGGAAGAAAATAGGTAGAAATGAAGATAAGTAAAAATAAAAGATATTAATAAAATTTAAAATTGAATATAAATAAAATTAGGTTGTATTAAATGACCTCTAAGTTTTCTTCTATAACTCAAAATCATTTATCTTGCTTTTCATCACCTCTATTACTTTTCTCAGACTATTTTCCCATATAAAAATTATATCTCACTTTTATAAAGTGCTTTAAGTACAACACGGCACCAGTCTTCCAACAACCCTACAAAAGTTGACAATGCAAGACTTATTATTCCCATTTTGCAGAGGTGGGAGAAGATTCAGAAATACTAAGTGACTTGCCAAGGGTCTCACGGCTGATAATGAGGAACTGCACTTGACTGTGGAACATCTAAAAGTAAACCCGTAACACCAGTGACTCATTTACATGCAGAACCATGTGTGCCATATTAGAAGTATTTTCCATAGAACTGTGACTATGGCATTACTCACCTGATAAAACTTGGGAAAAATGCCCAAAGCTCATCTGCGCATTAAATCTGTGCTGGTCAGAGCAGAGGTCCAGCAAATATTTACACGTCTTGGCAGTATCAGTAATGAAAGTATGTTTCTTACCACTGATGCTGCTTTCAATGGTGAATTTCCTTCTCTAAAAAAAGGAAAAATAAAGACTCTCACATGATGATTTATCTACATTCAATTCACTAGGTTCTACTAGCTATTTCACTTTAGCTAGCACAGGTTCATGAGGAGTGCCTAACCATCTTCATAATCATCCCTCCAGACCAAAACAAATGGTCCTGAGCCCGGAAACTTGATTCAGTCAACGTGCCCAAGACTGTCTCTCCAAGCATGTAAGCAGCAGGTCTGAATCTCTGCTGTAAAGCTGAGCCACAATGAACTGAACTGACTTAATTTTCCTTCAATCCAATTTCCTCATAATCATTTAGGCATAGCTAATAGCAATCCCCAGGGAAGAGAAGAAGCCCACTGATCTGGCACTTGAGTAATAGGCCCAGGGAAGAGAAAAACCCAGAATGAAAACAAGCAAAGATAGGGAGCGGTAAACACATTAGCAAGCACACTATGCAAGTTTGGTAAAGTGGAAAGAATACAGACCTTAAAAAAAAAATTTAAAGGAAAAAAAAAAGGATTCTGGTCTTAATGTCTGGTATAATGTAGTTCTTTGAAGAGCAATACTATATCACTTTTGCTTTTATATACTAAGCACTGAGCAAAATTCCAGACACATGCTAGGTGTTTAATGAATGTTTATTGTTGTAGTGGTTGGAAAGTCTGGGTTTGAATCTTAACACTACACTTACTAACTGTGAGACCCATAAGCTCTCTGATCCACCGTTTCCTCATCCATGAACTAGGAACAACATTGATGGTAATATCTATTTCACATTATTGTTGTAAAGCTCTAAGTATATAAATATAATGATAACTTACATATATATATATATATATATATACATATATATATATATATATATATATATATATATATATATACATATATATATATATATATATATATATATATATATATATATATAATCAAGCTTTTAAGTTTCAGAGCATACTACACAACTGTAAATGACAGTTATAATTAGAGCAACCCAAACCTTGCCTACATGACTGGGGCACAACACATCTCATTTGAGCTTTACAGTAATTCTAGGAGATAGGTACTATAGGTATTATTTATTACCCCCATTTTACAGATGTGAAAATGGAGGATATGAGAAATTTGTAAGATCCTACATTTGGAGCTAAACCAGACCTTTATTTTACAAATAAACAAAATGAGGGGCATAGCAATCAAATAACCTGTCCAGCTCAGAATTGTGGAATTTCATCTAGGTCTTCCTAATACCAAGCCCAGCACACTATTCACTACACCATGCTGCCATCAGCTATGATTAAAAACTAAAGAAGAGGAGGAAAAACAGAGGGGAAGCAGGAAGAAAGAGGAGAAACATGAGGAAGAGGAAGAAGAAGGAAAAGAGAGTTTCAGCAACTCATTATAGTCCTGTAGAAAAGAAGATATAATAAATACATATTTCAATATAAGTCACATCCCATAAGTGTTGATAAAAAAAAACCTTCTTTGGAAATAATTCCCATGAAAACTGAAATACTAAAGCCAGATGCGGTGCCCTTTAATACCAATGGGGATACAAGAAGACAGAAAAAAGAAGCATGAAAAATGGTAGCATAGTCCTGAATACTCAGTCTAGACTACCTGTCCACCAGTGTCAACACTGATAGATTCCCAGAGTTAAGAGATCCTTACCTAGGAGGAAAACCTAATCCTCCAGGCATTAAAATGACAGCATTCCCCAAGGTATATGACACAGAAGAATGGCACACACAAGCTTTGGTCTCTTCAAGGTTATGTTTTCCATTCTTTCTATGGGATAGCAGACAAGGGGGGAAGAAAAGCAAATGATTTGTAGTCCCTGAATTGGACTGACCTGGGTGGAAATCTTTGCCATTTCTTGCCACTGGAAACGTAAACTTGCAATTCTACTATTGTTCTTTACTTCATATACAATTATGCCTTTGGCACAAATCCCCAAGGTCATCTCTGCCTGTGGCATTTTCTTCTCTTGGAAGACTCGATAGAAGAACACACCATATTCTGGAAGCTTCTGGGTCAGCTAAGGAGACAGAAATGTCTAGTTTAGAAGCACACAATTAAAGCAATCAATGGATATTTGTTTAGCTCCTATTGTGTTCAGTGCTGTACTACACTGGGGATAGAAGGTGGGGTGAGGAATTTAAAGATAGAAAATAAACCCCTTCTTTTACCTTTAGATAAGAATAAACACGAATGCATGGTCTTCAACCTTTGCCTCTCTATGGGCTTCTCTCGATCTGCCTACAAAAATGTGTGGGTCTTCCCAATTCTGAAACAAAAACTCTTCCCTTTCTCTCTGTCTTTCCTAACTACCATCTCATCCAACCTTTCCACATTGTGACCAACCTCTTACAAACAGTCTACAGCTGATACCACTACTTCCTCACTCTCTTCTAAAGCCCTTGCCAGTTGGCTTCTGTTCTCACCACTGTTGCATAGTTACTCCCTGTAGAGTGCTATCAATGCCCTTCTAATCATTTAATTCAGTCACCTTTTCCCAGTCCTTATCTTTCCCAATCCTAATCCTTCCTGACTAGTATTCTGACCTGACAGTAGATAATCCCCTCCTTGTAGATAGTTTCTCCTCTCTTAGATCAGAGACACCTGATTTTCCTCCTACCTTTCAAAATGGTCCCACTCTTTTTCTATACTAGATCATCTTCTTTTCATATCCTTAGGATAAGTGGACCTCAGGGTTCTTTGACCTTCGTCTCCTCTCTCTCCACACTTTCTTTATGGGCAATCTTGTCATATTCCAACACTTCAATTATTACCTCTATGCAAATGACTTCCACATCTTTATCGATAGCCCTGATCTCAAGAACCACATCTTTAGTTTCCTACAAAACATCTCCATCTTTACACATTGAGCTCAACATGTCCAAAATTGAGCCTACTGCCCTCCTTCAGTCTCTTTCCCCTTTCGATTTCATTATTTCTGTTAGTGTAACCAGCATTCAAAAGTGCTTTGCAAACCTTAAAGCACTATGTAAATGCCAGTTATTTTGATTATGGAACAGAGATTTATTAAGCATATACCATGTGCCAGGCACTGTGCTAAGCACTTTACAAATATCTCATTTGATCCTCACAACAACCCTGGTGGGTAAGTGCCATTATGATCCCCATTTTTATAGTTGAGGAAGTGGGGCAGATAGAGGTTGACTTGCCCAGGGTCACACTGCTGGCAAGTATGCAGGGCTGATTTGAACTCATTAATCTGCTCAAAACTCTGTAATGGCTCTTGATTATTTATCGAGTAAAGGACCAACTATCTAGCCTGGTATTAAAGGCCTTCCACAGTATTGTGCCACTCTTTGTTTCTGTTCTAAATAATATTGTTCCTGTCCATGTGCCCTCTTGTTGATAAACTGGAATAGCAAGTATCCTTTGTACATGCTTTTCACTTTCCTACTTCTATGACTGTGCTTAAAGTATTTCCATCTCTAATGCTTGTTAAATTCCTACTTATCCTTTAAAGCCCACGACAAATATCACCTAAATACCAGATTTTAGGTAGGGCACTGATAAGCTGAAAGGGGTTTAGAAGAGGGTAACCATGATAGTGAAGAAACTGGCCATATGGCCTGAAGCATCTGAAGAACCTGATGAAGAGAAGACTGAGGGCAGTAGAGGAAGTGGCATTGGACATGACAACTGTCTCCAATTATGACAAAGTGAAGAGTGGAGGGCATGAAGCAAGCCTAGGAGTAATTCATAGAAATACCAAAGAAGCAAAATTAAATTATAAAAAAGATTCTGCCAACTAAAGCTATCCCCAAATAGAATGGCATTCCTCCCTCACTGGGGACATAAAAGCTGAAGCTAAAACACCACTTCAGGGGTATTTTTGAGAGAATTCTTCTTCATGCATGAGATGAACTATAAGAGTCATTTCCAAATTCTTGGGAAATCAGTAAGAAAAAATTGAGCACAAACCTCCAATATAAGTATATTTACTAATTTATGTTACACACATACAATATTATATACTAATAATTATGTACACTAATCATTTCTAAAACATACAAAATAGACATTTAAAGGATAAGATAAATAATATTTGATCCTAGAAGTCATTAAGGAGCCACTGGTATTTATTGATTTGGAAAATGATATGGTGATATTTGCATTTTAGAGAAAATAACTTTGGCAGTTGTATGGAAGATGAGTTGGAGAGGGGAGAAATTTCAAGCAGTGGTCCAACTAGGAAGCCAGTGCAATAGTTGAGGCATGAGGTAATGAAGAACTGGGATGGTGGCTGGGTAAATAAAGAGGATGTTTCTCAAATATGAGAAATTTCGTGAAGGTGGAAATGACAAGATTTGGCAACTGATTGGAGATGTGACATAGAGAACAGAAGATGAGTTTGAGGTTGTGAACTTTCGTACATGGAAGAATAATGGCACCCTGGATAATAATAGGGAAGTCTGGGAAAGGAATGTGTTGAGGAGGGTGAAGATAATAGAAGAAGATTCATGATAACAACACAAGCTGTCCATGGCAGTACAACTCATTCTGTTTTACCGAAAATGCAAAGGGAAGTGGTGGCGGCAGCGGGGAAAGATACAACTCCTACTTCTGATCACTTGCCTCTGAATGAAAGGCTCTCCCTGACACAGCCATAAATAAGGTGATTAAGGGATAGGAAGTAGGTGTACTGGGGAGAAGGGAATTGGAAGAGGTCTCCTAATGGCTTGTGTGCAGCTGCTACTATAATCAATTAGATAAAACTGTACAGAGAGGCCATCATTTATCTCAGAAGGAGGAGGCTGGGGCCTTGCACAAAAGAAAGGGCTGGAATGGAGAAGTGTTGGGTTAATGTTACTGTATTGGACACAAGTCCCACAGTTGCTTATGTCTGTCAAAGGAAGAATGACACCTACCTTTCCATTCTCTGATTAGTTGATCATATAACCCTTCAGGTCAGGCTATAGCCTCCACTTTGGAGCCCTGAAGTAGAGGACCTCAAAAGCCCCTTCCAACACTGAAATTTTATCTGATCTCCCCTATGGAGACTTCATGATCCTTCCATTTAATATTGACCCTTCCCATCTTTGGCCTCATATGGAACCTTGTGCACACCTCTCATATACTTGTGTATTATTTTTACTATTCTTTTATTTATGTGTTATCAGTCCTCATTACAATCTCTTTATCATGCTGTAAACTTCACAGAGAGCAGGAACCTCAGGTCACATCTCTTAAAAGATCATCTGGCTTAGTGTTCACAAAGTTTTGCACATCTGCATATTTACTTACATTCTGACTTTACATGTAACTAGTGATTTCTCCAGCTCCTGAATGCTTTTTGGGAATCAGGCCCAGAGTGGGAAGAATGAATTGGTGGGTTAAGGAGCCCCACCTGGCAAAGGCTAAGATATTATGGAGCAACATAATGTGGGTCTGGAAGTCAACCTAGGGAGGTCCATGGTTGATATAGGCTGAGCTTGAGGGTTCAGAGGCAAAGGGCATTTCAAAACAACCACTCTTCTCAACTCTGACATTCTGTGATTATGTGATTCTATAAATGATGAAGGAGTTCAGATCATGGGTTAGCAAATACAGCACACAAAGAAAAGACCAGAGGCACAAGGCACGTCCAGAATCTGCAAGTGTCCTGAGCAGCAGGGAGCAAAAGGATCCAGAAGAATGGAAAATTAAAGATTAAACTGAAGGTCAACAGCAACCAGATAGCAAGCAGGTCAAAGTAACTACGTTCAAGCTGAGCTGATTAAAGAATTTGTGCAATTTGCCACACTCAATGAGCTGAGCATACCTTGAAGCCAAGGCACAGCAGCTTAATCCTCCCCTGATTCCCTCCCCACTATTTCTTTAGCTATGCTGGTGTTGGACAGCTCCCATATGTACCCACTAGGGGGTAGGGAGGTGGCGGAGTGTACTAGGGAAGCAAAAGATGTCTTTAAGGGCATTTTTGTCTGCTTTACTCTTAATCCATCCTGCCTGCCTCTCCCTATGCATTAAGGGGGAATGAAGCTAAAAATGTAATAGAACAATACAATAAGCTAGATATGTATATCCTTGGAATATTGCAAGAGTTTTCTTCTTCCTTGCAGATTGTGCAGGTCAATTTCCATAGCAACCAACTCCAAGGGATTATCCAAATGATTTAGTTGTATGGGAATATTATTATAGGAACATGAATTGTTTATGTTGGAAGGGACACTAGCGGTCATATAGTCCAACTCTCCAGCTTTCCAGGAAGTTGAGGTAACTTGCCTAGCTGTCCATTAGCAGAGTGGGACCAGAAACTGAACTCCAGACATCCCTCTAGGACTCTTCACTAGACCACATTAAATATCATTGATAATAATGGGGTGATTGACTAGTCTTTTGTCATTTTTGTTGTTACATAGAGATCTTCATTCCATCTATTTATTATAATAGAATTTGATTTATGGAAAGACATAAACCTCACTCTTACACCTCCTTTATTTAGTGCTCCTCATGTGTGGAATTCCCTCTGCTCTACTCTTCACCTACTCAAGTCTCACCCATCCTTTAAAGTTTAACTCAAAAGACACTTCTTCCAGGAAATCTTCCCTGATGATGCCTCTGGTCATTAAAAAGACCACTGCAGCCTTCTCACCTTGGAAGAGTCTTCCACCCCTGTGGTTCCATCCATTGATGGGTTAACTTCCATATCTACTCCTTCCATCTTCTCCTGCTCCACTCCTAATCCTTCAGACTTTTCTTCCATGCTAGATGTAGTTTTCTCCCTGCCCTCCCCCCACACCCTACATGCACACATACTTTTAGCTCCCTTTTATGTACTGTCTTTCCCCATTAGAGTGTAAGCTCCTCGAAGGGCAGGGACTATCCTTTTTGTTTATATTTTTATTTCCAGCTTACAGCACAGTACTATGGTACATAGTAAGTGTTTAATAAATGCTTATTGTTCTTCTTGTAATAAAAATCTTCATCCTTGAATCTCACATTGCACAGATCATATGATATTGCGTGTTACAGCTATCTACAATGGTGCCTCATTCTTCCACTAGACCATAAGTTCTGTGAGGACAGGCACTATGTTTTATTGAAATTTTGCATCTCCCCTCTCATGCCTACCACAATGCTTTGTACACAGAGGGTGTTGAATAAAATTCATGTTGTTGCTGTGGTTCTATTTTTCTATAGACTGGGAAGTAAAGATTCAATTTAAATCATTACACCTTTATTAAAATATGTGCAGAGCACTGGCCTTGGCACTAAGGAAGCTCCAGCAATTAAATATGGATTTTAGTCAGGCAAGGGAGAGCTGCTGAAGGGCGTTTTTAGCAGGAGGAGGAGTTGATCTGGCAGTGGTATGTCGGGTAGACTAGAGGGGGTGGGGTGCAAACCAATTCCCTTTTTCTCCTTGGATTTGCTGTGTGTGGTGTGGCTGTCATTTCATTTAGCATTTATTCCACTCTGTCAAGTCTTCTATCAGTGTGAGATAATGAACTGGCTCAATTAGACATCCGATGAAGTGAGATGAAAACATAACCCTGGAGAACGTTTCCGTTTTAAGAGAACATCACATGACAGCAATTTAAAGACTTAAAAAAATAGTCCAAAGGAATGGCAGCCATAAGAAGCTGTGATTAAATAACCATTTGACAAGAGTGTTAGCGTTCAAGCGAAAGAAAGCAGAGCTAAGACACTTGATTCTCTTGACAGGTAGCATATCATAGTGGAGGCAGGTGACTCCACTCTGCCTCAGACACTCACTAACTGTGTGACTGTGGGCAAGTCACTTAATCTCTCAAAGGCCCATCCCTCATTGTTAACATGAGGTAATGATAATGGACCTCTCTGCTTCACCAAGGGCTTAGAGGACTAAAAGAACTAATACCAGTAAAGCACTTTGTAAGACATAGGAGGCACTTAGGTGGTGGTGGTAATGATAATAATAATAAATAATAATAACCACAATAGCTATAATTTGTGTAGTGCCTACCATGTACCAGGTACTGTGCTAAGCTCTTTACAAATATTATCTCATTTGATCCTCACAACAATCCTGGGAAATAGATGCTATTATTACCCCCATTTTACAGATTAGGAAACTGAAGCAAATAGAGGTTAAGTGACTTGCCCACAGTCACATAACTAGTAAGTGTTTGAGGCTGGACTTGAACTCAGGTCTTAGCCCAGCACTCTGGTACTGGCTAGAGTCAGGAAAATCTGAGTTAAGATGCTCAGATTCTTATAATCTAGCCAAATGCTCAGATTCTTAAAATCTAGCCAATAGCTCACTAACATTCAGACTCCTTAAGAGTCTGCCCAATACGATGGCTGTTCTAATAAACCTTGTCTTTGGCTGAAAAAAAGAAAAAAAAAAGAATCCTCCCTCTGTACTTCTGACTCTAAGGACTTCACCACCAAGATTCAGCTGCCTTCTTTGCCTAGACTCAATTTCCTCATCTATAAAATTGTGTTTAGAATAGCACTGACCTTACAGGCGTGTGAGAATCAAATGAGAAAATATATGTAAAGCATATTGTATGTCTTAAAGCACTATATAAAGCACCACACAAATGTGTATTATCATTATTAGTAGTAGTACTATTATTATTTCCAACTCAGAGGCTCTATGATTTTGTTGCCCAACATAGGGAGGAAGCATACTCCCTGAATGTTGCAGCCTTGGCACAAAGTTCTGGTCTCCCCACAGTGGTTATAGATCTCCAGCTGAGTACAGAAATTGTTTTTGTTGTTCATCCTTCATTCTCAAAGAGAACCAATGACATCAGGAGGCTGATGTCTTGACTCACAAGTAGAACGAATTTAAGTGAGGCAGGACTGTGCCAACTGATCAGCCTTACTATCTTCTCCAGAGTCACTGGAGCCCAGTGGCAAGACATAGATCAAGACAACTGGTGATGGCCCAAGATTCAGTGGGAGACCTTGACCTTTTTAAGCTAAGTCTTTCCCAGGTCTTAGTTTGTCTGAGGCAATGCCCATTCAGTAATTAAAGGCTAAGTAAGAGCTGAAACAAGAGATAGCCTAGTTTTCCTCCATAGATGTATCAGTCTGGGAGGGGAAGACCCTCAGAGTTTCTGGCCAGAACAGAAACAATTGCTATTTACATCCTGAATATAGAAATATGCATATCCCCATAGACTGCTTAATTGCAGCAAATTGAAATAACTTTTCCTCTATCTCAGGGCTGCTTCATTTGTTCACTTCCAAACTATTAGAATCTGAATCCCAGATCTCACTTCTTGGTAACCCCAGCTTAGATCTTACTGTAATTCTTGGTTTTTGACTCTGCATGGACTTCACACAACACATTACTCCACTATGACCTTTCAGGGCCATGGTCACCTGCCTGGCTCTTGACGTTGACCTGTCCTCACTTACAACCTGGCAAAGGAACTTCCTAACTATATCCTCTGGCTCTCCACCCTAAGAAAGGTGTAATCAGCACAAGCGCTGCTGAATCTTAGCCCTGGATGGGCCTAGAGAGACAAAGTGTAAACAATCATTGCAAATTATCATCGAAGATTCTGAGGTTACCCAGACTCATTAGGAGGAACTAGAAAAACATTTCTGTGCTGCTAACATTCCAAGGAGTGGAGCAATCAGAAAAGTTCTCAACTTCCTACCATATTGGAAAACCAGCTCAGAAGGGCCACAAGGGTACTACCTGAAAAAGCAGGATTGTTGTAGGAGGGAACATCGTATAGACAATAATCCCCGAGTCCCAACTGAATGCAGTGAGCAGATGCTTTGTGTAGGGAAGCATTTCATTCAGACTTCCTGTCTTTCCCTGTACAGCTGCCACGATGGCATTCTCTGACTTACCCTCACAAACAAGGAGACTTGAATTTCAGTCTCAGTTCTGCCACAAATGAACTGGGGCAAATTATTTAGCCACTCTCCATCTCAGTTTTCTCATCTGTATAATGAATCAGCTTAGCTTTAGGTGAGCTCTATGATTTCTTCTAGCTCTGTCATTCTATGATCTTGAGTATTAAATTAGTAGATCCCTAAAATGTGTCCATTTGCCCCTGAATACAATGGGCATGACTGGGGGAAGTGGGGAAAGGGTATAAAAAAAATGAAGACAAAAAGTAAATTAAAACTACCCTAGCCTTTCAATAGCCAATGTGCAAAAAAAAAAAAAGTCCATCACATGAAACTAATACAAAGTTGCTTGAAAATTAAGTAGTAGCTCACATTTATAAAAAGCTTTAAATTTTGTTTAAAAAAATACTTTATCTTTTGATCCTCACAACAATCTTACGTCGTCGATGTTGATATCACCATTTTACAGATGAAAATACTGGGACTCTGAAAGCTGGTGACTTTCCCAAAGTCAACTAATAAGCATCATTAAATGATTTTTTTTTTGTCTTAGGTAGTAGGGATATAAAGACAAAAATGGAACAGCACCCGCCCTCAAGAAGCTTCTATTCCATCAAGTCACACTGTAGTAACTACTTGAGGCATATTTGAACCCAGGTCTTACTAACTCCAAGTCCAGTGAGCTATCCACTACTTCTATCATGCTGCCTTTCAATTCTGCTCAGTGGTTTTGATGAAAGGATAAAAAAAGGAAACAAAACCAATTTTACAATTTAGCTTATGATTAATGTTCCCTTGACCATCATTTCTTTTTTGCTCAAAATGTTCAAATATTTCATAAGACTAGTATAAAACCATACGATATGATGGCACTATACCTAGACACCCATGTAGATTTCAATGACATGTGCATCAGTAATTGGGGTTTTTTGTCTTATCTGCCTTAATTATCACTGTGCTTCCATTCCCAATAAACCATGCACCAGATTGCTAAAACAACTTAAATCTCAGCATGTAGAAAGGGTGCCAACTATTCCTGACACTGGGTATGCATAAAAGCTGAATCTGAAGTTGACTGGATTTCTGCTTACCCTTTTTAAAGGAAATTATTTCATTTTAAAGCCATATTGGGCTTACTACACATGAACGTTAAGTGACTAACTAACTAAAAATAAAGACCAGACATGAAAATTATCCAGGAAGTTCAATTTTCCCAAGAATGTGTCTAAATAAAAGACTTTAAACTGAAACAAGACAACATGGTCTTAAACATCCCTCCCAACCTTGGGTACAATCTATTCACATGGACAAATAAATCATTTGTGGCCATTTTTGCTTACTAAGGTTTCAACACAGAGTAAAATCAAGATATGAAAACAACATAAAATATTTATTGCCTTCATTTGCCTTTCCTATACTAAAAATATTGAGAAGAGGAAGCAGAGCATAATGGATAGAGAGTACGACCAGGGTTGGGGCGGGGGGGGGAGGGAGGTCAAGCAACTTTTTTTCCTTGACTGCTTTAGATTCATAAGGCAATACCAGTTACTTACAGAATGTGAGATGGAAGAGAACTTGGAAGCCATTTCATCCAATCCATTCCCAAAGAAAAATTTCCTCTCCAGCCCAATCCTTGCTTTGAAAACCTCCAGAGAAGAGAAGACCACTGTCTCCACCATCCCCTACAACCCTGCAACCCATGCCCCTTTTCTTTAATCTGACAAAAAGAAGAATAAGTCTAGCTCAGGGAAGGATACCATAGCTCTTATAGAGACAGATAGAATTACAGATGTGAAATATGTGAACTCTTGGGAAGAAAGACACTACCACAGATAAGTGAAACATCTATTCTCTAAGGACTGACAGCCCATACCTTTAAGAATTCCAGTTCAACTTCTTCTCCAGATAGGGGACCATGGCAACGGTGCATTTTTGAGATCTCCAATTGCACACAGGGTGCTGTCATTCTCTCAATCATGCTTGCTGGAATATAGTCTTCAACCAAAAAATAATGTTTCCCCTGTGTCTATAGGCAACAAAATACAGAGGGAAAGGTGAATGATCAAAATGTATCACAGAACTCTGAACAGAGTAAAAATAAAACATTGGTTGAAAAATCCCCTATTCTATTCAACAGGACATCTTCAACCTAGCCCCAAGCCAGTTTTCTGAGGGATGTAAATAAAAGTGTCTACATAGACAGATATTAGGGTTCAGGCCAAGCCAAGTAAGATGACTAGTGGGCAAATAAGGAAGGACTAGCAAAGGACATAGGTAACTATATATCTTCCTCTCATATGAGGCAGCTAGGTAGAGCAATGGATAAGAGTCCTGGACCAGGAGTCAGGGAGACCCAAGTTCAAAATTCAGCTTCAGACACTTACTAGCTGTGTTACTCCAGGCAAGTCACAAAAACCTCTGTTTGTCTCATTTTCTTTAACTGTAAAATGTGGATAATAACATTGCTTACTTTGCAGGACTGTCGTAAGAATCAAATGGCACAGTGTTTTTTAAGGAGTTCAGGGAAGACAGAAGGTCTCAACCTATGATTCCATAGAGAGAATAAGTTCCTAGGAAAGAAACCCTCTCTAACAATGCAGATCTGCCTAGCAAAAGAAAAAAGAATTCTCTTAAAAAAAAAAAACAATGCAGATCCACAAAAGTTCTCCACTTATAATTTTAGGGTCTTCTGGGATGCTCAGGTGATAAGTGATTTATCCACAGTTATAAATCTACTACATGTCAGAGGTAGTACTTATACCTGAGATTTTCTGACTCAAGGCTCTATCCAATAAGCCATGCTGCCTCTGACCTTACACATAATAGGGGAGGCTAGGTAGCCCAGTGGATAGAGCACTGGGTCTGGACTCAAGAAGATTCATCTTCCTCAGTTCAAATCCAGCCTCAGACACTTACTAGCTGTACAACCCGGACAAGTCACTTAACCCTGTTTGCCTTAGCTTCCTCATCTGTAAAATGAGATGGACAAGGAAATGGCAAACCACTCCAGTATCTTTGCCAGGAAAACCCCAAATAGGGTCACAAAGAGTCAGACGCGACTGAAAATAAAAACTACTGAATGACAAATAAATGCTTGTTGAATGAATGAATATGAATATGAACAACTGGGTTCCTAGGGAGAATATTTGAAGCAGGCAAACAGATCCCAGACTGATATCTGGGAAGGTTGCAAGCCCAGAAAGGGTCCAACTTCCATTCTAATAGCTCATTCATATTCTAATAGTTTCCATAAAGGCACTGATGTGGTGGGCCTGTAGCCAGCCCATCTGTGCTGTGATCAGAGGAGCTGCTATAACTAAGCCGCAAACACTGGAATGGCGCCACACTTGAAAAGGAGAATAATAATAATAGTAATTGCTCACATTTCTACTGCATGTGAGGGCTTACAAAGCATTTTTCCTTCCCATAAGAGTCCTGTGAGGGAGGTGATATTTTGTTATGGGTTTTCATGGACTGGATAGGTTATAGAATGCTGGTTTGGAAATAACCTTCACCAAATCAAATCAGTAACTCAGGTAATTTATAGTCAGCAAATTTATTAAGTGCATTGTGTGTGCCAGGCTCTGTGCTAAATGATAAGGAATCAAAGAAAAGCAAAATAACAGTCCTTGTTTGTAATGGAAGAGAGCATATGCAAACAATTATGTACAAACAAAATAGGTAGGTAGATAGATAGATAAATAGATAGATGATAGATATTTGCGTATACACACATATATGTGCATATATATGCATACATAATATATATTTCAATTTGTTTTATATATATACCTATGCTAGTATATATACTTACATGTATGTGTGTATATACATATACATATACATATACATATACATATACATATACATATACATATACATATACATATACATATACATATACATATACATATACATATACATATACATATACATATACATATACATATACATATACATATACATATACATATACATATACAAATTGAAAGAGGGAAAGTACTAGTGTTAAGGGAGATTGGAAAAGATTTCTTAGCACAGTACCTGGCATGTGTTAAGTACTTAATAAATGTTTATTGATTGATTGTTGAAGATGAGACTTTAGCTGGGACTTGTGAGAAGCCAGGAGTTGGAGACAGAAAGGAAAAGGTCCCTGAGAGCCTAAATGACTATTAGGTAAAAAGCCATAATTCAAATGCAGCTCTCCCCACTGCAAATGTGTTCTTCGCATTAAACTTTTCTGCTTCTTCAAAACTCTGGAACACCAAGGCTCAGCAAGAGCTCCCATTCAGTTGCTATCCTGCATCCCAATGACCATAGTTAAATGTGAAATGGCCAAGAGTTCCTCTCATTTGCTTTTCTGTGGCCTGTCTCTCCATCCCCAGGGCTATCATAAACAAACAGCATTAAAGGAATCTTAGAGAGTGCTCTAACATTGGATTGTGGCCCAGTTGTGCAGACACAGGTAGGGTTGACCTAATTGCAACTGTAATTTGGGAAAGGCTACATGGAATTAGATTAGCATTTAGTTTACAATAATGTCAGTTGTGTTCTGCCTGTCTCATGATGGAAATCACTGAAAAATAAATAATACATGGGTGGGCTGCAATGTGCTTTGGTCCAGGGAAGACCTAGCTGGATGAGGTCACACATTCATCAAAGCACAGACTGTGTGATATAAGGGAAAGAGCTCTGGATTGAGAATAAGATAACCTGGGTTCAGATCCAGGCTCCACAACTTGCCACCTGTGTGACCTCAGCACTCTCTCTGGATCTCAGTTTCCTCGTGTGTAAAATAAGGTGGGTCTTGATTAGGGGTTTTTAGTCTTTTTGTGTCTTGTGAACCCCTTTGGCAGTATAATAGAACCTATGGACCCTATCTAAGAATATTATTTTTAAATAAATAAATAAAATGCATAGAACTACAAAGGAAATGAACTATTTTGAAATATATTTATCAAAACATTCTTAATGACTTCACAGACCCCAGGTTAATAACACCTGGACAAGATCATCTTTAAAGCCCCTTCAAGACTAAATCTATGATCTCAAGTAGAATCTCAGATGGAATCTCCATCATAGCATGTCATAGATACAGGGCTTCAGAGTCAGGTTTTTCTATTTTTAGTAACCCACTCCACCACCACCTAGAGCATCAAGGCCACTGTTGTATAGTCAGGAAGCACTCAGAAATGCTTGCAGAACGAATGCATGAATAAACATAGAATTATCAGCCATGCCTCTGGACTGTAGTTCCCAAATTCCACTTGTAAGGCTAATGCACCAAGCTGTAATAACATCTCATCGTTGCAGTATATACGTTCCTCCAGAATGTCCTTCCGGAGCTGGAGATAGAATTGATGTCTTGTAGTACTGTGCCTAGAAAAACAAAGAGAGAAGGGCAAATAAAATTATCACATACCAGCAGGAGTCAGAGAAAGGAAGATGCAAAAGCTGGCCTATTGAGGGTATGATTTTAATCATTTAGGAAACTCCCATCTGAGGAAATTCCCCCTACCAATACAAGTTGGCACCTTCTAGTCTTACAGGGAGTTACTTAGAATACTAAAAAGTGAAGTGATTCACTCAGGATTGCATAGCCAGTATGTGTCAGAAAGAAGACCTGAACTCAAACCTTTCTAGCTCTAAGGCTAATTCTCTCTCCACTACACCATGGCTGGCATAGGAGGACAGATTCAAAAGAACTCATTTCTTCAGTGTATAAAAAAGGTGAAGGCTGTGAAAGAACGCATAATCAAAGTCTGCAAACCTAATTTATTTCAACAAACATTTACTTTAATAATGTCTTGGGTCTATGATCTCCTCCATGCAAGTACTTTCTCCAGGGTTGAAGAAAGAAATCTCTTCCACCTCTGGAATGTATCTTAATGCCTTCTGTTGATATTTTTAGAATCTTTCTCTTCCTTCAGGTCCCCAATCAAATACCACTCCGTCTGGGGAGCATTTCTGATTTCCCCAGTGACAGATGCTGTGCTCCATGTCAAATTTCTCGTATCATCTTTAACTGTGTACAGGTGCTCATGACTTAGCTCAAAGCAAGCATCCACTATCAAAGGAATAAGTGAGAAGCCATGGCACTCACTGAGTAAGGTGAAAGTGGTAGACAAAGAATTTTATTCTCAGAAAGAGTGTGAAGTGAACAACGGTGGTTTTCTTCTTGGGTCGATCATTCCAGCCTTCTGGTGCCATTTCACTCAACTTGGCTTCATCGTCCAAGAAAAAGAATTCTTTACCTGAAATGGAAACACTCAGTGGTTTGAAGCAGCTAATTGGCAGAAGGAATGAAATTTTGGACTCTGAAGCAAGGGGTCTTGAATTAAAATCCTGTCTCAAACACTGACTAGCTGTGTGATCCTGGGCAAATCGCTTAACTTCTCTCAGTCTCAAACCGTCATCTATAAAATAATAGCACTTACTACCCAGGATTGTTGTGAAGATCAAAAGATTGAATAGATGTAAAGGGATTTGTAAATGTTTAAGTGCCATATAAATGTTAACTATCATTATTGTATGAACAGACATGATTGCTAGAATGAATACATCCTACCAAAGTCATACCTAATAGGAAGGGCTCACTTACGTATATAAATCTCTAGAAATCCATCAATGTATGGCCCTATCCAGTTCTCTATATTAGGATTTAACATCTATGTAGGGGAATCCATAGTTCTAAGAAAAAGGAAGGAAGGAAGGAAGGAAGGAAGGAAGGAAGGAAGGAAGGAAGGAAGGAAGGAAGGAAGGAAGGAAGGAAGGAAGGAAGGAAGGAAGGAAGGAAGGAAGGAAGGAAGGAAGGAAAAGAAAAACGAAAGCAGAAGGGAGGGAAAGGAAGAAAAAAATGGAGAGAGAAAGAGAGGAAGGGAGGAAGAAAAGAAGAAAGGAAGGAATGGAAGGGAAGAATTTGTTAAGTACCTAGTGTGTACCCAGCATAAGGGCAGCTAGGTGGCACAGTGAATAGAGCACTGGGCTTGGTATCAAAAAGACTCATCTTTCTGAGTTCAAATCTAGGTTACTTAACCCTGTTTGCCTTAATTTCCTCATCTATAAAACGAGCTATAAAATGAGAAGAAAATGGCAAACCATCCAATATCTTTGTAAAAAAAAAAACCAACCCAAATGGGGTCACAAAGAGTCAGACACAACTGAAAAACAACTGAATAACATGTGCCAGGCACTGTGCTAAGCATTTTACAAATATTATCTCACTTGAGATAATATTCATAAAGATCAAAAGAAAATAGTCCAGGGAAGAGTAATATAATTGGTTTTTTAAATTATATCTCTGCCTATCTCCCAAAAACAGCTTTAGGATTAATATAAATGTAGAAAGGCAGGACTTCTACATTAGGCAGAGGTAGACAAAAGAGAATCAGTGTTGTTTCTGGTAGCAATGATTAATAAAAAGAGAAAGAATTCCCTAATAATTTCAGAAATTCAAAACTAGAAACAGCTTCATTAGGAGACAGTGAGTACTGGAGGTATTCAAAGATGACCACTTATCTGAGAATTTTTACAGAGGTTTAATACATCAGATATGAGAATGGACCAGATGGCCTTAAGGTCCCTTGCAGTGCTAAGATTCTATAATGCTATGAAAGGAAAATAATTAGGGAAGGAATTAGAAAGTGATATCAAACTTCTAGCTGTTTTTCGTATCCATTAGTGGACAGTTGGAAGGAAAACAGAGTAGATTTAGAACAGGTAAGCTAAAAAAGCTCCTGGTAGAGTTCATGCCAAGACAGTGCCTGAACATGAGATGGGTTGCCCAGCTCTTTATACCCACTCTAGCAAAAACCTGAAGCTAACAACATATGGAATAAGGTCAAAGAAGTCAATAAGAAACTCTTCCAACCCAGACCTACACAAAATGTCTGTTGCTCCCCTACCCCAGCAAAGCTAGCTACAATACAGATTAACAATCCAGCATGAACAGAGATGGACAAGGACACATGTAGCCTTCAATACTCTGTGGACAGAGACATCAAGAGTTAAGGCGTGGCCTGAGAGCCCCAGTCAGAAAGTGTCAGTGTGATCAGAAAGCCACAGGTTGAGGATCTTGTAAACTCCAAGGGGTGGCAGCAGATAGGGATAAGCAGGATATGGAACCATTACTCAAACTCAGATGGCCAAGGTCCCTTACACTCTGCCCTGAAATACCAAAGAGGGCCCTGATGATTTTGACCTCTGAACAGCAAAGATCCAGGGAGGCAAATCGAGGGGGGAGGGAGGCGGGTAAAATAACCATGAGAAACCAAAGCATGACTAAACAGGGCTGACCATTTCACCCAAGAATACACCAAGGAGCAGAGCTTGGCCCTGGCACAAAGCCCCAATTCAGGGACTAAAGCTGTAGAGATAAGTAAATCAAAGAAAACACAACTTGGTGTCAAAAATTACTGCAAAACTAACCCTATAATGACTGAAAGATTAAATTCAAAGGGGGAAAATAGATTTTCCACACCTAGAAAGTTAAAAAAGAAAAAAAATGAAATAAAAATCCTTGAGGAAAGAATGGGAAAGAGAATAAGTAACTTAAGAGGGGGAAAAGGTACCCAAGATATGGAATCCCTGAAAACTAGAATAGATGAAAGTGAAATCAATGGTTCCATGAAAGAGCAAAAAAAATTTCAGAACAAAATCAAAAGATTAAAAATAAAAGAACATGTGAAATGTCTGATTAAAAAAGAAACTGAAAAGGAAAATTGGTTAAGGAGAGGTAACTTAAGAATCATCGGAATTCCTGAAAATCATGATTTTTTTAAAAAGCCTGAATATTCTATTTCAAGAAATCATAAGTGGAAACTGTACACCTCTATTAGAACCAAAGAGAAAAGTAGAAATAAGAAGAATACAGTGACCACCTTCTGAAAGAAATCCCAAAAGGAAAAGCCTTAGAATGTCACAGTGAAAATCCAGAGCTCCTATTTCAAAGGAAAAATACTAAAAGCATCCAAAGAAGAATCCAAGGACCTAGAATTCAAGGAACTACAGCCAGAATTATGCAAGATATATAGCAGGTGCTACTGAAAACCAGAGGAGATTCTGGAATACTATATTCTAAAAGGTAAAAGCTATAAACTTAATGACAAAAAATAACATATTCTACAAAACTAAGTATAACCTACAGGGGGAAAATTGGATCTTTAATGGAATAGAGGACTTTCAAACATTTCTGATTAAAAAAACAAATCCAAGTAGGAACTTTGAAATACAAACACAAGTGTCCATAGAAACCAAGAAAGATAAGTTTATGCGAACAATTAGAAAGTTATGTGGGGGCAGCTAGGTGGCACAGTGGATAGAGTCCCAGCCTTGGAGTCAGGAGGACCTGAGTTCAAATCTGGCCTCAGACACATAACACTTACTAGCTGTGTGACCCTGGGCAAGTCACTTAACCCCATTGCCTAGCCAAAAAGCAAAAAAAAAAAAATTTTTTTAAAGAAAGTTATGTGATGATACAATGCTGACATTCTAGTAAGGGAAAGAAGTAAAAAGTGTACACTCAGAACCTAATTATGAAAGGGTATTGAGGGTGTTAAATAAGAATAGAGGTCCTGGGGTAGGGGTACAGAATTGATTCTGTTTAAAGATTTGAAAAGAGGAAAAAGAAAAGAGAGTAACACTAGTGTAGAAGAGAGGAAAAAGGAAATGGAACTTCTTGCATCTCATAACTGGGTATGTGAGAAAAATACGTAAACATGGGAGAAAGGGTAGGGAGAGTAAGTATCAGATGAACCTCATTCTTATCTGAATGAACAGAAGAGTATTAAATGCACACACACACATACTTATAGAGAAATTAGTTTGATGTCAAACTCAACAGAGAAATAAGGGAGTTGGCTGAGGGGAGGTTATTAAGGTTGATGAAAATTCTGGGAAGGGAATAGTCACAAGCCAAACAATCATCAGTCACAATCAATATTTTAAGCACTTACTATTAAACAGGAAGGGAAGAGGGGGAGGACAAAGAGAAGAAACAAACGAACTAGAATCTAAGGGGTTGCCTTAGATTGCCTCTTAGACCCCTGGGGAGTGGCTACATGAATGGTCGTAGACGAAAAATTTCAGAGAGTTCTGGTTAGTATGAACTGATATAGAGTGAAATGGGCAGAACAAGAACACATTACATATACAACATCGTAAAAACAACTTAGAAAACTTAACATCCCTGATCAAAGCACTGATCAACTGTCTCCAGAGCCCCTATGATGATGTATGCTACCCACTCCACACAGAGGAGTGATGGATACGAAGTGCAGAGTTATACATTTTTGGATATGACTACTATAGGTATTCATTTTGTTTGAAAAATCTTATTTGTAACAAGGCTTTTTTTTTCCTTTCTTACTTTTGGCTAATTGGGGTGGAGGAGAGAGTGGTTAGCAATAGGGATGCCAAAAAAGAGGGCCACTGAAACATTTTTAATGCTCAGAAGAGAGCAGAAGGAAGTTCAAAAGGAAGCACAGTCAAATAGGACATTTTGAAAGTAACATACAGAATTTATGACACAATTTTAAGCAAGTGGAACAAAATTGAGGTTCACAGTTTCCTAAAGAATCTTTTTTCTCTGTTCTGCTGTGAGTATGAAGGTGTTCTTTTTCTCTTAGTGTTTAAGTTCAGAATTAAAATAATTCATTATAAATAAAAGCTCCTCATAGCAAGAATTTTAAGATAACCTCCTGAGGTCAGGAGGTTACAGAGCCTCCTTCTTCAGAAGTGTTAAATACAATCTAGTCACACCCCTGTCTAAGGGCCTAGACTATCTTTAGAGTCAATTCAACTCAACAAAATTATTTTTTGTTGTACCAGGCTATGTACCAGGCACTTTTCTAAAGCTAAAGCTTTGAAGACAAGAAATAAAAACAGTCTTTACCCTCAAAGAGCTTACATTCTACTGGATCCCACAACTCTCCTTTAGTCCTATATTTATATTTGGGTGGGAATTTTCAGCTTCCCTAACTTGCAGAGCTTACAATTTAAGTAGCCTTGAGTATTGACCTGAAATAACTATCCTATTCCACATTCAGGGAAAGATTAACACTTCATTATAACACTTACATCATGGCCCTCACACAAAGTCAGTTGAAAAAACTGACCCCATTTTTTTTTAATGGGGAAAGTGAGCTACAGAGATTTTTAAGTGATTTTCCAGTGACACATCAAATCAGAAAGAATAAAATCCAGCCAACCAGAATCCTGGTCACCTATATATGTCACTGAATATATCACCAGCTGGCTGCTGCTAAGAAGGGAGTTGACACTTCTTTTTTTTAAATGAACTTCTTTTTTAGTTTTCATCTTCTTAAAAATTTATCTTATATTATAGTAAACACTTACCTTTCTGGAAAGCTAAGCCAAAGTAGAAGTATTCAACTAGGTTGGCATAGGTCCTAACTAAGTTAAAGACATCTCGTGCCTTGGACTTGATGTCACATTTCACTTCTAAACACTGCCCATTCAGCAGAACCACATAGAGTTCTCTTTGAGACAAATATGATTTCCCTTTTTTTGTCTGGAAAGAGAAGGAAAAAAAAACAATACATGAATGCCAGGTCCCCGTCAGTGCAATATCTCTTTATATAATATCTCTCTATAATATATTCCAATTTGCAGTGTGGGCTCTATTTCCACAGAGGTGCTTATAAAGGCAGTTCCATTGGGAGCCTTCCCTCTGCAGAAATCCCCATTAAAATCCTCAGTGTATCTCCCCTGTCCATCTCCCTGTTGAGGCTTTCAAGGGACCATCATTAATTATTCATTGCACTTTCAGTGTTGTCAATCAATCTAATGCTGTTCACTGAGGTTCACAACTTGGAGATAATGATAATGAATTCCATACTGCCCAGTTACCATCTCAACCCAGCTCTCCCTAACATGAAGAATCCATGAATAGTCATGGAAGAGAGATAAGGGGATTAATTAGAATCTTGAAATTGCACAGCACCGCCAAACTCGATGTCATTTATCAGCAGGTAAAAGATTTATTATGAAACTATTTCTGATTTCTTGAGCTTCCCTCTCCTCAGGTTATGAACACAGGGTGGTGTAAACTACTAGAGCGAGCGGTCTAAACCACAGCCCAAACCATCTTTCTGGGCAAATTGGCCACCAGCAGAGCAGAGCAGAGCAGACAAAGGCTGTCATGTACTTAACAGGGCAGTGCAGAAATAATAAATAGATATTTGTGGAGAGGTGAAAGTCAACCTCTCACACTCCTCCTGAACAGTTGAAATAAATGCCATCATAGCATATTGGATAAAGAGCATTGGGCCTAGAGTAAAGAAGACATTGGTTCAAATCCCCCCCAATATTCACTAGTTGTGTGACTATGACTAAGTTATTTATACACTCTGAGCCTCAGTTTTCTCACTGATAAAAAGGTAATGATAAAACCTATGGTATCTAACTTATAGGGTTATTGCGAAACACAAATGAGGGACTGTAAATAAGGAATGCGGCACTTTATTTTGTGTTTATTAAGTTTGGAATTTAAAAAAATTAATGTTAAATGTCAGTTATTACTATGAGAGGGCCATCAGGTGATAGATCAGGGAAACCAGAAAAGGCCCTACCCTTAGCCTCAAAAAAAAAAAATAACTTTCAAGGGGCAGCTAGGTGGCGCAGTGGATAAAGCACCAGCCCTAGAGTCAGGAGGACCTGAGTTCAAATTGGGTCTCAGACGATAGACTTGACACTTATTAGCTGTGTGACCCTGCGCAAGTCACTTAACCCCAATTGCCTTGCAACAAATAAATAAATAAATAACTTTCATCTCCAATGTTGATACCCGAAATTCACTTAACTAAGAAGAGCTACCTCACTCTACAAGTAGAGAAACTAACCAATCAACAAGTATTTATTAAGGCGCTTACTATGTTAGGCACTGATGACACATCTTCAAAACGAAGCAATCCCTACTTTCAAGAAAAAAAGTTCTGTGAAGGGAATGCGGATGCCCTCGAAAGGTGGGGAGGGGCTGGATTTAAATTTATGTTGAAGTGTAAATAAATGACTGGTGACAGATCCTTCCTTGAAACTACTTTTAATTGAGGGATTGAGAGAGAACACCAGGCACTGGGCAGGTGAAGCAAAGAGGTAAAGGAGGTTGACACAGATGAGCAAAAGTATGCAAAAAGGAAAAGCTGGAGGACAGAAAAGACGATAGTTGCCTTCCCAGTTTTGTCTAGCTCCAACCCTTTGCTTAAGGATAAAATATTGCAAGAAGGAAAGTAAGCATTTGGAAGTGAGCACAGTATACAGAAGGTCAGTTTCCAAAATGGCAAGTACTGATTCCTGGTGATAGTTTCATTGTGCTCTTCTTATGGAGCCAGAAAAAAGACAAGTGAAAAGAGTGAAAAATTGGGTGGATGTCCTAAAGGAGCAGACCATGTAGGGATGTCTGCCCAGTTGGTCCACTTAGTTCACTGGACATTGTTTTCAGGAAGTCCAGGTGGTCAGAACCATAAGAGAATCTACATGATTGCTCATTCCTAGTAACATCACTGATTGAAGTTACCAAAATTGTGTGCAATTGCTACTACTGAGCTACACAAACAGAAAATATAAATCTCATCAAAATCACTGACTCTGGGACTTTGGGAGATGACCACAGTATAACCCTGTGAAGCCCAGATATCTAGCATGCCAACATAACAGAGCAGATGGAAAATGTAAAGGTCATGTTAGAGGTAGTAAATTCAACCAGAGAGTTCTTGTTCCGAAGGAAAGAGGTTCTTATCCCTGAAAGCCTTCCAGGCAGTGTCAAAAAGACTAGCCCTTAGGTGTCTGCAGAAGGACTCTGGGTACCAGAAAAGACTAAAGCCTGAATCAACTTATCAGTTTTCCTCCCATCAGCCCTTCAGCTCCAGTTGTGATCATGTTTTGCAAATATGCTATTTTAAGTTGAGGTTTGAGACTTGGAAGCTCTGGACTCAGCCAGAGGCCTGGCGTTTGTCAACCTGACAGCCATGAAGCAATGACAGCTAGTGGTTCAGCAGACTAGACCTAAAAATAATATGCAATTCTCCCTCTTCAAGATTTGTATAGAGCTGTAACAAGCACATGATGAATGGGCCTTTGACCAGGACACCAACATCCAAGGTGGTATGCTTTCCCCCACTCTGGGGATTGGTGCTTCTTCTTCATCATGACTGCCATCTCTATGCCTCCCTCTGTGGTCGTGTGCCAACCTACCTCACCCTCAAGCTACCATATACCCCTAGGTCCATGATTATGGCATCCGTCTTGTAGGGCTTACCTTCATACACACACACCTTGCAAGGGTTAGGTTTAGATTCCCTGCCTCTGGCCATGAATACACCTATAATTAGACTGCTTTCTGTAACACTGCCTCCATGACAATTACTCAGGGTTTTTTTTTAAAATAATAATAATAATAATAGCTAACACTTACATAGCACTTTCAGGCTTAAAATACATTTTGCATATATTATCAAATTTGATCGTCACCACAACCCTGTGAAGTAGATAATACATACATACATATACATATACATATATATATACACACACACATATATATGTGTGTGTGTGTGTATGTGTGTGTGTGTATATATATGTGTGTGTCTATATACATATACATACATATATATGTGTGTGTGTGTATATGTATATATATATATATATATAATATATATATATACATACATATATACACACCCTCATTTACAGCTGAACTGCAAACTGAAGGAAGCAGAAACTAAGGGACTTGCCAGAGTAGCACAGCTAACAAGTGCCTGAGGCTGGTTTGGAACTAAGAACTTCCTGAGTCTAAGTCTAGCACTCTGTCCACTTTGCCACCTAGGTGCCCCATGTGAAATATCCATAACTTTGGTTCTGGCTATGTAGAATGTTCCTTGAAGCCCCAGGGAAGAGAGAGGTCTTCCACGTCACACTCAGGAACCATCAACCACAGTTCTCATTGTCATATATAGCAATATGAATAGAGGAATGTATTTCCCTACTCTCATCTTCCACTCAAGTCAAAATTGAAAGCAATAGTTACCACAATGGATCCAGGTAGTAGTAATGTCACTGGTGCCTCTCCAGTCAACTGGATAAATTCTGGTCTTGAGAACTAGGAGAAAATAATTCAATGTTGTAATAAATAGGACTAGCTTTGCCCCTTCTAGTCAAGCCCTCCTTGATCTGTGTTACCACAACCTTGCTAGCCCTTTCTTCCCTACAGAACAGGGAAGGGCAAACTCAGTGTGCAATAGAAGAGGGGAAAAAAAATCAGAGCTTCATTAAATTCTAGAGTAGAAAGAACAAAGGCCATTTAACCAATTGTACTGAAATCAGGGCTCCCCTAGATACCTTAGTAAAACTGGCTTAGCAAAGCAATGTGGTTTTAAGAGATAATCCCTCCTCCTACATTTAATACCTCTTTGACCATGAGCAAATCACTTAACTTCATGGGTCCTCAGTTTCTGTGCCTGTAAAATGGAGATAATAATATTCATACTGTCTACTTCACAAAATTATTGCAAGACTCACATGAGATAATTAGATAAGTTGCATTGTAAATATTGAAGATCTATATAAATGTCAGTTATTTCATTACTCATTCAATATTGAAGTGGCTCAATTAAGGAAAGATTTTTAGAGGAAAGTAGGTGATTCATTGATACGTCCTTATTGGCCCATTGGTCAACCAACAGGCTTTTGTTGATGTCTACTATGTGTCCAGCACTCAGCTGAATGTGGTGGTCCAACTTCACCAGAGAGGTGAAAGGTCCAATGTCATGTAGCTAGCAAATGGTGGAATCTTTGGGTCATAAAATCTTTGGACTTCATAATAATAACTAACTTTTATGGTTTACACAAGTGATGTAGAACTCAAATAGAAACAGGTGCCCTTAATCTGTACATACAGATCCCTGCAGGTCATATATTGACTTTGTTTCAAAATGTGATGCTGTCTAGATTTTATTGCATTTTTATTTATTTTGTTAAACAATTCCCAATAACATTTTAATCTGGTGTGGTGTGCACTCAGGAATGTTGTGGGCCTCATGCAGCCAGCAGGCTACCTATCTGAATCTCTGGTTTATGCTTTGCAAGGCATTTTGCATGTTCTCATTTGAGCCTTAAAACAACCCTTTGAAATATTAGTCATCTACATTTTACAGATGAGGAAAGTGAGGCTCCAGGAGAAGTGCCTTATCCAAGGTGACATAGTCTATATGTGCCAAGACTGGATTCAAACCCAAGTCTTCCTGACTTCAAATCCAATACCTCATCTGCCGCATAAAGCTGCCTCCCCTCTAGGTTAACTGGCTGCTTCTCATCCCCAGAATTTCCATGCTGTAGTAGAAAAAGTTCTACTCTAGGCTTTGCTACTTAGCTGCATACCTTTTAACAAGTCACTTCCCCAATTTGGGCCTCATTTTTCTCACTATAAAATGAGGAGCTGAGCCAGATTAATTCCAAAGTCCCTTCTAGATCTAACTTTCCATGATTCTATAATCTATGAAGCAAAAAACATGGAAAGCCATAAATTCTAATTTCACAGCCGGTAAGGATCTAAATGAATAGAGGTAAGCCAAACCAAATAGATCATGAATGATGAGATAGCCTCAGGCAAAGAAGCAGAGAAGGCTCATTTCAAAGAAATGGGCTTTAATGCCATTGCCCACCTACCCCAAGTTATTAAAAGCATGGAAAATGTATCTATGTCTTTCCACTACCATTGGCCAAGCTCAGTCTGCTAACCTCTTAGCAGTTAGAGAAACGTTGTTCTCTCTCTGACTAACTGAATTAGCCATCCCACAACTACCTCCTCTTTGTTTGGAATTCTTCATCAGGCATATATAATAATCATTTTAACATTACCTTTTCCTTCTTTTTTAATAAATATCTCTGGGAAGAGACCACTGAGGAGGATCTCTGAGGTGCCACAGAGAAGGCACCTAAGCTGAGCCTGTTATCTTGCTGAATTCCTGGGAGAACTTCATCCACAATCAGACTATCTGATCTAGGAACAAGATATTAGAGTTAGAAAACCATTCATTTTGTGGTCAAGAAACTACAAAAATTAGAGGTCTTTCCTCAACAATCTTGAAACTTCAGAGCATCCAAGACCACAAGTTATTGACTGTACAGGAGGACATGTGGTTATTGATTATGCACAGAGTAGAAACTCAGCTCACTGGCAAAGGGAGAGCAAATGTGAGGGAAGTGTCAAACAATTTAGGAAGTACCCTGTGGTCAGTGTTTGACACTAGCAGTTAGGGCAGAGATAAGTGGCATCCTGTTCATGAGCTATGAAGATGAACAATCATGCTGGAAAGATAAAAGAGATCAAAACTACAATCCACATGGAGGACTCCTTCATATATGAATGATTCAAATGTTAATTCCAATAAGCAAGAACTGTAACTAACTTTAATCCATAGAGAGTCAAAGGCAAACATGGCAACAACATGAGTAAAATACACTGGAAGCAGGGATTAAGAAATCAACTTCTCCACCTCTGCCAGTGCCAACTTCAGCATCTGAAGCAATTATCCTGCCTCAGATTTTCTAGTTATATTGGGATTGAACTTTATTCGCAAAAGGACAACAGAAACTATGCTGAATGTCTTAGACTACACATACTATGCCACTCGACACATCTAAAAATCCTGTCTAGACATATTAGTTTATGAAGGACAATAGTAAGCTAGAGAACATCCAAAAGAGGTCAACCAAGATGGTGAAGGGTCCTTAATCTATGTCATATGAGAATCAGTCAAAGGAACTGGAGATATTTAGCCTGGAGAAGACTCAGAGGAGTCATGATAGCTGTCTTCAAGGGCCTGAAAGGCTATAATAGGGAAGAGAAGTCAGATGTGTCCTGTTTGACCTTAGATGGCAGAATCAGGAGTAATAGATGGAAATTGTAAACAGGCCAATTTAGATAAAATGTTGGTAAATACAGTCAGAATGCTGCCAAAGTAGGATGAGCTGTGTTGTGAAGTGGAGCTCATCCTACGAAGTCTTCATGCAAAGGCTTGTGATGCATTGTAGTGGGGATTCTCTTTCAAATATGAGTTGGACCAGTTGCTTGCCAAGGCCCCTTTCAACTCTCAAGTTCTCTGGTTCAGGTTCACCAAAGTGAATTAGACATTGTCAGCCCATCCGTAGCAGCCCCATCTTCATTTCCCAATAGGTCTACCATTGGATTTGGGGCTGGTTCTCTGCTTTGTGATAATAACCATCTAATATGGAAAACTTGGAGTTTTGTTCAGTTGACGGCTTACCCACTGAGAAAGGATTTGGAGCCGTTGGGTGCTGAAGCACTCAACTGGGTTCCACATGAGCTCAATTGTTGTGTGTCTCTCTCTGAAACGACAAAACAGTAAATATTAGGAGGCAGAGACAATTCCCATCAACCTCTCATTTGCATGGAATAAGAAATTTGAATATATGAATACATGACATTTTCTTAACTAAGAAAAAGCCAGAGAACACCAGAGACTCCTAAGCTTGTGATAGATGATCCTGAGGTTACTGGATCACAGAAACTCTTCAGAACAATTTGAACCTCTGTCTAGCAGGGGTTAGCCTGGGGTCTATGAATGTTTTTATATATTTTTAATAATTGTATTTCAATATAATTGTTTTCTTTGGAATCCGACATATTTTGCTTTAGGCATTTAAAAATCTTATTCTGAGGTAAGATACGTGCGCTTCACCAGAATGCCAAAAGAATATGCAAGACATACAAAAAGTTAAAAACCTTCTCTCTAGGGAAACGCTAAAGTAGCCTCTCTCCCTCCCTCCCCGAAATGTTCTCAATCCTTTCTAGATTTGGAGATGGTCTAGGGATAAAGAGATCTCTCTGAGGTGACTAGGAGCTTCTCAGCATTATCCTTTTTCTAAGGAGCTTCTCAGAGTATGGAGCAAGGCCAGAAAAGTTCTGCGACTAGAGCTACTTTGGGGAAGACTTGAAAGAAGGCCAACCACATTCTTTCTATTTCTCTCAGAACTCTGTTTCTCACACTCTAAACTTCTTTCTCCACCATGCCACCATAGGTACCACTTTCCTCCTCCCCCTTTTCAGCCTGATTTTCTATGTTGTCTTTTTCGATCAGAACGTAAGTTCCTTGAGGACAAGGACTGCCTTTCTCTTTGCTTGTATTTGTTCCCAGCATTTAGTTGTTTAGTCATCGATCAGCAGTGTCTAACTCTTCATGACCCTATTTGGGATCTTCTTGGCAAACATACTAGAATGGTTTGCCATTTCCTTCTCCAGAGTACTTGACAGCACTTAGTACAGTGTACTTAATAAATGCTTGCTGACTTGTGGACTTGGCTGGAAAGCATGGTCTTCACCCTCAATGGGCTTACAGTCATTTTGGTATGAAAAATATAAATACATGAAACAAAGAACAATACCCCACCGGATGGTATCCACTAAGCACCTACAGTATGTTTAGCACTCTACAGAAATGTCTGTGGCTTAGTCTTTGTCTCCTGAACATATATAGTCGTTAGCAGCATTATAGCATCACAAAGCAGGGATGAAACAAATGCAGAACTAAGAATCAGGAAAGATCTAGTTTCAAATTCTGCTTTCATCTTGTTATCCCTGGGCAAGTCTGGTCTCAGTTTCTACATCTGCAAAATGGGGGTAATTTATACCTGTGGTAGTAACCTCACATATTTTTATGAGGATTCCACAAGATAATTTATGTGAAACTCTTTGTGGACATTAAAGAATTACAGAAACTAGTAAGATTAAGTACATTCAATTCAGTTCAATACTTATTTATTAAGCTTCTACTACATACAAAGCACCATGCTTGTTAGGCTCTGGGGATAGACTAACAAAAATTAACAATAAGCCCTCCCCACATGGAGCTTAACATTTTGCATGGAGGATACAACATCTATTCAAATAAATAAATACAATATAATGTGGAAAGAGAAGAGGAAAAAGAGAGAGACAGAAAGAGAGAAGGGGAGAGAGAGAAGAGGAGAGAGGGAGAGAAGGAGAGAGAGAGAGAGAGAGAACTAATAACAATGAAGACTAGAAAAGGTTTCCATAGGAGACGGTTCATCATTTGAGTCTTGAAGGAAGATAAGGATTCTAATGGGAGGAATGTGACACAGGCATGGGAGACAGCCATTGTGAAAGCACAGAGGTGGGAAATGGAATGCCAAATTCAAGAAATATCAAATAGATTAATTTGGTTGGAATGAAGAACATGTAAAAAAGAAATTATAATAACAATAATAAAATAGCTATGTAGCACTTAAATGTTTATAAAACACTTTACGATAATTATCTTATTTTGTCCTTATAACAACCCTGAGAGGAAAGTGCAATTATTATCTCCATTTTACTGATGAGGAAACTGAGACAGAGGCTAAATGACTCACCCAGGGTGATACATTAAATGTCTGAGACTAGATTTGAAATTAGGTCTCCCTGACTCCAGGCCCAGTGCCCTACCATTGTACCATTTCTCTATAATATGAAATACCTTATAGAATAATCTGAAGCCAAGATGTAAAGGGCTCTAATTGCCAAACAAAGGAATTTATATTTTATCCAAGAGGCACTAAGGAGCCAATAAAGATTCTAGAGTAAGGGAGTGATATGATCAAAACCATACTTAAAGTAGATTATTTTGGCATCCATACAGAAGATGGACTGGAGAGAGGAGATACGGGAAGCAGGAAGGAGAAGGAAGAAGAAGAGGTGGAGGAAGAGGAAGAAAGGAGAGGAGGAGAAGGAGGAGGAGGAGGAGGAGAAGGAGAAGGAGAAGGAGAAGGAGAAGGAGAAGGAGAAGGAGAAGGAGAAGGAGAAGGAGAAGGAGAAGGAGAAGGAGAAGGAGAAGGAGAAGGAGAAGGAGAAGGAGAAGAACTAAAAGATATAATAATCCAGGCAGGAGAAGATGAGAGCCTGAGTTAGAGTGATAGACTGATGGCCACGTAAGTGGAGAGAAGGGGACAGATATAAGACATGGATATCAGCATACTTAAAACTGTTGACCCTCCTCCCTTTTAAGGCTTTCTTTATATTTTTGTTTTTGTTTCTGATTCACCTGGTTGTCTCTTCCAGTTGGTTCTGAAATGGAAAAAAGTGCATTTATTATACCTGAAATTTATACTAAAGCACAAGTGGATAGAAAGTTAAAGGAAGTATAAGATCTCACCTCATTCATGTAGTCTGGAAAGTCTGCCTGCATAAAGTGAATTGTGAACAGAGTCTTGATTTAAAGGAGGGAGGAGACAGAGGTCCCAGGGGCCCTACCAGCCCTATGAATCAGCCCAGGTTCTGTCCAGTATCTAGTGTGCACTGTCAGTGCTCCAATTGTATTAAGAGAATAAATAATCTTATCTCCTGATTTCCTAGAACTGATTTCCCCCCTGGTGTTTGAATCTCTGCTGAATGTGTGGAGCTAACAGGTAATAATAATAATAACTCACATTTATCTAGCATTTTATAGCTGTTTCTGAAAGATTATCTCCATCGCCTGCTGTTTTTCTCAGGAATCTGAGGACTATTCACTATTTTGTGTTAATGGTTTTGAGGTGAGTGATGTTTCAATTCATCAGTGAATCAAATAAGCCCTCCTTTCAAAGAATAACAATCTGGATCCATGGCCCTTGTTCACATACGGCTCAGTTTTGAACTTACTTTTCATGCATACTGTACTGGGCAGAATCAAGGACATTGTCTCAGAAACACAATTTGGGTCATTGCAATTCCCTGAAAGATGTATTCTCTACTGACTGACAGTATTTCATCAGTTGAGAGGATCCTACGTCATCAACCAGAATATAAAAGTATAGACCTTCATTATCCTAAAATTTTTTAAATGTTCCCTTTGCCTCAGCAATGTGGAAAATTGTCCTGAGACCCTTCCTAACAAACGAGACCAGTGTGAGTTTGGCCAAATTATAAAATATAAATAGGATCTACCTTAAATGCAATGGCATATCATGCCTGGTTCTAATTTTTCTAAGATTGGGGAGGAAAGGAAAAGAAATAGAAAAGGAGGAGAAGGGGAATGAAGAAAAGGAGAAGAGTTAGAGAAGTACTCTTGTGCCAAAAGAAACTTTGCCAAAAACAAAAAAGCTGTAAAGGTCATTTTAAAAATATTTTCATTAAGTTGAAAAGTAGTGAGTGAAAAAGGAATTAAATCTGTAAAATTGCCATTACTTCTGGCTGCAACAAAAGCTATGAATTTATTTCTCCTTTTAACTCATTGATCCTCCAATAACATGCTTCTATGGGTCCTTGTGGCATGGATAAACTCTGGGTTTTTGCACGCTATGCCAGGAAATTACAACCTTTAGAAGATCCTACCGACTTGAAAAAGTTTTGAGCATGGGCCTGGTAATGGTGATAGATCTGTTGTCTGAGGATCTGCCTGGGAAAGCTGGGAAATCTTCACTGGAAGACTGATCACCAGATAATTTTTTTTTTGGCAAGGCAGTTGGGGTTAAGTGACTTACCCAGGACCACACAGTTAGTAAGTATCAAGTGTCTGAGGCCAGATTTGAACTCAGGTCCTCCTGACTCCAGGAGAGGCAGTCTATCTTTGTGCCACCTAGCTGCCCTGGTACCTGAAAAACTTCAACTAAAACTCAGGATTTTTGTAAGCCACACTGCCTACAACTGTGAATATACAGAACTTTGAGTTGTCACTCATTATTCACATAAAAGTGAGCCTTTCCTTCCTTCCTTTCTTCCTTCCTTCCTTCACTCCACAAGCATTGACAAAGTACCAACTACATACTTCAAAGGGAGACAAAATAGCCCCTTCCTTCAAGGAAATTGCATCATACTAGGACAGGCGTTCTTAACCCAGGATCCATGAACTTGGTTTTTAAACCTATTGTAATAATTGTATTTCAATATAATTGGTTTCCTTTGTACGTACACATATTTTACTTTATGCATTTAAAAACATTATTCTGAGAAGGGGTCCATAAGCTACACCAACCAGCCAAAGGGGTCCATCACACAGTAAAGGTTAGGAACTCCTGCTCTAGGGGAAAGCAACATGTATGCAGAAAAATAAATTCAAAGTTCACACCAAAGAATCACAAAGGAGTTTCAGCGAGACAGGGCATTAATGAGGGCGTGGAATCAGTGAAGGGCTTGTGGAGGAAGTGGCCCATAAGCTGAGTTTTTAATGAAGCCAGAGGATCCAAGAGGCCTGGGTGAGGAAGGAGAGCATTCCAGGCAGAGGAGGCAGAAATGGAGCTGGGGATGTAAAGTACAGGCAGAAAATAAGAGGGAAATTTGTCAGGAATGTAGAATAAGTGGAGAAGAGGAATAGGTGACCAGCCTGAAAGTGACTTGTTTTGTACTTGGGCTTTTAAATTTTTAAAAATGCATTTAAAATTAATTTATTGTTCTGAATCCAGCTTTTTTCAGTGCTCGAAGAAGTCCTATTCCCTAATTCATTGGTGGAAAGGTCAGCCACTCTGCAAATTCATCTGTATCTATAAATGACCCCAAAGATCTACATACATGCATTTGTGTGTTTCTTTCCTATCAAAAGAATGACATTGATTTTTACACATTATTGATAGGAAATGGAAATAGAAGCAATATGATGTTTTGATGTAAAAAACGCTCAAAAAATATACCTGGATGCAGGGTCTTCTGAGTGGACAGCAGTGAGAATTCACTTTGTTTCTGATGTAGTCTCCTCCTTATCATGTAACTTCTACTCTGTTGCACAAATTTGCTTTCTTCAACAACAATCTGCTCCATCTAGGATCAATTGCATTGCAAATTAATGTTCACAGTCCAGAGACTGTAGCCTGAGCTGTCAAACTAAATTTGTGCAAGTTTCTCTGTTCCTTGCATTAAGGACAGAACAATTAATGCCTTTAGCAAGGTTTGCTCACCTGACTTCTTAAACCAAAATGATTTAAAAATACACAAGTCTTCTAGGTAATTAGCACTAATGTATTCCTTATAGAAGAGGAATTACATTTGTAATCAACCTTGTCTCTTGGTTCTTGATACTTAGTTTGACTCATTAGAAACAGAAATAATCGATGGAGAGGTCGGTGAGCTCCAAACGTCATGCTCTTCATTTCTAGTCTAAACTGAAATAAGCATTGAGTGATAAGCGAGCAGAGATCCAAAGAAATCAGAGTATATTTTACCATTCTACAAATAAAATTCCATAGGTCACAGAACTATCCATTGTGGGCCATGTCAATACACTCAATGATTTTTTTATTACTTTATGTCAATTAAGGAGTCTGCTTTTTCCCTTTTGAGGCCAGGAAAATGTAACAAATTAAGGAGGAGGAGGCAGCTCCTACTACAGATTATCTAATCACTCAGAATTGTCCTTGGGCAGCTATAGCCAAGTTCCCAGCTGTTGTAAGCCAATGGAAGAAAAGAACTCAGGAACTTTCACACCGACTCAGACCAAAGGTCGTTCCAACCTAGCAGAAACTAGATGACCACTAGTCAAAGATCATAGATTTAGAGTTGGAAATTAATTTAGTGGGCATTCAGTCCAATCTCTTCATTTTATAGGTAAAGACCCTCAGTCACAGAGAAGTTAAGTGATTTGTTCAAGCTCACACAGCCAATTAGTAACAGAAGTAGGCTACAAACCCACATCTCTGACTTGAAATCCAGCCATTTTTCCACTACACCCATTGTAGAAAGAGGTCTCTATTTGGTTTCAGGTTGGACTTGATGACTTCTAAGTTACTTTCCAATTCTAGGATTCTGCAATTCTATGGTTCCATGAGTTTGTCTCACCAAATGGCACCAAGAACCTACACTGTGGTGTAGAAGTGTATTAACTGCCTTCCTTAACATCAACTTCAAAAGGTAGGGACATCCTCCCAAACACAGCTTCCCACTGTAAGTCATGGGATCATAGGATATATCTAGAGCTGGTAAGAACCTCTGAGAGCATCACATCCAATTCCCACATTTTACAAATGAGAAAACTGAGGCCCAGAAAGGTTGAGTAACTTAACCAAGGTCACACAGGTAACAAGTGCCCAAGGTAGGATGTGAATCCAGGTCCTATGACTCTAGAGCCAGTACTTCTTAATATCTGATCTTCAGTAAGTAGAAATGTTGATATTGAATAAATGGTAAGGTAACTGGGGAGATCAGAGACTGAATTTGCCAAAATGATGCATCTCTGAGGAGAGTTAAGATCTGAGAACCCCCACTTTGAGAATGGAGTAAAAGATTATACTGGTTTCCTTTGTACTCCTATGTATTTTATTTTATACATTTAAAAATGTTATTCTGAGAAGGAGTTCGTAAACTACACCAGATTGCCAAAGGGGTCTATCACACAACAAAGGCTAAAAACCCCTGATCTGGGGGAAGGCAATATGTATGCAGAAAAGTAAATGTGAAGTTCACATCAAATAAATACAAAGAAATTTCAGTGAGATGGGACACTAACAAGGGGGTGGAATCAGTGAAGACCTCATATGGTGGCTGAGTTTTTAATGGAACCAGGGGATCCAAGAGGCATAGGTGGGGAAAGAGGGTCATTTTTGTATAGAGCCATTCTTCCTGAAATATTGGGGAATAGATGGAGAGATTCTCTTTGCTCCCAGAGAAAACCTTGGCTATTTGTTAGCCCTCTAACAATGGGTTCAAGAGGTCATATGTGTATACTAAGTAATGATGGTCATTTAGGAATTTTTACATGATGCATGTCATGTGCAAGGCACATCGTGGTATGGTGAAGAGAAGCCAGAAAGATCTAAGGCTGAATCCCGCCTCAGTCACTTACTAGCTATGCAACTACCCAGGGAAAGGCTCTTAGCTTCCCTCAGCCTCAGTTTCCTCATTTTTAAAATTAAGGGGTTGATTTTGATGACTTCTAGAGACCCTTCCAGTTCTAAATCTTGGATCCTAAGATCCTAGCCAATCCAAATTCATGTAATTCTGGATCTGAGACAGTACTGAGTATACAACAGGGGAGTCCAGAGAGCATCATTGCACATCCCAAGCTTTCCTCTTCTCTTGATGCAGGCTATACGTCATGCCACTAAAGAAAGCAGATACTAAATTTAATAAACTCTACTTCTTCTAACTCACAAGTGCTGCTGTGTAAATATTAAACAGTAGATAAATTCAATCCCAGAAGTAAAATCATTTCAGTAGAGAGTGAAGTATTTCTTCTCTTTGATAGAGAATTAAGTACTATGGAAATAAGAACTGCAATATTTAGGAGCCTCTGATTTAAAAAAACAAACTGTGCTGTGCCTCCTTCCTCTCAGTAGAGAGGTGGGGGACTGTGGATGCAGAAAATAGGATTACATCATCAGAAACAATACCCACATTGGTTGGTTTTGCCAAAATGTTTTTCTTTGATTCATTGAACGGTTCAACAGGTATAGTGGGGAGGGGAGGGAAGTAATGGGGATACATCTAAATGTGAAAACAAAAGACTCAGAATCATAGATTTGAAGCTACACAGTACATTAGAGGTTATTGAGACCAATGTCATTATTTTACAGATGAGTAATCTGTATGATGAGCTCACAAAAATGACTTGCCTTGCAAGGGTCACATATATAGTATCTTAGATTGAATTTGAACCTAGGTCTTCTCCCAGGTCTGTATATACCATGTGACATATAAAACTTTTTTTAAAAGCTGTGCTAATAGGGAGGCAAAATGGAGTTGAGGAAGATGAATGAAACCATGAGTTAAGAAACATGGGGTTTAGCCAAGGCTCATAGAATCTCCCCACTGGAAAGGACCTCAGAGTCCCTCCAGACCAATTCATCACTAAATGAGAACCCTCTCTTCTACATCAATCCTGTGTTTGAAGATATCCAGAGATGGGAAGCATACTTCCTAGAGAGGCAGCTCATTCCACTTTGGTGTCCTCTAACTGTTAGAAAGTTTTTCCTCACATCCAACCTAAACCTGCCTCATTGCAATTTCCACCTATTGTTCTTTCATCTATCCCCTCTAGTGCCAAACAAAATCAACATGATCCCTTTTTCACATTAGACTCTTTCAATTGCATGAAGACAACATTGTCTCCACTAAAACTTACCTTCTACAGGCTAAACTTCCCTAGATCCCTCAACAGGTCCCCCTGTGGCAAGCTCTGCAGTACTCTCATCACTTTGGACACCCTCTTTTCTACACACTCCAGCTTACCATGTCCTCACTAAATTGTGGCACTCATAACCATACATGATATTCTAGATGTGGTCAGACTAGAGTAGAGCTCAATAGGACCATCACCTCCCTAGTTCCAAACTCTCTGCCTCTTTTAATGCAGCTGAAAGACAACTTACACTTTCTCAGCTACCACAGCACATTGTTGACTCATTTCAGAGAGGAATTCCACTAAACCCCTCCAATCTTTTTCAGATGAACTGCTGACTAGCCACACCTCCCCCCTCATGTACTTGTGAAGTTGGAGTTTTTTTTAACCTAAATACAAGCTGTTTCGTTTATTCCTATTAAATTTCATGTTTTTAAAATCAACTTTCCAGACTGTCAAGATCATTTGGATTCTGAATTGGCATCCAACATGTTAGCTTACTCTCCTAACTTTGTGTCATCTGAAAATTTGCTAAGCATATCATATCTGCCTTTTTCTGAGTCATTAATGAATATATTTAACAGCACTAAGCCAGCAGAGACTCCAGCACTGGAGACTTCATCCCAGTAGTTATCAGGAGTTCTAGTAAAGTAGTGTTATTGCCGTGTGACCATAGGTGGAACATTTCACCTTCTGTGCCTCATCCGTCAAAAGACGGGTTGATTGTATCATATAATCTCACTCTGACATTCTGTCTCCAGGGACTGCCATTTTATTAAGAATCTTCCTTTATGTAATTGAGTATCTTTCAAAGCTCCAATGATGATTGGCCTTTCCAGGAATGTAAGGTTCCCTAAGGCTGAATACGAACCTCTATGATGCTTCCCAGAACAAGGCTGACCAATCTCTTTATGGGGAGGTGTGTCAGAGAAACAGCCACTTCTTTCTGATGGACACAGCAAGCCTCCCAGATGAGTGGAAGGGAAGCACGTTTCTGAGGCAAATCTTCACACATCATTAGCAAAATGGAAAGCAATGGCTCACTCAGTTGAAGAGGCTAAAGGAAAAATGCAACATGACAAATCCTGAGAGAAGCTCTTGAGTTAAATACTTTATCAAAGATATATAGCAAGGAGGCTAATAAGAATTCATGCTCTTATTTAGATAAGAGCTGATATGGCACTCTTCTCAGTAGTTTAAGAAGGGAAGTAAGATGCACAACTATAATAATCCAGAGGCTAGGAAGTCTTTCAAACATTAATTGCTTTGGAAGTACTGCTTTTTAATCTGGAATGCCCTTCACACACCAAGGACACAAAAGCCTTTGCCTGGACTACACATGAAATCAACAGCACAGATTTCAGGCTACATTAAAGAGGACTGAAATAAACATAAAGAAACATTTGCAGATGTGCCTTCTGACATGCTTTTGGGTAGTATCATCATCCAGAGCCAGGAGACATTAAGACTCTAGAAATGTTTGCCCAGATCTTTGTGATCAGGCAAAAAGATGGAGGCAAAACCCTCCACTGAGAATTCCACCTCTACATTACCATTTAAATTGCATTCCAAGCTCCCTTCCTAGGATCTTATCAGTAAGCAGGAATTTTCCTCTGAAAGATGCATTCTACACAACAAGCAAGATTTACCAAAAGGTGCTTCTATTACTTTGTATTCTGGTCCTTTGTATAAAGCAACACACAAAGCAATAATTAAATCCACCATTAATAAGACTCCTTGCTCCTTCCCAACTGTAAGTTAGCATTTAAATCCCTGATTCTGGTCAATTACTGAAGCATTTATCAATAAAAGTCAATATATTTCCTGGTAGGACCACACCATGCAGAATGGCTAATGTAATTCAGTCATTAAGATAACTGAAATCAGCAGACAGAAGGCAATCTGGATATTTCAACTTTCTTGACATCCATATTAGATTAATCATTACTCAGCATCGAATCTTCAAATAGCTAAGTCAATTTCACATACTCTGTGTGTATGTAAAAAACATTTTGGAATTGGTTCCAGATGACTGATTAGTTAGAAAACACTTCCTTCCTCTTGGTAGAGAAATGGTGAACTTTGGATGCAAAATAAAACTAACTGACAGTCAAACTTGAACTGTCAGTCAGTTTTGCTTAAATGGAGGATTTTTTTTTAGGGAGAATATTAAGGATGTCTTAGCAGGGGAGAGTCATGAAGGAGTGATTTGTAAGCAAAAGCAAGATGTAGTAATAAACTTTTAAAAAAATACCCTAGAAGAGTTCCAGAATTTGTATTAGCCTCCAAAGCATGCAAATTATTTACCATCATATTTAAATTTAGTAACAACACAATTGGGGTTAAAAGAATCAATCGTTTCCATTTTTACTGCTGTGCTATGATTTACTAAAATGGTAAGTACTATAAGGTTATTTCACACCCTTGTACATTGACAACAGCTGGCTCTTTCTCCCATAGAAAGAATGCTAATTGTGATCTAATAGAGACCTTCTATTCTGCCTATGATTTCTTATTTCAAATAAGAATAAAGGAACCCTTTTGCCCTTTGGAAGGTGCAACTAGTCATAAATATCTCCCTTTAAGGAACTTTTTGTCTCTTTATTCCTCCAAGGGAAGACCTGTGGAGGTAGGCATAATCAGGCCTAGTTCTACAGACCAGATCTGCAAGTTGCTTACATTAACCAGATAATTAACAAATCATTTATTAGGCCATGCAGACATGGCTGTTGCATCATCTGAACCTTGTGATATAGTATCAGTTAGAAATTGAAAAAAAATGAATGGCAAAAATTCCATAAACACATTTATTAATTAACTAAAGCCGGAAAATATCTACTGAGTCCTTAGTAAATGCATAGCATCATTTATATAATTTAATTGAACTGACATTTATTAAGCTTCTACTAGATATAAAGCATTGTGCTTCGTGCTGGGGATAAAAATCAATGGATCAGACATTTATTAAGTAACTACTATGTACCAGGCACTGTACCAGAGATACAAAGACAAAATTAAACAGTTATAACCTTCAAGGAGTTTATATTCTAAGGGATAAAAATGGGGATAGAGAGAGAAGAGAAAATATGTACATACATACAAAATAAATACAAATTAGGTTTCAAGTAGTTACATACAAGCTAAGGATGGAGTACAGCAAGTGGTAGATCAAGAAAGGTTTTCTGCAGAAGTGGTGTTTGAGCTGTATCTTGAATGAAATGAGGGATTCTATAAGGACGTTGATTAAAAAAAAAAGCCAGTTCCTGTCTTCAGTGAACCTAAAATCTTACAAAAAAAGGTGGCAGGAAACAACATGTAAACAAAAGTGCTACAAAGAAAATAGAGATGGGAAGATCATTAACATCTGGGGGCATCAGAGGAAACTTCTTCAAGAAAGTTACACCTGAGCTTAACCTCAAAGGAAGATAAGAATCCTGAGAAACAGGTAAGGTATGTATTCAACCACATAAACTTTTTATTTAAGGACCTTTTGCATTTCATGATCTTCATTACTAACCAATAGATCTGTGAACTCTCTGGAGATGCACAGAGGAATACGGTGAAGTCTTCAAATTCAAACCGAGGATAAGATTGTGACTCTTACCCATGTCAAAAGTCTATTTTCCAAGTTTCATCAGCACGAGCCTCTCTTGCTGAAGAGCATCAGCCCTGAATTTTTATCTCAGGTCATAATGATGCTATAGAATGATCCCATGAAAGAGGGCTCAATACCATGGTTGTCACTTCATATTTGTTAGGGTGTTTGCTATGAAGCTGTATTTTCAGCTCAGAAAAATGCTTTAGACAGCTCTTTCCTCTCACGAGGCACTTTCAATCAATGCAAACAAATGCACTGGAAAAAAAGACCTTTAACAGGATTTTTAACACTATGATTGCAGACCTGGTTTGGAGGAACACGGAATTCTGCTGACCAGTACAGAGTCATTCCTAAGGAATAAACATGCACCTGTCAGAAAGAGAGACAGACAATCAGAATTCTGACATCAGTTGTATCACATATAAGTTCCAGCTGGAACACAGTGCTGTTTTCACTGGGGAAGCTTCATTTGGAAGCACAATAGGCTGGTGTATTAATATCACAGTTGACAAGATGTTTCATTTTAAGATCAATTAATCAACATTTATTAAGCACCTTCTATGTTCCAGGCACTGTGCTAAACACTGGGGATACAAAAAGAGGGAAACAGACAATCCCTGCCTTCAAGGAGCTTACAAATCTAATGGGGGAGGAAACATACACACAAATTTATACAAAGCAAGCTATATACAGGATAAGTAGGAAATAATTGACAGAGGGAAGGCACTAGAATTAATAGGTGTTAAAGTCCTAGTTTCCAGGAATTAAATACAATGAAAGGATAAAAGGAGAAGAGACAACTGAACTACCAAAATGGGATGACAATAATAGGTAACATTTAAGTAGTGCTGTCAAGTTTGCAAAGTGCTTCACATCTATCATCTCCCTATGTCTTCACAACCACCCTATGAGGTTGGTACTAACAGTATTATTAAGCTTTTCCAGAAGAGGAAACTTTGGCTCAGAGAGATTAAAATATTTATCCATAGGGTAGCTAGGTGGTGAAGTGGATAGAGCTCCAGCCTTGGAGTCAGGAGGACCTGAGTTCAAATTTGCCCTCAGACACTTGACACTTACTAGCTGTGTGACCCTGGGCAAGTTGCTTACCCCATTGCCTAGCCAAAAAGCAAAAAACAACAACAACAACAACAACAACAACAAAATATATATATATATATATATATAATATATACACACACACACACACACACACACACACACACACACACATACATATACATACACATATATATACATAATTGGATAGTAGTGTCAGTGGTGGGATTCGAACCCAGATCTTGCTGACTCCTAAGGACCTGTGTATGATCACTCACAAAATCACAATATCTCAGTATTGGTTTATCAGAGGCCTTCCAGTCCAACCCATAACTGAAAATAGTCTATTAGGAAATTAGGAAGGAAGGAAGGAAGGAAGGAAGGAAGGAAGGAAGGAAGGAAGGAAGGAAGGAAGGAAGGAAGGAAGGAAGGAAGGAAGGAAGGAAGGAAGGAAGGAAGAAAGGAAGGAAGGAAGGAAAGAAAGAGGGAAGGAGAGAAGGAGGGAAGGCAAAGAAAGAAATAAAGAAAAATAATCTATTAAGCACTTAAAATCTATAGAAAGTGAAAACAAGACAACATAAAAGAGGATGAAGAAAAGAGCATGTAAAAATAGTGGAAAGAATGCTTGCTCTCAGAATGAGCCAAGGTTTTTGATTTGGTTTGGTTTAGCTATATTGAGCGTGGATGGTCATAAAAGGGATAGAGTAGCTGCTTAGGGTGAATGGGATCATAACAATGGACGGAGACAAAAAGCTACTAATTCTTATTTTGCTTGGATTTTCTCTACCAAAGAGAAAGGCCCTTGCGATGGAATTGATAAAACAAAAGGAATTGGCACCCAAGGTGGAGAAAAAGCAGGTAGTAAATGAGTACCTAATTGTCATTGATTAATTCAAGTCATCTGGCTCACATGAACTTTAACCTCAGGAACTGAGAGAAGTGGCATATGTGATTTCTAAGCCACTGTCAAAATATATTTGAAAGACTGTGGAAAATAGGAAAGATATAAAATTGGAGGAGGGCAAATGTTGTACCAGTTTTCCAAAGAGGGAAGATAATAGTCTGCAAATTATGGGCCAGTAATCTTGTGTTCAATTACTTAGTGAATTCTACGGATCATTAAAAAGATGGTTGGTGAACAACTAGAAAGGGAAACAGCAATAACAAAGTATCAGCTCGGCTTCTCCAAGAATATGGAATGTAAACTAATCTGATTTCTTTTTGCAACAAGGTACAAGAGTGATTTATCAGGGAAAAGTTTTAGCTATAATCTACCAAAATGTTAATAAAATATTTGGAAAAGTTGCTCAGGTAATTCATGTGGAAGAGATAAGTGATATGGACTCGATTATATTACAGTTGGGAGTGTTCAGAACTGATTGAAAGGTCATACCTAAAGAGTAGCCATGGATGTGTTAGGAAGGGGAAATTTGCTTTGCCACCCCCACTACTCCTCATCTCAGCTGATGCAGTTAATTACTATAGATGGGGTGGTATTAACATGACTACTCTCTGATGGAGTCAGAAGGGGCAATGTCAGCTTGTCTAGGCTGAAAATTAGCCATGTTCCCCCGACGGTTTTAAATAAATAAGCCTAGAAGACAGCCAGAGTTTTCAAGTTGATAGTAGTTGAAGAAATAGCAGTAGGAGAAGAACCCAGCTCTTTGCCTTTTGGGGGATTTTCTCTCCTCTCCCTCAGCTGTGTTATCAGGTAGCAGTGCTATTTGCCCAGAAGGAAACACCCACCCCCCAACAGTTGGAGAGTCAGCTTAAAAGAGTTCATAGAATTATAGGGTCATAGACTTACAGCTAGAAGAAAACTTAGAGGTGATATTTTCATTCTACAGCTGAGGAAACTGTGTCTCAGAGAAATTAAGTGACTTGCTCAGACTTGTATAGCTAGTTAAGTGTCCAAGGACTGACTTGAAGTCAAGTCTTCTAGACTCTAAGTTCAACATTCTTATCTACTACTCTATATTGCCTCTGCTCAAGTCACAGTTGATGGAATGGAGGCATGTGCTCCAGAAAGATATGGATACAGAAGAACAATCACTTAAGGCCCGGAACTGCTTCTAGGAGTGAGACCTCTGGCAGCAGAGAAGAGAGCCAGCTATGAACTCAAGAGAGAGTAAGCTTTGGAAGCCCAGAATTGAGCCAAACAGAGAACTGTACAAGAAAAGGGAAAAAAAAAAAAGACTTAAAGGCCCCAGCATTGGCCAAATATGTTTCCTAGATTTTTGCCTCATTAACATTTAACTTTACGAGCTTGAGCCTACTTTTTTCATGGATTCTATACAATTTTAGGAAAGTGTACCACAATTCTATTTGAGGACACATTTTAGAGTTACTGCTCTTACTATTCCATTTTAGTAAATGCTTTTGGTAAGAGATAGCTATGTTAATGGAAAGCACACTAGTGGAAACTTACAATTTTTTTTTAGCAGTAGCCATTCACTGAGTACCCTTAGAATCCTGTGAATAATAGCCACTATCTGGGGACCCAATCCTTGAATCTGTGTATAGGTTGGGAGGTGGTCACTCGGGGCAGGGGGGGGAGGGTTAGACTACAAATGATTAAATGTCAAGCTGAAAGGTTGTCCCCAGTGGAGGGTCCCAGGGATCTGAGTTTGGCTTTGTGCTGCTTACTATTTTTACCAATAACAAACAAAGGCATAAATAGCATGCTTATTAAATTGCAGATGTCACAGAGACAAAAAGAATAGCTAACACGTTGTACGTCAGCACCAAGAACCAAATTCTGGGAGCTTGGAGCATTAGCTAAATCTATTAATATGACATTCAAAAGGGGTACTGTAAACATCTTAAACTTACATTAAAAATCAACTTCACAAGTATAAGGCAATATAGGCATTGCTAAATGCCAGTCAGTCTGAGAAAAAAAAAAATAAGAGATTGAGGGATTTTAGTGGATTGTAAACTCAGTATGAGTCAACAATGTGACATGGCAGTCCAAAAAGTAAATGTGATCTCTGACTTCTTGGAGAGGCAATCCACCCAAAGTGAGGGGGACAATGGTCAAGTTGTATTCTACCTTGGTCAGACTACATTGGGAATATCATGTTCATTTCTGGGCATTATATCTTAGAGAAAACATTGATAAATTGGATAGTAACAGGGATTATTCCTCAAAATTATGGCATGTAAGGATTATTGGTAGGAACAATTTAGCAGAAAAAGGGAAAATCTGGTTGAGAGTGGGACAGGAGCAAGGATGATATGCTTTCAAGTATTTGAAAGGTTGATTTGTGCAAGAGGAAACAGATAATCTACTTGAGCTCAGAGAAAAGAATGAGGAATAAGCTGTAGGTAGAAGTCAAAAAGAAGCAAATTTATGAAGTTGGGAAATCCTTTGTAACTCAAGAACTGTCAAAAATGGAAAGACTAGGATGCCTTTGGAGGAAGTGGGTTCGTGTCTCCATAGGTCTTTAACCAAAGATTGGATGGCTCCTTGTCAATTGCAGGGTCGGGGGAGGGGAGGGCGGTGCTCTTAGGTCCCTTTGTTGCTACAAGTCCATGAAAGTAATACTTCATTCCCCCGCTAAGATGGAGCATGGAGAGCTGTTGTTTGTGAACCTCTCTACCTTCTATTCTAGGAAGGAGCACGGTTTGCACTTTGAGCTTAAGCAACAATTACTTGATTGTGGCATAAAGCCAAGCATATTGTACTCTACACAGGCCACTACAAAATTCTCTCTGCTCTGCAAATTTTCTGGAGGCAAGATGTCCTAGAGTAAATCCACTGGGCAATCCAATTGAATCCTGGGTTCAGAATGGTCCCTAACAAAAGAGTTAGCATTACAAGCAGCATTCTCCAGCCTGTAAGTTCAAGAGGAGAGCTCCATAAACTGTGAGTCACATTTTCTCATACATACTCATTGATACAACTTAGTTGAAAGTAGCCCTGTCCCTAGAGCATTCTCTCCTTCATTAGCTGCCTCAACTACGTCCTCACTCCAGCACTTTTCCACCTCTCTTTTAAATGACTGACCAATGTACACAGATGTGGTGATGTCAATGAAAGCAGATTATTCTTTCCTCGGGGGAGTGGGGAGAGGAAGCTGGGTGATGCAATGAATAGTGTTTTGGACTTGGGGTCAGGAAGACTTCAAATCCTGCCCCAAACACTTGGTAACTTTGACTCTGGGCAAGTCACTTAACCTTTCCCAGCCTCAGTTTCCTCATATATAAAATGGAGGTAATAACAGCATCTACCTCACAAGGGTTATTGTGAAGATGAAATGAGTTAACATTTATATAAAACAATTTATAAACATTAAAGTGCTATATAAATGCTAGTTATTATTATTATGTTATCTCCAGGATTCATTCCAACTCCGAGTACTTTAGTTTTAAGCTTCCCTGCCAAGTAATTAATGATTTACAAGCACAGACTTAAACACACTAGGAACCTTCAAGATTTAATTAAAGGAATCATTTTCTAAAGCCAGGACTCTTTTTTTTAATATAAAGATAATATAGATCCTAATTTACCTATCTCCTAAATTAAGATTTCCATATATCAGATTTCTTGCATTTATGCACTTCTGTACTGCTGAAGAGGTAGTGCTACAGGGCTCAAGGAAAAGTCTTGCATTAAACAGTTCCCCGGAGCCCTGAGAGCTGCAGGGAAAACGTCTGCCATTGGTTCTGTGTGGGAAAGATTTCAATAAAAGGGCAAATAAAGCTTCTTCTAGTCATGCCCATTTCTGCTCCTCACCCAGTAGGGTTCACAGGAACTCACTAGCCCATGTTCACAAGAAAGGAGGATTCCTCATAAGGATCTGCACATAGCACTGTGGAAGGCACTGTCACCCATGAAAAGGTACAAGAGATCCAGAGAATAAGCCTCTAAAAAGACTCAGGGACATGAACCCGGGGAGCGTCCTTAACCTTAAAAAGCAAACAGTTGTGTCCTTCTCGATTGCAGGTGTTTGTGCAGATGCATGGAGAACGGAGGGGGAACAAAGAGGGAAAGTCTAAAGAGAATGTAGCACTACCACATGCCCAGGAGCAAGAGGGTCAGCAGAGCCAGATGGCTGCCATGCATGCATCATGTTTTCATTGAATCATTTGGAAATAGGACCTTGTTTTTCTCTTTGTTTTCCAATTTAGGATCATAGAGCTAGAAAGAAGCTCAGAGATGATCCAGTCCAGTCTTCTTAAATTTATGGATGAGGACACTAAAGGTCAGGGGAGTTAAGGGATTTGTTCAAAGTCCATACATGAGGTTAAAGGCAGGATATAACCCAAGTTCTCTGAATGCACAGTTTTCACTATCACATACTGCCTCCAGCTCTTCATTTGACAATAAGTATAAGATTTCTGCTACATACTCTCCAAGATGGCTATATCTGAAAATAATTTAAAGGGAATAATTATTTATATTTAAAAGGAATAGCAACTTGTACATAACAGATTTGCTGTTTCACATGTAATCATCTTTTTTTATTATACTTTGTTATAGAAATGCTTGGGTTTTTTTTTGCAAAAATTAAAAATAAAATAAATAAAATTTTTAAAAGATGACCACATCCTATCTGTGTATTTAAAATTTTTTAAATGTTTTAAAATTTTTTAAATTAGTAATAGAGTACTTGTAAATTATTGTTCATTTAGAGTAGAGATTCTAAATCTGGGGTCCATGAACATACATATACATGTGTTTGTACATATATATCCATATGTATGCACACACATATATGTATTTGTGTTGCATATATTTGTGTATGTATATGCATGTGTATATATGTGTGTGCATTTGCATGTGCATATATTTAATGATACACATACTTATGTGTTGATAACTATTTTAGTAAATCTAATTTCCTTTGTAATTCTATTTATTTTATTCCTTTAAAACATTATTGTGAGAAAGAGTCCATGGGCTTTACCAGATTGTCAAAGGGGCCCATAACATAGAAGAGGTTAAGATCTTCTGATAAGTGTACTGCTCTCTGTCTCCCTTGCTTCTCCACACCATACCTGGATGAGGCCAGGGATCTCACAGTAAGGTTGTAGCAGCTTGGTTTCCATGGTGCTGACCTAAAACCTTCAAACACTTTGGGAAATGGGTAAGAGGTTTTATCCAGGACATTTCTGCATAGGTGCAGAAGGAAGATAGGAAGGAGGAGAAGGTGAGAGAAAACTTTAGTGGCAGCAAGCAGAGCTCAGTGACTGGACATACCTCTGCATTAAAAAGGCCAGAAGAAGGAGACATGTCTGGAGTGGGTGTCAGGAGAAAGCTACAGTCACAACCAAGCCCAAGAAGAAGGTCTAAGTCTAGGCTTCAGGAATAAAGGGTCTGGGATTGAGTAAGAAACAGTGTATTGAGCTGGGCAAAGAACTTTTTTTTTAACTTGCTATGCCATTCTGTGGGCACATGAGAATTTCTTAAATCCTACCCCATAGAATCAGCCCCACCCTCAAGTTCCCCTGATTTCCCTTTCCTACAAAACTCCCATCTCTGCTTCTCCATCCTACTCAGTGGTGAAGAGGAAAACTGTGCCAACTGAAATGTTCCCATAACTAAAGGTAATAAGTTAATGAGTTTGGATTATGCCATCTGTGCATGAACTTCACCCAACAAATTCCACATCCGTAGGAAGGGTGAGAAGGGAAGGTTAGAAGCATAGATAAAAGGTCTTACCTTTGATATTTCAATTTGCAGATTTTGACCCTGTCCTTGAAGTATTTCTGGGGCCTTAAAAGGGGTGGCCTCTATAAAGGAAACGTTGTCCTGGAAGGAAAGGCTTCCTGTAGCATGCAGAAGTGTCGACCAAGGGCAAACTATGTAATTAGAGGAACCTGAAATCCAAGTGTAAGAACAAAGGTGCTCAGTCTTCAGAGCAGCTTAGGATTCTAGTCTTAAACTATATGACTAGGTGACAACTCACAGCAGAGCAGATCTAATGCAGTCAGGACCTCTTTAGAGGCTATCATCTTCAATATATATGATGGTCCTAAAACTTGACACGCAACTGATGACGAAGTTTTCTCTAATCTGGATTAAAACCTAAAAGACTCATACTTAATGGTGTGAGCTAGACAGGAGGTAGTTTATAATCTTTTTTTTTCTTTTTTAGGCAATTGGGGTTAAGTGACTTGCCCAGGGTCACACAGCTTGTAAGTGTCAAGTGTTTGGTCTGAGGTCACATTTGAACTCAGGTCCTCCTGACTTCAGGGCCAGTGTTCTATCCACTGCACCACCTAGCTGCCCCTAGTTTACAATCTTTTTGCACCTGTAGGATGCTGGCTAGAGTCATAAAAAATGGGCATCTCTACAATCTAGTACCATGGAACTATTTCCCACTATTTGCCTAAAGCCTTAGAGATTCAGAAACAACTGGCTGAAAACTATATGACTAGAAAATATTGCCATGTATATGAGGAGTCTGGATTTGTGATTTCATAAGTGTGATGACCTCCCAATAAAGAAACTCCATTCATGGATACAGAATAGCAACTGATATATAACTTATAGTCTTTTGCAGAAATGTATTGGCATATTTTATTTTATATAATCTTCACTCTCCCTCGTCTCCCTCTCCCAGAAAGCCATCCTTTTTTTTTAGGTTATATACGTACAAGCATGTTAAATACATTTCCACGTTAGTCGTGTTGTGAAAGAAGAAACAGAACAAAAGGGAAAAGCCACAAAAAATAAAAACAAAAAAAATATGCTTCTATCTGCATTCAGATCATTATTTCTCTGGACGTGGATAGCATTTTCCATCATGAGTCTTTTGCAGATCCTTGTACTGCTTAGAAGAGCTGTCTATCACAGTTGATTATCGAACAATGTTGCTGTCACTGTGTACACGTTCTGGTTCTGCTCACTTCACTCATCATTATTTCATCTAAGTCTTTCCAGATTTTTCTGAAATCTGCCTCCTCATCACAAAATAGTATTTCATAACATTCATATACCACAACTTGTTAAGCCATTCCCCAATTGATGGGGATCTCCTCAATTTCCAATCCTTTGCCACCACAAAAAAAAGCTGCTATAAATATTTTTGTATATGTGGGTCCTTTTCCTTTTTTATGAAAGCCATCCCTTTTAAAAATATATAAATATATATACGTATACACACACACACAGACACACACATACATACAAATATATTTAAAAGCATTCAGCAACACTAAGACATTACTCAAGTTTGATGTTATACCTAATGTTCTATATCCATAATCTAATCCCTATTTATGGAAGGAGGGGTGTGTGAATTTTTCTCATTTCTCTTCTTAGTGGCCAAGATTGATCATTATAATTTCCCAGCATCCAGTTTTGACTTTTTGTTATGTAACTTATAAAGAGTTGTCTAGGTCACTGAGAGGCTTAAATAACTTGCCCAATGACTTGGTCACACATCTAGTATGTGCCAGAGGTAGGATTTGAGCTCTTCTAACCATTAAGTAATACTGTCTCTCATTACATAAGAATATCTCACATTTATAGCACTTTAATATAAAACACTTTAATATAATATACAAAGAGCTTTTGCATGCATACCATTTCATTTGATCTTCACAACATCTCTGAGGAAAGTAGTGAAAATATTATTATTTCCATTTTGGAGATGTGTGAACTCAGGTTCAGAGAGATTGACTGACTTTCCCAAAGTCACATGGCTAGTAGATGGCAGAGTCAGGGCTTCTGACTTCAAGTTCAGTGGACTTTCCATCCGACTACATTTTTTAATGCTTTAAATTGCTATGGATTTCATAATACAAAATGTAATCATCTTACCCTTGTTAAGATCTTCAAGAATCTGTTCAGTAGCCAGAAACAAGAGAGACCACATTTCTTCCTCAGATAAAGCTTCTCCTTTCACCTGTAAGGTGCTGGCAAGAGTCACCGATGACTGGCTCATGTCTACGAAGAGAGAAAAGAAAATTCTCATTCCCCTTACCACTTGTACCTCAGATCTAAACCCAGAATTGCCCTTTTGCTGATGGCGAAAAGAACACTGGGCTCCAGGAGAAGGCCATAAGAAAGTTTACATTCTTCCAGTGAGAGGAGGTGCTAAAGGTGCCAACATAGCTATACCGCCTCAACATTGGCAGAAATATCACTGCCCTCTCCAGCTGCGATGGCCATATCTCTTATCTTCCCATCGCTCAGCTGCATTGTCTTCACTATGGTGCCAGAATGGTCTTAATTGTATTGGAGGAGTATTAGGGAAGATGTTGAGGAAGCTATATTAGGAGGGTATTAGAGAAGGCTTCATAAGGATGTGGGCCTGAAAGAATGGGTAGGAATTAGATATTTAGGGCATGTGTGAAGGACATTCCAGGGACAGAGAACATTATGAGGGAGACCCAAGGTTGGAAAACATAGATCATGTTCAGGAAAAGTAAGTACTTCAATTTGGCCAGAGCATAGGTGGCTGAAACAGACCAGCAGGAAATACACTTGAAGCCATCAAAGGACTTATATCCCACTGTTGGGTTAAAATCTATGTACATATAAATTTAATGTAAGATAATTTGAGGAAGGAGAAGGCATCAGCAACATAGGGGAAGCATCATGGAAGGTATAATCCTAAATGTAGGTAGTGCACAATACTGCCCTGCATTTCCTGTGGTACCTCTCCATGCAGACCAGTACTCTCCCAAAGAGGTCCATATTTCTTCTTTCTCCTCCCACCTTATTAAAACTACAATTTCCAAAAATCTTAAGTAGATGTGAGGCATTCTGATTGCCCTATTCAGATAATTCACAGTAAGACATGAATGACTCTTAGGACTGCCCTTTCTTTCTTTCTTTCTTTCTTTCTTTCTTTCTTTCTTTCTCTCTTTCTTTCTCTCTTTCTTTCTTTTTTAGAAGGAAGCTTGTTAATCAAAGGCTTTCCTTGGTGTATCTCTGCCCTCAGCTCCTCTCCACAATGAACTCCCTATCCCACCGATGCTCTTCAAACCTCTCCCTTAAATTCTAGGGTCGTTAAGGTAAACCAATGGGACATCCTTCTAATTCAGGAAGTTCTTCCTATTTGGAAGCAGGGAAGGTTGGGGTAAGGTTACTTATCTCAAATTAGTAAGTAGGAGCCTTTTCTTCTCCATAGAAGAGAGGAATTTTTGGCATCATTCTTTTATTAATGGCAAGTGATTTCAATTTAGTATCATAGACTTAGAACAGGAAGGGATCTTGATCTGAGCAGCTTGCCCAGGATCACACAGCTAAGTAATTTATAAGAGCTAATTCTAACCCACAGCCTCTGATTAGAAGCCCAATGCCATTTCCACTGTTCAATGTACCTAGTTAGTATTTCAGTTCATCTGTAGCTCCTGCGATATGGTTGCGTTCAAAGTCAATAATAGCTTTAAAAAGTATTATCTAGAATCTGCCTGTAAAACTAGCAAAACATAATAATTAGTCTCTGTGGTCTGAGAAAATAAAGTTAGCACAAAAGCAAGCATTACGAATAATAAAATTGATGAGCTAAGGAGTTCTGCAGCCTCTTTATTCTTGTCCTCAAAGAATTTCTGTAAATAAATTTGGCATTTTATCTCCCTCCCCCACCCCAAATAAAAATAAAAACAGAAGCTGCCTCATACTAATCTCCAAGCCGAAGAAATGTTCAGTTGTTAAGTCATAGGACAGAAAGCCAGACTTCCATGGAGTCTGTGCTAATCCAGGTCTGTCAGTGATCTCTCTTCCACAGTCAGGAGCTTAAACTGGAGACTCTGAGTGTCCCAGAGTCCCTCTGAAATCCATGAATTCTAATACCAGCTCTGTCACCAGCAGCTGGACTGCCTTGATCCAAGTCTGTGGCCTCCTAATCCCACACTGACCTCCTCCCTCAGGTCAAGAGGATGAAATCTGGCACTTATCAGAAGCCCAGGCATGTAAACCCAGAGAGTCTGCATCTCAGTTTCCTTAATAAAATCTTCCTCCCTGGGGTGATGTTATCTAGTCATTGAATAGTCAGGGTATCAGGTTTAAATTTCCCCCAGGGCAAAGACCATGTTTCTTCTATAATTCTGCGAACATTTGTGTTGTATATCTTCCCCAACTTACTCAAAAAATATTTACATAAATATTTATTGATGCTTACTACTTTACAGCATTTGGAAAGTTCTCATCTCCAAGCAATTTAAAGCATTCCAAGGTTTTATTTTATTTTGCTTTTTCCTAGTAATGCTTGGAATATCCCTCAAAGGTATGATATGGAAACCAAAGCACCAAGAGATAAAGAATTTGCTCTAGGATCATGCTGAGAGTATGAGACTTGGCCAAAATCAGAAGCCAATTCCTTATCACTCCCAATTGATTGTTTATTTCTTTTCCTTTATTCCTAACATATGAAAGCAGCTAATTTTTCACTGTTAAGTATGTCCTGAGTGGTCTAGAACAAGTCATTAACTCCCCTAAACCTCAGTATCCTCATCTAAAAAATGAAGTTTGATTAGATGGCCTCCTATCTCCCATCTTGGGCAGTTAGGTGGTGCAGTGGATAGAGCACTGGTCTTGGAGCACTTATCTTCATGAGTTCAAATCTGGCCTCTGACACTTACTATCTGTGTGACCCTGGACAAGTCACTTAATCTTGTTTGCCTTAGTTTCCTTATCTGTAAAGTGAGCTGGAGAAGGAAATGGCAAACCATTCCAATATCTCTGCCAAGAAAACCCTCCAAAAAGGGGTCATAAAGAGTCAGAAAAGATAGAAAAGACTAAACAACAATAAGTTCCACCTAGTTCTAGGTCTCTGAGCCTACAATCTCATTTAAATTAGAGTATTCATTCATTAAGTCTTTAGAGTGGAAGGGACTTAAGGAGCCATCTAATTCAACCTCTTCCTACCACCCCCCCACCCCTAGTCAACAAAGCAGGAAGCCCTTCTATTCAGTTATGGATAGTCATGGAGTACCTAACTAGAGTGACTTTGCCTTGTGACTTTGGTCAAGTCATAATACCTCTCTGGGCCTCAGTTTCTTCATCTGAAAAATGAAGGAAAGTCTTCATGTAGGAGGAGGCACCCAAGCCTTGCTTTGAAGTTCCCTTCCAGTTTTAGCAACAGATGATTCTATGAAAGTGAAAAAGCCTTGACCAAGATAATTGGGGGGGGGGGTGTCTTATATATAAAAGTCAATAAACTGCTATTCAATTTAGACATCTGTATTACTAGTCCCATTGCGTGGGTAGGAGAAGGAGAGAGGGAGAGAGAGAGAGAGAGAGAGAGAGAGAGAGAGAGAGAGAGAGAGAGAGAGAGAGAGAGAGAGAGAGAGAGAGAGAGAGATACAATTTCATTGAAATTTAAAGCTGGAAGGAACTTCTAGAAATCATCTCTTCCAACAGAGACCCTGAAATGTAAGATAATTTGTCCAAAGTCATAGGGCAGGTTAATGGAAGAACCGAGACTTTAACTAAAATACTAAGCCTGTTGGTATCCTATTAAGTTAATGGCTTAAATGGTTACTCACCTAAAAGGTAATTAAATTATAATGACGATTGATCAGCAGATCTCTGGGCAGATCATTCAGAGTTTTTTGTTTTGTTTTGTTTTGTTTTTAATAATCTCATTTCTTTATAACCTATACTAGATATTGGACCAAAGAATGAAGAAAGATATTAGCAAACTGGTTCTTTTGGGGAAAACATGAAGAGAATCTTTTATCAGTGAGTTCTGTGGCAATGACAGAAGTGAAGGCAGCATGATGTAGGAAACAGGGCTGGACCTAGAATTAGAAAGAGCTGAGTTCAAATGTTACCTCTGCCACTTGCTACCTGTGTAAACCATAGACAAGTCTCAGCCTCTCTGAGCCTCACTTTTCTCATCTGTAAATGGGAGATAGTATGTGTAAGTGCATGCCTCAGAGAGTTTTTATGTCTCAGATTAAATATGTAAAGGAAGCACTATATAAATATCAACTTATTATGCTTATCCCAACAACAAGAAAATACTTGGGCAGTCTAGCAAAGATACAGCTTGTTGGAGTTGGATTGGGAAGATCTATCAGGGTGGAGAAACTTCAGCCTTAAGGCCACATGTGAAAGTGTGGCCCTTTGACTAAATCCAAACTTCACAGAACAAATCCTTTTTTTTGGATTCAGTCAGGCTGCAGGTTCCCCACCCCTGGTCTAGGTCCAACTATGCCTCTGACACTTAGGATCTAAGTGACCCTGGGTAAGTCATTTAAACTTTAATGCACCTTAGTCAACTCCCCAGTACTTAACTGCTGAGGACTAGTCCCATGTTGGTGGAGGGAGCTCTCATATTGACTAAGTTAAAGTTTGGTTCTCTGTTGGTGGAAGGAGTTTTATTCCTGGGAATTCCCTCTACTAATAAAATTCACACAGTGAAAAACCAGCATTTGCATTGATTACTGCAACAATATATAAATCTCATCCCAGTGACAATAAAAACCAAGTTCTCAATCTGTTCACACAGCTAATCCACGAGCATGTAAAGCACTTACTAAGCTGCTAATTAGAAGCTAAGAGACTCTTAAAAGAAACCATCTTAATGAAAAGATGGATATTCCCATCCACTAGACACCATGGCTATCTGATCTTGATATGATAAGGAGACCCCGATGGCAGTAGACCCACCAGCCTGGGTCAAGAGGATTCAACTTCCTGAGTTCAAATCTGACTTCAGACATTTAACTAGCTGTGTGACCCTAGGCAAGTCACTTAACCCTGCTTGCCTCAGTTTCCTCATCTGTAAAATGAGCTGGAGAAGGAAACGGTGAATAACTCCAGTCTTTTTGCCAAGAAAACTCCAAATGGGGTCACAAGGAGTCAGACATGACTGGAAAAATGACTGAACAACAGCAACAGAAATGCAGAAATTTGCCTTCTAGTACTAGCTCTAGCACAACTCAGTTGTGGGGGATCGGAGACAGATCACTTCCCATGCCCAGGCCAGATGA